ACTCAACGCCGACGAACACTGAGTTAAGAACCCAGTAAGTTTCTCTCTTGACCCATCAAACTTGTCCGGGTCCTTCGGTTTCAGCGCTCAAGTCGACGAAGTTGTCGTCGATCCTTCTCTGGATCCACGATTCCCTCGACGAAGTTAGTGCACTATCTCTGTCAGAGCTTCACTCTTCTGGTTGTCAGCAGTCTTCAACTCCTTCAGAGCTCTCATCATTTCCACCAACATCCCATCCCTAATATCCTCCTTGAATCTCTCCGGTGAGTTTCTTCCTCTAGGCCGCGATGTATACGAACTTCTTCCACCCGCTGACCCCCCATCTTCGTCCTCTAATCCTCTCCTTTGATCATCCGTTTCAACCCACGGGTCGCCGAAGTACGCATCAGAAGGCGGCTGGGAGAGGAAAGACGACTCCCTAGAACCATGAGGTTCTAGGTTACCTTGATTATCTTCCTGTTCATTCCTCGACATTGCTTCAGCCGTTCTTCTCTCTCTTTCCTTTCCTCTAGTCCACATATATCTTCCCACGGGTTACTGGAGAGTCAGTAAGGACGATCTCTGGTACTGTCACAGGGTTGGTTCTTCCTTATCTTCTTAGGACCGACGGCCAATAACTTCGTGGGCTATGACCTTTAATACGGGTGTTCTTCGTAGTATAGGTGGTGACAATAACTTCTGTGTGTAATAACTTCGTGCTCTACTAACTTCTATCACTAAGACAACAACCAGAGATCATCAAGGATCCCTGGGAACTTCGGTCCTTAAGTACTTCGTTCTTCCCTAACTTTGCCAACGCAGAACTTCGTTCAACCCGAGTCCCCGAGCTTCGTACCTTGCGAACTTCGTCCCCGACGAAGTTCGTACCTCCCTAACTTCATACCTCCCTAACTTCGTATCTCACTAACTTCGTATCTCACTAACTTCGTATCTTCCTTACTTCCTACATGGCTAACTTCCTACATGGCTAACTTCGTCCTCGACGAAGTTAGTTTCCTAATACCCTTGTGGGTGGTGAAGTTCATGAGAACTGGGTCGTTGATGGCGAACTGATGTCCAAAGGAACTTCGTTTGATGGGAAAGGATAATGTCACGCGGCGCCGCGTGACATATTCCTTGAACTTTTCCACATTTCAGGAGGCTTCATTAATCCTTGAGCTACCTTAGCGGCTACCAACGGACAGTCCTTCACGTGATGTCCTTGGCCTCCACACTTGAGACAGGCTCTTTCAGGCCTCCACTTCTCCCTCTGTTCGAAGCTCGGCCTCGGGGTAAGAGGATCCCCTTGCTTCCAGACCTTTGACCCCAATGTTATATTGTTTCGATTTATAGGAAGAGCTGACACCGAAACTACAGGATCCTTCATTGCTGTTGTCACTAACTTCGGCACCGATTGCACGAAGTTAGGCATTCTTCCCCAAGTTGTTTTCTGCCCGTTAGCCTGTCTCTCTGCCCAACGTTCAGTCATCCTGTTGTCTAGCTTAATCACCACCGCCTTCAACTCCTCCATGGTCTCGATCTCCTCCCTCCGAGAAAGCTCATCTTTCATAACTTCTGTCATGAGACCAACTAACCAGCATTGGGACGATATAACAGTGCCCTCGGAACAGTGATCTAAACCACTGCGAAGAAAAGGCCTATCAACCGGCGATATCTACAATCGCCGGTCGCTGGTTAAATACCCAATCCATCCTAAACCGTGCTCAAACCGTGACTAAACTTAACTAGGTAACAACATGTCCTTCCTCATGTCAAGACAACTCGTGACAACTTCGTCCAGCCCATTAATAGCCTGAGCCACCAACATCTCCTCCTCACTCCATCCCAATATAGCAATATACTTTTGGAACTCAGCAAAGTACGCTGATGCCTTCCCTTGCTTCTGCTTCAGCTCCCTTAAACCCCTGATAGGCGTGCCCCTCTCATCTGGATCTCCGAAGTTCTTTTTCATCCATACCACGAATTCAGAATGTTTTGAAAGGAAAGGAGGAAGAGGAGTAGAGAGTAAATGAGGCTGCACTGCCAGCAGTGCAACCCCTCGTAGGAACCCTACCATCCACAAAACACTCTGTTCCTCACTCTCAACTCTATCCCTCATCACACTCAACGCCAACGAACACTGAGTCAAGAACCCAGTAAGTTTCTCTCTGGACCCATCAAACTCGTCCGGGTCCTTCGGTTTCAGCGCTCAAGTCGACGAAGTTGTCGCCGGCCCTTCCCTAGATCCACGATTCCCTCGACGAAGTTCGTGCACTATCTCTGTCAAGGCTTCACTCTTCTTATTTATCAGCACTCTTCAACTCCTTCAGGGCCCTCATCATTTCAACCAACATCCCATCCCTAACATCCTCCTTAAACCTTTCCAGCGAATTTGCTCCCCTGGGTCGCGAGGTGTACGAACTTCGTCCACCAGTTGAACCCCCATCTTCATCCTCCAATGTTCTTCTTTGACCGCCTCCTTCCACCCACGGGTCACCTAAGTATGCGTCGGAAGGTGGTTCAGTGAGAAAAGATGACTCCCTAGAACCGTGAGGTTCTAGGGTACCTTGATTATCCCCTTGTTCATTCCTCGACATTTGTTCAGCCGTTCTTCTCTCTCTTTCCTTTCCTCTAGTCCACATACAGTCTGCCACGAGTTACTGGATAGTCAGTAAGGACAATCTCTGGTACTGTCACAAGGTTGGTTCTTCCTTGGTTTCCTAGGACCGACGGCCAATAACTTCGTGGGCTATGACCCTTAATAGGTGTGTTCTTCGTAGTATGGGTGGTGACAATAACTTCTGGGTGTAATAATTTCGTGCTCTACTAACTTCTATCACTAAGACAACAACCAGAGATCGTCAAGGATCCCTGGGAACTTCGGTCCTTAAGTACTTCGTTCTTCCCTAACTTCGCCAACGCAGAACTTCGTTCAACCCGAGTCCCCGAGCTTCGTACCTCGCGAACTTCGTCCCCGACAAAGTTCGTACCTCCCTAACTTCGTATCTCACTAACTTCGTATCTCACTAACCTCATATCTCACTAGCTTTGTATCTCACTAACTTCGTATCTTCCTAACTTCCTACATGACTAACTTTGTCCTTGACGAAGTTAGCCTACTAATACCCTCGTGGGTGGTGAAGTTCATAAGAACTGGATCGTTGATGGCAAGCTGATGTCCAAAGGAACTTTGTTTGATGGGAAAGGATAATGTCACGCGGCGCAGTGTGACAGATAGAGTAAACCGGGATTTGGAGGCAGTGCTGCTTTAGGTAGGGACGGGTTTTCCCTTTTCGAGATTTTCCCACTGGGTTTGCTCAAAAGCGGTTTTTCACCTGTCCGAGTATGTGCGTAGACACTCGCAGCAGGGGAGAGGAAGAGGACAAGGATACCGGTAAACAGTATATAGTACAATCAGCAAAGTACCAGCTTTGCTGATTCTTCAATATCATCCTTTGGCTACATCGATTGCAGAGGAGACACTATCCATCACATAGCACCAGAGACACCTGGATTTCCACAAGAGTTCCATTGAGTTCTACCCAACCTGTGACCTAGTCATCATGTTTCCCGTACCGTTACAATCTGGCAAGTCGAGATGATGAGGAGCGGGGTGTCAATAGTGTGGGAAGGTATGTTGAGGTCGAAGTCGAGTTGCAAGGTTAAGTCAAGATCTTTGAGGCGTGGCAAGAAAATATATTGATCCTTGAGAAAGAGGATCTTACAAGGGGGTTTATTGTCACAAACCATGACTAACCAGCATCCGGCTGTATAACAGTGCCCCTTGGAACAGCGATCTAAACCACTGCGACGAAAAGGCCTATCAACCGGCGATATCTACAATTGCCGGTCGCTGGTTAAATACCCAATCCATCCTAAACCGTGCTCAAATCGTGACTAAACTTAACTAGGTAACAACATGTCCTTCCTCATGTCACGACAACTCGTGTCAATTATATAGACATTCTCTTCAAACAGATGGTATATCCAGTTTGTCCTTTTCCATCTTACATGTACCATTTGAGTATACCATTTGGACATCCCATCTGTGTACGTCATCTGCTCATACCATTTATCCATACCATCTGCCTATACCATTTGACTACCCTGTTTGCTTATCCCATTTGTACGTCCCATTTGTCTCATACCAATTGTATTACACCATTTGGACATTTGACCTATACCATTTGTCCTTCTATCCTATGGGTGTAATGCATACGCCTAAAGGGTGAAGTGCATTAAGCTCTTGTGCTAAAAGATCCAATGCTCAGCTCATAGTATGAGCTGAGACCCTTTATAAACTGCTTGTGCTGTGACCAAGTTTTGAGATTTATGACAATGGAACACTATGACAGTTGTGAGCTGACAGGTGGATGGTTGTCACAGAGGAACAGAGCTATTGGGTGTAGGGAAAAGCACCACACACACTGCCACAAGCCTTCAGCTCAGCAAACATAGACCAAGACAGAGCCTCCGGACCAAAATATGACTGCACAAAGTGAAATACGCAGTAGACCAAAATTTAACCACAGCAGAGGATCGAACTCTGGACCTTCCGCTTACGTAATCTCTAGAAGGCGGATGCGCTAACCTCTGCGCTACAGCGGCTTACGTAAGCGATGGCTTCCAAGCTTTGTGTACAAACACAATCAGACACCGTCTCCCTCCCTTTGCGGGCCGTTTTCCTTTCCCCTTGATTTGAGACCCTCGGCGAGGCCCTGCAGATGCTGCCCTCAGAGCCGAGCTGTTCTTGATCTGCCTGAAGCTGGTTGAATTCGCCACTGTGCCACTGCGCTACAAGTACAGACATTCGTGTTGCTCTTGTGTCGCTGTCACTCTTTCTCACTGTTTCCGCGGAGTGGGTTTCCGACAATTGGCGAGATATGGCGTCATCCTCGACATGTCGCACTTTACTTCCTGTGAACACGGTCAAAAGCGACGAGGGTTGAGACGAGCACGCAAGATGTGTTGGGTGAAGCATGACTTGGAAACTTGACCACTTATCACTCTAAATCTTCTTCCAGAGGTTGAGACCCTACTAACATGGCCGAGCTCACCGTTTTGATGGCAGGGAAGATGTGGGATGACACGGAGGTGGAGGTTAGTCGTTGTCTCTCCTGTCACACTCTTGTCGCTTGAAAAGAACGTCACGCACGATGGGGAGAGGAGAAGGCTGGACAGCTGACGAATAGCGAGAATTGTTCGCCAATGTTACTCATCCTCGACCCGTCAAGTTCATCATGGGTAATTTGGCGCCTGGGGAGCCGATAAGCCTGAGTGAGTTCTGTGACTTGGACCGTCTATTGTATGGTGGTCAGAGCTGACTTCAAGTCCCGGATGAAATAACCCAGGTGGTCGATGGTCTTTTCATCTGGCGAAACCAACTTCGAGCTGCGTGAGTTTTCCCGGGTTTGACTGAAAGAATGTAGCTTATAAAAGGGACATTGCTCGTTTTCCGAAATTGAAAGTGGTCGTACGTTGTGGAGTAGGATACGACGTTATCGATCGTGTCGAATGTGAAAAGAGGGGGATCAAAGTGACCAACGTTCCAGAGTGAGTCTAGCTTTCGTCCTTCCCGACAAGCTCCTTATCTGACCCATAAACTCTTCCCAACTCGCCGGATCACTAACATTTTGTCATTCCCGCTGCAGTATCCGTGTGCTTTCTCCGCCCTCCCTCACTATTTTATCACACCGGATGGCTTCTGATAGCTATGAGACTTAAAAGAGCTAGCGATCAATCCACTTCGAGAACAGGAGACAATGGGTATGAACTGACTTCAGACCCGCCATCATCGACGTAGCCGACCACACACTCGCTTTGGTCCTCTCGCTCCGACGTGGGATCCTGCTTCATCACGACCTTCAACGTCGTGCTTTCCCTTGGAGTTTCCTAGACGGACCTCCTCCCAAATTACTTGAAACCCCCTTATCTGGTCCGTTGGTACAACGCCCACGAGGGAGGACGTTTGGGATTGTCGGACTGGGTAGGATAGGAAAAGCGGTGGGATTACGTGCTCAGGCTTTTGGATATAAGGTGAGTTTGTCGATATTTACTAAGTTGGAACTTGAATCCCAGATGTCCAGAGATGTACAGGATCCCGAGTCAGAACTAACCCCAGGTACTATTCTACGACCCGTTATTACCAAGCGGTACAGACCTCTCATTCTCTTTCACGCGTACTCGTTCCCTCCCTCAACTATTCTCATCATCCGACATTATCTCCCTCCACTGTCCTCTCACTCCTCAAACTCTCAATTTAGTCGATCATAAAGCACTAGAAGACTTGCGGCCAGGTGCTATACTCATCAACACTTCTCGTGGTCCCGTGGTGAACCTCGACGCGGTACACGACTCTCTCAAAGCGGGAAAATTAGCAGCTGCCGCATTGGACGTTTTACCTACCGAACCGCCAGACGCTTCTCATCCCCTCATCAAAGCGTATAGGGATAGAGAAGATTGGTTAGTGGGTAGATTAGTCATCACTCCTCATGTGGCGTTTTACTCTCCTGAAGCTAGAGAGGATATGAGGGTTTTGGCTGCGCAGACTATGGTGGATGTTTTGTTGGATGGTTTGGAGACGAATGTCATACCTCCTTCTGCTTACTGAGGGGTATATAAGAGATTTCGGTTCAGAACTGTGTCGGTGGAGTCAGAGAGGTACAAGACTTGATCGTGATCTGTCTTGGGTCTTATGTCATCTGCCAAAACATACTCGGAGGACTTCCGAGGGCTTCAGGTTATAAGTTGTCATGCAAAAAGTGTCGTCAATCAAACCCCCCTCTCTAATCGTCTCAATGCCATCCACATCCAGTCGCTGACATTCCGTGAGTCAAATCGTCATCATGATATCACTCCTCGTCACCCTCCTCATCTTCCGCATCTGAGACTTCCAACCCTTGCTCTCGCATCCTCTCCTTGTCTTTCTTCCGCTTCTGACTCAATTCTTCTAATAAAACTAACAGATCCTCGTGTTCTTTTTCCTGCTCTGCCCTCTTCTGTCTCTCTTCTTCCAAGACCTTCTCGTCTGCTTCCACCTGTTGTTGCAGCTCAGCGACCTTCCCCTTCAACTCTTCCGCCTGCTTATCCGCCGTCTTCAGTTTCGCCTCCAGTTCTTGTAACGCGCCCGAATGGGATGACCGCAACTTGTCCACCTCGTCTCGTAGCGTCTCAGCGGCTCCTGCGTCAGCCTGTAGCGCCGCGGTCCGCTGCTCTTCCTCGGCCAGCTGCTTTGCCAACGCTTCGTAATCTTCTCTCGAAACGGCGATTTTTTGGGTAGAAGATAATTGAGCCAGTTGCTCAGACAACAATTGCACTTCACCGACGAGGATTTCTTTCTGCGCGGGTCAGCTATAGCATGATAATGTGGTCACCACCGACCTCGTTCTTGTGTTCGGAAGCCTGATGGGCGAGCTTGGACTGTAGACCCATCACTTCGTCGATCTGAGCTTTGAGCTTTTGTCTGAGGGACATGATGATCGCTGCTGTCTCGCTGTCATCCGATGCTATAAGTCAGCCTTCTACCTTGCGATCGGTAACTCCGCGAGCGGGCAATCACAGAGAGCACAGGTTACAAGCACAGATGAAGAATGACTCACAACCAGCACCTCTCACGGCGTCCGGGTCGACGGCGATGGCACGTTGTATCGTGTCTGCGGTTCAGTTGAAGCTCACGCGAAAGTTCGTGATAGAACCACATGCACTACCAGGCAGCAACGAGAAAGTGGGGGAAAGTCTTGACCCACAGTAATGGTTCTTCCAAAAGTCCACGAACGCCCAATCAAACCACAGCTCCAACCCCTCGTCCACATCTTCCACCCCGTCCTGCGCCACCTGCACTCCTCCTTGCGCAGGAACATCGGGGGCACCTTCTGTGTCAAAAGCGTCTGGTTGGACAGCCCGGAATCGAGGGTCTTCTCTCAGTCGAGCCATACGGGAGACAAATTGATCAGGTCCTATCCGAGAGTGGAGGATCGGGTGAAGGGTTGCTCTGTATTTCAGTGACCGTCTTTTCCAAAACGTCTCCCATGATTGATGCAACGTTGTGATACATTGATATGTTCACTATGAAGAGATTGCACTCACCGTGTTATCTCCCCTGGCTCCCGATTGAACTCGTAACATACTCCCAATAGGAAAGCGCTCAGACCTTGAACCAAAGGGTCGATACCCGTTGGTTGAGTAATCGGTTGGATGAGCTGCGGCGTCAGCCATTGTCCCCACGCTCGACTATTCCGCAAAGTACGCGCGAGTGCAGAACTTGACGAAAGAATGATGACTGCAAAGTGAAACCAAGTAAGTGAGGAATGATAAACAATTGGGAGTTAAAGTAGAAAAAAAGCAGAAAAGACTTTTCGTTGTACTTACCACTTGCAGATTGGCACTCTCTGACAAAAACTCCTTGACAGTCTTCGGACTATCCCACAACCAAGTACACAACAACACCAGATACCCTACCATCACCCTACTCCAATCTTCCTCTTCCGTGGCCCCTACCACTTTACCCTCTTTCGCGGCTCTGTTGGCACACTCCGCCTGCTCCCTCGACGCCATCATAAGATTACCCACCACCAGTTGTATCAACGACACTCTGTCCTCGTCGGCTTCGGCATCCAGGGCTGATTGGTCGCCTTCCTCCGTCGTGGATAGCGTGATTTCCCTAGCGAGCTTCTTGGCGTGTTCAGAATCTCGGACGAGGTGACCGAGAAGTAGACAAGCGAAGAGGGGACGATATGGGTCAAAAGGAATTTCCGGGTCTGATGTGGGAAGTTGAAGAAGACCGGAAAGGATAATGGCACCTGCGGTTGGCGATGTCAAGGAGTCGGAAGGGATCATTGAGGTTAAGATGCCTATACGGGCGTCTTCATTGCCAGAGACATATGCCTGTTATGTCAGCGTGCGCTCCGCCTCATACTGTCACTTGGCACAAAGAGCAGAGCGGCATGCAATCGATTTGGCTGGGAAACCGTTGCAATTGTTATCTCAGTTGACAGTATATATTCAGAGCCATTCTGGAAGAATATGCACCAAGTTACCCCTGCAGAGTCCAAATACTGGCGCCACGAACATTAAGGTGACAGAAAGAAGCACAAGAGTCATGCACTCGGCGATGAGCAACCGCGGAGAACCATAAGTATGCTCATATGGATGCCACGAGACATTAGAAGACCCACCTCAAACATGTTCACTCCAGCCGCTCGTCCTCTCAGACCTCTCCCTCCCGCAGCAAGATCACCTTCCACCACGGCGCTCACTAATACTTCCACCGCTGGTCGCGTAGGTAACCGTACGAATCCACCATTAGGATGTTCCTCGTCTGCATGTACCGCGACGAGAGGAGAGAGGCCCAGAGTGGATAACAGAGTTTGGTTTTGAACGGAGGAGGTGAGAATGGGTGTGAGAGTGTTGAGAGCTTGAGATTTGAGACCGTTCGGGGCGTTGGAGGCGAGGGCGAGCTCTAGGAGACATCGAGTGACACCACCTGCTACCATAGCGGACTGAACGTCAGCTGCTGGGAGAGTGAAGTGATCCTAACTCAAAGCCGAGTGATATAGGACGGGAGAACGAGAAGGGGGAGGTGAGGTGATAGTACAGAGGACTGTTGTGAATGCGGTACAGTGATTACCAACGCACTTGATTCGGTCCACCCGGCCCACCAACTAACATCCGAATTAAACCCAAGACCAAACCGACATTGTTGATCTTCTGCTCACGCCAGAATTGGAGGGCGAATTCGTGTGGTGCCGGTTGGTCGAGAGGTAAAGACGGAGGGAATCCTAATATGGTTGGAATGGCGGGAATCAGGGAGAGTTCACGAAAATAGTTCTGAGAGTCAGTCTATTCATTCCTCCTCTCTACCCGGAATGTTACTCCTTCAATGTCAATTCTGGCTTCCTCACAGTCGTCATTGGGTATGACGTTCCTAGTCAAGTCAAAATTTAAATCGAGGAAGTATCATACAGGTTTATGGCCGCATATGGATGATCGATGTGGTGATGAGAAAATCCAAGACAACCACAATCTACTCACCTGATTAGACACGTTAAACCTCAACAGACACCCCACCACCGTCAAAGCGTCCTGGACCACGATCCCACCATTCACACCATTTTCCTGTCGGATTATATCAAACAATCTCTCAAAAGCACCGGAAAAAGCCACAATCTTCTGTAAATCCGCGTTTCCACTCAACATGACAGGTAACAACAATAACGCTTCGTTTCTCAAAATCTCTCCTGCTCCACCTGCCATTCCCACCCCTCCTGCATTCGGAGCGGTACTCGGAGCTTGAGCGTCGAGGACGGATAAGATACCTTCTACACCGGGTGGAGGGGAAGACATGATACATGCCTGAGCGACGGGTGCACGGGAAGTGAGAAGTTGCGAGAGGAATTGAAGGGCGTAAAAACGAGGGTAGAAGGAAGGAGAGTTGGAGAGGAGAGAGAGGAGTGAATGTAAGGGTTGAGGATCGGAGAGAAAAAGGTCGGTAAATCTGAGACCGACATCGTCTCTGGTCGGCTGGAGTGAGTGGGGATCGTACTTTGTGTCGGTGAACAAGAAAGCTCCCCGGGAAGGGTAGGAAAGGGTCACAAATGGGGAATCCGGAGGTAAGAGTAGAAAAAACCATCCAGTGTGGTATGTGAGGGTTGAAGAATAAAAGAGCAACTATGGACGGGGAAAGTGGAAGGGATACTGTTGAGAGGGCTTTGACTATAGTCTAGCGTGTCTGGAGTGCTTCACAAGACAGCTGAAGTTGTGAGACACGCGGATGGAGAAAGAGAAGCTACAGGTGAGGAATCATGTTGGAAGGCAAGGAGAAAATACTCACCTTATCCGGTACTTCACACAACTGCGTCAAAGTCTCCAAAGTAGCTTTAGCAATATCAACATCGTTTGGTGCGTCATATTGCAAAACAGCTACAAGACTGGGTAAAGCTCTATCACCCACTTCCTATAGCATCAGCAATGTCACTCTTCCCACATTCCATATATGTCAACGACCATCATTTCATCTCACTAAATCATTCAAAAGAAGTATAACACCCCAATCCTGAGGAGTAAGGGACAGTGGAGAGTGAAAGCAGTTGAAGAAAGACAAGTCAAACCCACCTCTCTCCAGTCCCTACTTAAGCCTTTCAAACCCAACACTGCAGTTCTCCTATCTTCCACCCCGGCGGAAGTCTGGATCCGATCCACCAACTTATCTATAGTCTCCGTAGCTGTCTGAGGGACGCCTAAATCCCCTCGGAGAGAATTGTAAGCTGACGATATACGGGAACCGAAGAGGGAAGTGAGTTGAGTGGGCATGATACTTTGGTTTGACATTGTGTGGTGTGGTGCGGTGCGGTTTGGTGTCGTGGTGGCGGCCTCTTGCTACTACGATTTACAGGCGATCGTGGTCTTTCTGCTACCTGCCTTCTGAACGATATCAATACTCCCTTGTGTTACCTGCGCTATTGAGAGCAGTACAAGCGAGTATGAGGTACTTATAGGTGTAGGGAGCTGGTGTGAGTGAGAGAACTCCAGTGGACGCGGATTTGATTCCGTCAAATATGGGTCAAGCAAGACATCACAAGTTTGGTCGAGGAAAAGGTACATGACTACGAACAACGTGGTTGGATAGAGAGCTGCTCAATGTAGGTTGCAGAGTGCACGCCAAACCCCCAGGCAAAAAGAATCATGGCATATCATCATGAGTTCGTCAATGTACAAGATACACACCTCGCCTACTCCCGACCCCTGCTCCGTCAGTCACAACCCTTTTCCACCGAGTAACGTGCCACTCAGAATATCTTATCCGTTATCTGCTTATGACCGGCCAGTAGCAGGATCAACTACCTCGCGGAGCATACGATAGAAATGTATACCTCATCATATCACACAGCCAAAATGTTTATGTGAACTAAAGAGGTCAGACAGGATGGGGACGGAAACACTCACTGAGTCACAACCGCCCATCCTTCACCAGGCTCAAAATCCCCTGGATCTTCATCATCCAACAAAGGACTTTTTGGACTTCTCCTACTTCTCGCCCTCACCACTCCAGGTCTCGGGGTCACTTCTGCTGCTACATCATCATCTCCCTTTGAGCCATTAACTCCCGCCTCACCCCTCTCCAACATACTGTAACGTTTGGTCTCCCCTTGCGATGGCGACTCGGTGTTGGGATAAGAAGAAGATTTAGCATGTTTTCCTAACAGAGCCAGAGGTGTGATCGGACCTTCTTCTTCTCTTCCCTGGACCCCTATATTCCCTCCAACATCCCCATTTGCCGTTTTGAATTTTGCAGCAGCAGTGGGCGTGTCGGATAGCGTGTCAGTGGTCATGTGTGGGTGGGGTGAATCTTGGAATGGATGTGGTGAATCTTGATTCGTTCCACGCTTGACAGGCGTACGAGTGGTATTATGAGCGGGTGAGACGTGTATCTCCACACGAGGTCTCGTCTCGTCCGGTACGTCGGGAAAATGTTTCAAGATATCTTGTGTCTTTTCATCGTCCGTCGTCTCTCCTTCATTGCCCGCTTCCTTCTCTGAAATGTTCACCGCGGTCACTCCGTCGTCAACATCAGGCGCCTTGTCAGCATCCAAGTCGACGCGGCTCGTCTCCTCTCCTGCCGGCATCAGTTGAACAGGGTCATTGCGGCTGCGCTCGGCAGGAGGGACTTCCGAAAGAGGATTCGCAGTATCGGGGTCAACTGTGGGTGGGTCAGGGAAATCGGGCTGGGCGACATGTACATCGCCATTTTGACCATCCGTCCTCAGGGCCGTCGCGATGTCTTCATCGGGCTCTTGAGTTTGAGTGTCTTGTCGATGGTGAATATCCCCGTTGGTGTCGCCGCCGACGACATCGACTTCAGCTGCAGGCTGAGCGATGGGAGCGGGTTCCACTTCCACCTGAACGGGCACTGGTGAGACCATTGGGTCGGGATCTGTCATCGTCGAAGCTTCCTCGTGGGTATCTTTGATGGCATCCCCTTGCTGTTCACCCGCCCCTATGTTCATAACAGGAGCAGAGCCGGATTCTTCCTCTGCACCTCCGAACCGCTCCGCATCCGTTTGCATCTGTTCCACATCCTCTGGTTCAACCTCCGGACTGACCTCCTCGGAATCCGCCGGAGCGTGCCAAGTGGCGTCCAGCTGTGCGGCCAGAGCTTGAGCAGGCTGAGAGAGCTCTCCGATAGTCGACACGTCCGTTTCGGTATTGTCAACCTGAACATCCGGTAGCAAGTGTTCTGAAGCGTCTTTGAAAGCCTCTCCCGCCATGAGATTGATAGGATTGATGACCTCGCACTTGGCAAGTGCTTCCTCCGCCCTTTCTTCTCCCTCAGCAGGATCGTCATTTTTGGGGTTGTCCGACCGCGTTTCGTCGTGATCGTCCACATCCATCGTCATCTCCAATTTGTCCTCCATCTCCGTCCCTTCTTTCCAACCAATTTCTCTCGGCGGCACGGCGGTCATGACGTCTTGATCCGGCCGGAAACCAAGGTTCCCCAACATCTTTGGTAATTCCTCCACCCCGACATCAGGATCCACCAAGTCCCCAGCTACACTCCCCTCTCCTCTTACACTTCCTTCTCCCCTGATACTTCCTGCAGTACTCCCTTGATCTCGCATACTCAACAAGTCCAACTCTCTTCTCTCAGCTCGTGGAGTTCCCATTGGAGTTGAAATACCAGACACATCATCCATCATCCCCTGCGCGCCATCTCTACTACTGCCCCAATCACTCAGAACTGAACTATCCGCAGCTCCTCCAGGTGTTCCATACAAACCCTTATTTGCAAGTACTTTGAAACCCTCCAGGCCCCTGTAAGGTGTCGAAAGTCCGGGCACTTGATCAAGGTAGGGGATTCGTTCCGGTGTACCCAGATCGACAGTGGTAGCCATGGGTATGCGAGGTGTTGCGACTGGTATCGCTTCCACGTTGCCCGCCACGAGATCCGCATCAGGGGGTGGAAGATTGATAATCCCAGCTACAGGAGTATTAGGCACTGACAGCTCGGCTGTTGATTCGCCGGCTTCAGCTCGAGTTGAACTGGGTGTCATGGCGCCCGGTCCCCCTTGGTCAGGTAGAGTAGCGGCAAGGAGACCAGGAGGGATTGCAAGGTCCAATCCAGGTGATGAAGGTGGAGAAGATTTCTGAGATCCATGTGGGCTGACGGAAGATCCGGGAGCACCGGAAGCGGAGGATGAATCAACGCTACCTGTCGGACTTTCTCTACCTGACCTCCCGGCGCCAAGGGGTTGAGTGACATTGGAGCCTTTAGAGGGAGGAAGTGGTGCACCGGAGGGGATACGATTACCGATTAAACCTTTGTTCTCAGAGACACGTCTACCCGTGTTGACCAATGCGGCAGTTTTAGGGTCCAACGAAGGCAGTCGATTACCTATCAGACCGAGACGAGCGGCGGAGGATGTGGATTGCGGTGGTCCGGCAGAACCGAAAGGACGGGTGGGGAGTAGTGGAGGAGCAGAAGGGTTTTCGAATCGGGCTATACGGTCCTTGAGAGAACCAGAGACGAGACGAGCGGATTGGTTGTTGCTGGCGGAGGAAGAAGGACGAGAGTCGGCGTTAGGTGGGGTGGGTGGTCTGAGATGAGCCATGATGAGGTGTCGGTTGGACGAGGGAAACTTACAATCCTGCCATTATGCAGGGTCTTCAAGGAGAGACCTAGATATTAGAGAGGACGACAAGGGCTGAGACTTGGGTGACGGTCACGTCTCGACGTGGAACTGAGACAGTCAGTACATACGCAACGAGGAATGACGTAGAAAGTGATCAAACTGAACTCACTGATCAGTAAGCGAGCTGACAAAAGCCAAGGCTTGCGCGTGTCAAGTAGGATGGGGCGAGAATGACCTGTCTATTCGCTGACGGAATAGAAGCCTGTATATTCGACGACGTTGAAAGTGATGAAAGCAGAGGAGAGTTGTCCTAACTTATAGACGGACAAGGCAAAAGGAAGAGCGTCAAAGGTTGCGAAACCGGCTGGTACTGGTAAGGTATGGGGAATTTCCCACGGTGGTAGACCTTTAAACGCGTCCAGCCAGACACAGCCAAACACAAGAGAAACATCTATCTCTTAACCCTTGAAGCTACTGTATCTATCTTACCTCGTATCATCCAGCATGGGTCTACAACGTACACCACCTCAACGTGTAGGACAACCTCCTCTCACTACGCCAGCTCAATCTGAATCGACACCTCTCCCGCCGCAGTCCCTTCACGATGCCAGTCAAATTGGTCGACCCTCAGATAGTCTAGGTATGGGCGATCAGACACTCGCTGCTGCCCTCGGTACCGGATCTCCTTCTCGTGGTTTCCTCCCGAAGAACCCACGTGTACTTCGAAGTCCAGTGGGGGAATCGCAGTCTCCTCTACCTCCAACAACGTCACATGATACTTCCACCACGCCTGAGCCTCTGGTGGGGGGTATCATGGAAGTGGAAGATCAAGCTATGGAGGTGGATCAGGAAGAGATCGAAGATAATCTCCAGCCTCCGACCCTCACGCCTGCACTCACCACCACCCCCTCTCTCCCACTACTTGCTGCTCAAGCTTCTGGAGATGTCGAGACGTCAAGTAGCGGTCTTCACCGGAATCCACCTCTTCTCAACGAGGCAGGCCCATCCACCACTCCCGTCAAATCCCCACCTCGTACACCCGCTTCTAGAACTTTGAAAAGTTCCACACGACGGAAATCTCTCAGAACACCTGCTCAAGTACTGTCGGAACCTGTCAGACCGATTCCGGAAGAACCGATGGATGAGACGGAAAAGTACGGGAAGAGATATGGGATGATGATGTATGCGTTAGAGTTGGCGATTAAGAATGGGACTCAGAAGTGGTCGTAAGTGGCTTACCTCCTAACTGTCCCTTCAGATCCAATTCAAGGCATTATCTAATCCCCTACTCCACGTAGATGCGGTTTTTTTTCGGTCGTAACGATTTTTCCCTCTCTCAATCTCGCTCCGGGGGAGACGTCCTTTGTGCGGTACTATTTTCTGTGGTGCAGAAGCTGACGATTAGTGTAAGAGATCTCCAGCAATGTTTCCCCTTACTTGCCAAAAGGATGTCGTCCAGTTTAGAGAATGTGTATTTGGGTTCTTCAAGGAATATGCGGGAACAGATTGAGGTGGGTTGACTTCTCATTCATACCTCGACCTCATAGTCAACGTTCCTTCGAAATATTTTACCTCTCAGACCAAACTGGCATACAATCATCGACATCATACTCACGCTTCTCTCACAAATATTTCATTCTTCAGACCTAACAAGCTGGATAATATAACAGAAAAGCTGACCTCGAGAACGCCGCGAAATCTCTATTGGAAGATTATCGTGCTGCTCCAGCACTACAACTTCTAGACGAAGTGGTCGATGATGCCAAAATGCACAAAGCTTCCGGTGGAGGTTCACGATCAGATGCATGGCGGTGAGTAATTCAATTATTTCACAACTCCAATCACACTTTGCGACCTATACTCAAATAATCTTCCAAGTGACTCAATATTCCATTCTTCCGTCTTTCTTTTCCGATGCTCCTGATTCGGAGAGATCAATCTGTAATATTCTATCAGACTTTTAAATCAGCTATGTGTCGTTTTTCGAAGTCTTGGACTTGGGGTTTGTACGAAAGTCTTAATCTGTGTAACTCATCACAGTCCTGATATCTCACCAGCCGCTTTGACAGCAGCAACAAATTTACCAATCTACGACGAAGCTTATGAACGATTACGATCCGAGTTGTTAGAAGTGAGTATAATTTTCTTATACACCCCCTTCCTTGTCAAATGTCGCACCACAGTCTTCCTCTCCTTTTCCATATACCCTCCACCTCCACTTGTTTGCCAGTCAGATTCCCTGCCCCACCTGAATCTCATCATTTGATGTCGCTTCCTCGTCCCAAAAAAACAAAGTCTGACGCTCAGCTACACGCTGACAGTTCACAACGATATCGTTCCATTCAACAAAAACGTCATCAACTCTCTCAAGTCGAATCTTCCCTTTCGCTCGGTTTGTCCGAACTGGACTCTGCATTGGAGATCTTTGATAAATCACCGGAAACAAGAGAAAGTATGGCCAGTTGGATGGAATTAGTTTTAGGTCGATTAGATTGAATGTCACATTTTTCCAATTGCAGATTAATTGTTCTGATGGTTTGTATTTTGATGGTTTATATCTTGATTAGGGTATTCTATACTTGATTCATCATGGTATAGTAACCAAAAGGACGTTAACGATGAATCAGTTAATTAGACTCGGTCTTCGTCAACTCTGACTAAATTAAAATAATTCTTTCTTTTCTCTGGTTACTTTCTGGAAGATGGACAAAGGACAAATCAAGATGTTGCACTGTTGCACTGTTGCATCTTTCCACTCTAATCGAGTATCACCCAGACTTACACTACTTACACTATATGAGGAATTTCAAATACAAGTCCAGGTCATTCCACAACTCAAGCCCTAGCTTTATTTATACATGACGCGACAAGTCGAATAAAGTAGGAGAAAGAAAAGGAATTATCGTTTAAACCCATCCCTGTTCTTCCCTCTCTTTCTTCCCTAAAGCAGGCCACAAATCACTTAATCTCCCTGATGTTCTGATCACCTGTCTCTCTCTCTCGATTCTAGGTCTCGGAGGGGGATACAAACTTCTTGGACCTAATCCTTCTTCCCTCTTGTCCCCGACCTCACCTCCATGTTCCACCTCATCACTTACTCCACTCGCTGATCCATGTTCGCCTTCTCCCACTCCACTACCTCCCCCTCCAGGTCCATTCGAATGAGAAGAAGAATTCGAAGGATTTGTAGAAGACGGTAAGAATGGCCAGGTCGCCATGGTCGGTGATTCCAACGAAACAATCTTCGAAGTTGATATAGGTCTACTTATCCCGCTTCCTACTCTCATCCCATTGATACCAACCCGATGACCATCCCTACCACCTGTCGACTCGGGAAGGTTAGATGATGAATTGGCAGAATTGTCTTGATAATTTGGGTGACTCGAAGGGGGATGATACGGCGGTGGAGGGACGAACCAACTTTCTCTTTGATCATCTGAATTTCTTTCTAGATCCATCTTTGTCATTGCTCTTTGTGGCGTGTTGTGTTTCCGAAGATGAAACAAATCCTTCCATCTTCTACTCCTCTCTCCATCTCTCCTTTCCCCCCTGACAGATGAATCGGTTCGGTTAGATTTATTCGAATTCAGGCCCATTTCCCTAGCCTCCCAAGCTGCTTCCCAATCCCACTGCGGTGTGTTTCTCGTAGTATGGTCAAAGGCGGGTGTAACATCCTCAGGAGAAGGAAACCTTCTAAATCCAAACACCCTTTCCAACCTCAACGCCATCAAAGCATCCTTGACGTGATGTACACCCATACCCCGGCCAAATTCCTTTGTGGCCTCTCTCGTCCTTCTTCTTTCCCTTATCACCCACCAGACGACCAGACCCACTACTGCCAATCCCGCTGGAAGGCCGAATAATCCCCAGAGCGATTCATCCTCCGATGTGAGCAGAGTCGATAAACATATACCTAGTCCATTGGCGAAACCACCAGAGTTGCATCCCGCCCGAACACAGGTCCCTCGTTCCAGCATGAATCCGTCCACGCATGATGTACAGGATGACGAGCCTGAGGCAGAACAAGATCCACAGTGATAGTCGCATGCTTGACACGAAGAGTGGGACGAGTCCCAGTACATGTCTTGAGGACAGTGTGTGACGCATCGACCGAGGAAGAGCACTGGGGAGGACGAGGGGCAGGAGGTGCATGACGAAGCGGATAGAGGAGAGGAACAAGTGGAACACGATGGGGAACATGGAAGGCAGGTGGAGGCGTTCGTGGAAGTCGAAGGGAGAAGGCCAGAGGGACATGTCGTTGTGCAACTACCTCCAGAGGCGAGCAAGGGCGAAGGACAAGAGGTGCAATATGTCGAACTGCCGATGCAAGTTGAGCACGATGAGTCGCATTCTGAGTTTCAGTACCAGATTCAAATCCTATGACAGAAACTTGAAGCCTTTCATGTTCAGGATCATCAGATGCCATGAGGCAAACACTCACTCTGACAGGTCCCATTGGTACCACTACTTCCCGCTGGAAGGTAGTATCCGTCCGAACACGCCTGAACACATTTCCCACCTTCCATCAGAAATCCTTCTTGGCAAGAGGAGCATTGCAGGTCCGAGTAGCTTGACGAGGCTCCAAAAGACGGGATTGAACAGGCTGCACAACCGACAGGGCACGCTGCCTTCGTCAGCAAGCTGGTTTTACTTTGAGGCGAGCCACTCACCATCACACTTGCTCTTAGCGTTATCGACAACAAAGCTCCCCTGCAGTCCCGACAGGCTGGAATCACACACACCGGTACTGACATCGTACCCCACGCAAGAGCCAGCCAAATTGACCCGAGGTGACGCGCAGGCCAGACAGTCGGTGGGATTGGGGCCGGTGCAGCTCGCACACGACGGCGAGCAACTGAAGATCAGCAAGGACTCAATGTCACGGGGACCAAAAGGGATTTTGGGTGCTACTCACCCTTGACATGAGGAAGAAGCAGAGTCCCAATACTGTCCCTCGGCACACGTTCCAGTGGCCTCACAAGTGGCCGGAGTGGCAGACGAGAGTGAAAGATTGGAGGCACACGCCGTGCAGACGGGCGTCGCGTCTGTGTCGGCTGAGAGGAAACAGGTAGTGCATCCCAGCGGGCAGGCTGAGCATCAGTTCGAATCCAAGAAGCCAACAGAGTCATCCATCGATTCTACTTTGAAATAGGACAAGATCATTCAGGAGTCTCACTCACCCAAACAGTTGTCATGAGCATCCTGAAAAAACCCCTTGGAGCATGTCGAGCACTTTTGTTGCGACCCGCTAGTGGATTGCCATCCGGCGGAGCAGGTACAGCTCCCATCAGGGGCACAGGTACCGTGTAGGCAGTCACATGCTGGCGATCAGCTACAGAGCTTCATAAGTTCGAACGGACAAGAGTCGACTCACTAGCATTAGATGACGGAAGAGACAAGCAGTGCCCAGTACCCGCGAGACCGTCATCACACACGTCGCACCCGGCATCACAAGCTAGACACTTTAGCACTAGATCACAATGAAGGTGTGATCACGAAGACACACGACACTCACCTTGGCATGAACTCCCATAAAACCCTTTTGCGCACACATCACACTGTTGGCCGTCCCAGCCTGATTGACACTGGCATGCTGCCGTGGAAGAGTTTGTTGAGATACATATTCCCTTATCGGTACATGCAGGAATGCATGCTCCTATTCGTGAGCTTCTACAAACGAGAGAGCTCAAGAAACTCACCCGAACCGGCTCCGACGATGTCTTTCGAAGATAGTCCGGAAGGTAGTTGTTTGGAATCCGGTACAGCACCCCAAAGTGCGTAACCATCTCCGAGAATGGCACACCACTGACTCGGCAAAAGCACACTCTTCCACTCTCGGTCGGTCCAGCCGGATGACGACCAGGTCATTGGCGAACCAGTATAGCCATGTTCTGTGAAAGATACAGGATAGGAAGGAAATGATATAGTGACTTGATCGTTCTTTGCAGTGATAGACTGGTTGAGGGCGGATGGGACTAGAGCTGATAGGATTACTGAAGAAGATGGATATGTTCCAGGGGTGTATGCGGTACCTTGAGCTTTGTTATATGCGAGGACTGCATGTTAAAGGTGACACGTCTGATAGGCAGACAGCGAGACTTGAGTTTTAACCCTGGGTGTGGTGGAAGTCAGAGAGATGGGGGTAGGAGAACGATGTAGACGACGAGAAAGACACTCACTACCAGCCTTTGAGGTGCCATCGAGACAGGCAGAGGAAGAACATGTCTGACGTTGGTATGCGACTGAGAACATGAGCAGAGTCCCAAGTTGAGTGACATAGTCAACGTACCTGTTGATGGAGCCACAAAGAGGGCGAGGATTAGCCGTACTATCATGACTGTAAAGAAGATGGATTAGAGTGAGTCAGAAGAAAGAGATAAAATGTGAGTGAGGAAGGAGTTGATCAAGACGATAGATGTAGAGTAAGTGAGAAAGTGAGACAGTTGAGTACAATTGGCCTTGTTCATCACTACGTATAAAGCCCTTTACAGAGAAATGAGCTTCTTCACTCTGCCATCAGTATCAATGTCCCATTGTTCTCCCCTGTCGTTTTGTTCCTCCCTGGGCGAGAACCAAGAGGATGTTTAGGACGCATGCGTTTCATGATGATGTGGGGAAGGAAAGAGTGGATCATATTGTCAGATGGACAAAAGGCGAGCAGGGGGGTGGAAGGAACCCCAACGGCTTAGCACCCGTGGGAAAGTTTAGAGAAATCCGGTCACCCATTGTCACGTGACCTTTCCACTCGGCGTCTGAATTGAATTGGCTTTCTACCAGTAAGTACCTCTATTACGATTTTACTCGTACTGTAGTAGTATAGCAAGCACTCTTGGGACTTGCTTGAATCATGTCATCATCAACAGATGTCACTCTTCAATTCTCTGCAGAGCTCAAGAAAGTGCCCGGGGTTCTGTCCGTCACGCCCACCGCTGTCGCCTGGGTTCCCAGTGTACCGGGCACGATGGATCGTCAGTCACAAAACTTGAATCGGGCTATTGGTGAGTTTCTGCCTGCCTCCCCCCCCCCCCCTCCTTCCCATGACCGACCGTCTGTATCTTTATCACGGACCACATGATCATTCACATGTTGTACGATCTCACTGACTCGCAGCAATGTTCGCATCCAAACCTACCTCCCCAAGGATATCCCTCAAGATCACTTTCAAAGATGATATCCCCTCGGGTGGTCTCACTTTCACATTCACCTCTCCTACCTCCTCCTCTGATCGTACGTCTGTACAAGATCATCTTATCCCTTACATCACAGCTAATCGAGCTGCCTCTGCCCCCACCCCAGCAGGTCCTTCGACCCCTTTAACAGGCTCTACACCTGGGACACCATCGGCTGTGGCAAAAGGTAAACGGAAAGCCGATGAGACCCCCGATGCGCCTGTGAGAACCCAAGGATTGGAATTTAAAATCAGGAGGAGGGTGTTGGAGAAAAATCCTAATTTGAAATTGTTACATCGTGAACTCGTCTTGGGTGGTCAGATTCAGGAAGAGGAGTTCTGGGATGGTCGGGAGGTGAGTCAAGTCCTGAAGCGTCAAACGTGATACCGTCACTTCACATCAGGGACAATTATGTGGACCACTCGATTGGGAAAAAACGCTAATTGGACACAGGCCCTACTTCACGCAGAAGAAATGGAATACGCTCAACGACCAGGTAGACCTTCTCGTCTACTAGACGATCGTTTTGACCTCACTGGAACGAAGAAATCCGCTGTGACAGTGGGAGGTACAGGTGTGGGAGTGAAAAAAGTTGAGAGTGGACCGGTTGTCCTGAACATCACTAAAGAGCTCACGAGGGAAATCTTTGAAGAATTTCCAGTCGTCCAAGATGCCTATGCGAAGTTTGTACCAGGTGTGAGTGTTGGATCACCAACCCCCTTGACCCCTTCCTTTCTTGTTTTTGTCAGTCATGTGTTTCGTATTAACTGGAGTATCTCTCATCCCCGTCGACCCTCTCCTACATGTGTGTGATAAGATATTTTATATTCCCGCTTACCCTCAGATATCCGAGGCAGAGTTCTGGTCTCGGTACTTTACTTCACAATTATGGGAACAACACCGAGCCTCTGTTCGAAAGTCCACAGCGGAAGAAGGGGCGAAACGCCGAGACCCTATATTTGATCAGTACCTCGAGGAACCGGATTGGGGTGAGTTTCATTGATCTCCATTTGTTGACAAAGAATATCCCTCACTTCATTGCGTCACATCCTTTCTTTGTCTTGTCGTTGATATCATCTTCACCCGCTCAACAGATATGTTGGCCATCCGCTGATTGATCAGATGCACAACCGAAACATGCACCTTCCGATCAGATCGAGCGGTTTCTTGATCTGTCAGCTACAGAGGAGGATCATGGCGAAGTAGGTCATCTATATAAACGATCATATCCTCGCCTAGCCAAGCGGTGTCTCCTGTCCTTGACTCTCCACACGGACCTGGTCACTCTCAGACTTCTCCTCCAGCTGTCTGTCGGACCTTGAATCGTGAGTAATACAATGATGTGTGTACTTACATCTAGGCCATCACTGTCCGCGACGTAACGATGCAAGCTGGCAGAGAAAGAAGCTCTTTACCACTTATGAGACGATTCAACGATCATTCGCAAAAACTCTTGAGAGCAGGGCGGGATCCAAGTCGATTAAGTGAGAGTACACTTCCGGAAGTGAGTGTTTTTTAGCTCCCTTCAAAAACTATGTCTCTGTCTTATTCACGCACAGTTGGAATGACTATGCTGAAACTTAGGACGTGAACATTTACAACGAGATTGACCTTGAAGATCTACACTCTCCAGCTGCATCAGGCACTATAACGCTTCAAGTACGAGATGAACCAATCCGGAAGGATGGAAAAGAAAAAGTTCTTCTGCCTGGTAAGACCCCAGAGGTGTGTTTCTGAACTTCACTGAGCAATTTTCCACACTTAATCCGCTCCTCACTATTACCTCCATTCTCGCTGGTATTCCCTTTCAGCCCGTCTACCCTGTACCCGTCTTGTCATTGGATATCGGGTGACATGAGTCGTCACACCACTGGCATCTGTGTAATCCCGCTGACGCATAGGAACTCGCCGATTTGGCGGAGAGAGAAACTCGCCGTATCCTCAATTGGACACCCGATCTATCTTCCGTCTCTCTTCAACCCCCGGCAGGAGGATGGCAAGCCAACCGACTTGCATCAACTTCCACGGGAGATGAACTTCAACAAGCAGAAGCTTACGAAAAATATGCAGCTCAGAGAGATGGTCAAAGTGCTGCTATACAAGTTGTCAAGGACATGTATGTGGCTAGTAATTTGGAAAGGGTGGAATTGCGTGAGCCTTCTTCTTTTTTCTTTTTCCTCACCCCCTCCTCTGTCTGTTTCTTTCTCTTCACCAAATACTCATTCGATCATCTATACATGATCTACCTTCTCCTGCCTGATCTATAATGTCCTGCCGACCTCCAACCCCTCTCGCAACGAACCTTCTAACTGGGTCGTCCTTTCGTTTGCCAGCCTGACCTTTAAATCGTTCTCGTCCAATTACAGTATCCAGCATAAGTCTATCCAACCTTACGATCAGCCGCAATACCAGATGAACTCCTCCACCAAATCCGATCTTGTCACAATGCCGCCACTGAATTTCTCCGTCAATACTATTCTGCCACCCTTCCTAATCCTTCCAACCCTAACCTCACTCCTGCGGCCGTATCAGCCAGATCGACCCGAGCTACTAAAATGGCACAATATCTCCGTGGGACAGAAGCTAAAGTAAACGCTGTGGTACATACCGCTCAAATCGCCGGTGTGGATCCAGAGAGGGTTAGAGCTGTTTTGAGTTGTACGGTTGGAGCGGTGAGGTTAGCTTTGATCAGAGAAGAGAGGAGAAAGGGGTTTAGTTGATAGTGCAGGTGGATGGTGTGACCAGGGGGTTGGGGGTAGGGTATGGTGATCTTTTTCTTGTCAGTTGGTGGATGGGGAGTAGTATCGTAGAATAACTGTGTCAAACGTCCATGCAATAATACATTCCATTTGTCGACTTTACATCTCAAGTGACTGACATTTGAACAGTCATCTGTCGGAAGGAACTCCTGACACTGTTCGATGATACGTCGCCCGATCACCTGGCCCGGAAGAGACTTGTATGAATTACTCAGACGGGAATGAAGAAAACATGTGAAACAATCGTGGGCTGTATGTTTACCTTACACTCAACAATGGATGATGAAACGGGAGGAAGAGAATTGACACATCTTGATTCATTCTCAGTTCTCACAAATCTATATTAAAACACCCACACCTACACCGAGAAATATAGTCAAAATAAATGATGAACAACTCAACCAACTGATCCCTCTGAATGAAGGTATATATCGTAAAGCACCATTCAATTGATCTGGTAGACCGTATTCTGTCGACAAAGATGTGGAATAACCTTGAGGATGATAAATTGTAGCTACGGCTGCAGAACCGTTTTGTTCTTGTGTTGCGCAACCTTGTAGAAGGAGCTGTGAAAGTTAGTCAAGACCAGTGATTATCATTCTCTTTCCTCTGTGTCAATAGTGATTCTCATTTCTCTTCACCTCGTTCAACAGTGATTCTCATTATCCTTCTCCTTGTTCAACAGTGATCCTCATTATCCTTCTCCTCATTCAACAGTGATTCTCATTATCTTTCCTCCTTTTCCAAAGAGAAACGGAAAGAGAATGAGTTTGTCTGACAGAAGGAGATGGTTGAAATGGATAGGGATTTGTAGTTCGGTAGATAGTATATCGATGGTTTGGTCTCATTTTAATGAGAGAAAGTAAATGAAGTAAGAATGAAATATGAGTGTATCCCGTGAGGTAGATTACAATGAGTGTCAAGGTAGAGGGGAAACAGAGAGAAGGAAAGGTCCAGGGACAAGATATAGAGATATTGCGTGGGAGATATGGGTGAGGAACTTAGAATGGGGAAAGACTAAGAAATATTACTCACAGATAAATCAGAAACTATGACAGATGGTGTAGTAGAACTACTCTCACAAATCCCAACATTCTTCAAATACGCTTCTTTACCATCTGAAGGTGTGGATTTATTCCCACTACACATACAAGATAAAAACTCGTTTGCGTAAGTGTAATTTGCTAGATTTGCTATATTTCGTCAACTCTGTTCTTTCTTTTCAATCACACGATATTACTTTCAATCACACATCATTACTTCCACTTACACGGGATTACTTTCTATCACACATTAGTATGATTGAACGATTATTCTCCCTCTTTCTCTAAAAAAAGTATACAAGGATCATACAAATCTTCCCACCCACTCACTCACACGAGAGATATCAAAGAAAGACTCACGTTGAGGATCAAACATTCCATGACAATATCCTAACACTTCGGAATAATCTGAACATGCTAATACGCTGACTGGATCCGTTGTGGCTGCTCTGATGGGGAGAAATAGTAGATATATCGTTATGAATGTCATTAGAAGGAAATGGGTCCACATGATTGATTAATTTGCTTTCTAGTTTATCTGGCGATCACTTGGAAAGTAGCGATGATCTAGATGTGGTGATGTTCGGTGTCGATTTCTTGATAAGACCTGGATGATGACTTTGATAGTATGGGAGCTGGTGACGGGAAAAGGATGGTAGGAGATAAGCTGAGAGAGGACAAAGTCGGTCGAGAGGATGAAAAAGAACAGTAGACGTAAGAAGTGTCGATGGCGATGGCGACGATGGCGGTGGCTGTGTCAAGATAGATCGTCGTCTCACGCTTCCCGATGATAGTTTTGTACTGAACGATCTTCAACTACTCAATACCTGGCTCTCTCGTTAAGTCGTAAGTTGAACTTCGAATGGATTGACAAGAAATAAAGTAGATTGTAGAAGTGGACAAATGTACAATGGGAAAAACACGAGTTATCAGCACTGCCTATTCTTCGCTAAGAGTGAATAAGACGAGGGCCAAGTCTGCGTTGTCTCAAGGGTTCTCTGCCGATCAATGGGCGGTGTACGTGGGTTCGGGCGAATCAATGAATCTCTTGGAGGGAATGTTAAATAGCGAGTAGCGAGGAATTCCAAACAGGAAAGATGATAACAGAGATGAATGAGAACAAGTGGGTGGACTGAAAGAGGAGCGGAGTTGGGAACGAATGAAAGGAGGTTTGGTGATATTCGAAACAAAGGACATCAGTAGGTAGACGAGTTGATCTGTTCGAGGGTTTCACTCCCACGCTTGCTTTCTTCTTCCGTTGACTGATCAATCTTATGGTTTTTGTTACGCAGTCGTCATCATCTTGGTCAGTCAGTCGAATCAAACGTGAGGCCGTGAGTTGTTGTCAGAAGGAGTGATTGCGCCTCGTGGTAGAATGAATGAGAAGAAGGCGCAAGTCTCACATGATTTATTGTTATCCGATGCCACCGTGCAGAGATGATTAGGGCGTAGTGCAGTGTTCGTGAGGGACATCACTAATCGCATGTGGAATGGTGGGGTAAAGCGGTATCACAAAGCGTGTGTACCGAACGTATCGCTAGAAGTTGTCGTCGAATCTTGGTCGACTTCTAAGCTACGTCTACCGGGGTGAGAGTATTCCGGCTCGGAATGATCTCTTTGATGTTGGAAGACTACACCGTCGTCAGAGGGACCAAATTTGATATGATTCGAATTGCCTTCTGTTTGTTTTTCCTGGTTCGACGAATCGGCGATTTGTACGTGAAGCAGGGAAGGTGGTTGTGAAACAATGCGGCATTTTGAGACATCTTGAGTCAGTATCATCCACTGTTACGACTGAGGGTTCACGTATTATTCTTCAGATGGAAAAAGAGATGCAACGTGCAGTGAGGGTATGTTGTAAACTCACCGTCTTTGTGCGTGACAAGAGATTCTCCCAGCTGCCTGAACACATAATCCAAACTCTCAAAAGCCCTCTCTGCCAATTCAGCATGTCTAACCATCAGTACCCTCTCGCTTCCGAATGACGAGATGACATACCTGGTCGCCTCCTCCAATTTACCAAGTACGTCCCGCAAGACATCGTCATTCTTTTGTCCACCACTCCACAGTGTTTCTACTGAGACACCTGTCTCAGCCTGAAGAAGCCTGTCAGTCATATCAAGACAGGAATACAGTATCAGACGTTGTGTAAGAGTTAAAAAGATGGGGCAGTCCGACCCCCAAGGGAGCAAAGTTCCCACGTACCATTCGAGAACAAAGGTGAGTGATGGATGGGATAAGATTGAGGGACGGGAATAAGCTTGGTTTGCCTTCCTTCGGATGGATACTTCTCAGATGGTGGGTGAGACGGACCATACATCTCTGTGATGTGCCAGATTCTGAGAGGGGGGAGCCTGGGTGTCGGGTGGATAAATGAGTGTACAGACGACGATTCGAAATTATGAGTAGGGAAAGGCGAGAAGGGTGAGTGGAAGGGGGAGGGGGGACGGGAAGGGAAGGGAGGGTCAAAGGGAGGGTGCTGCAGGACAATAGTCAACACAGTTAGAGATTTTGACAATGTACCACCACTAGCACAGGGGTATCACAGTACGGGTGTCACGCTGGTAGCACTGTTCAATAGTCGTCCATGGCGATGGCTGAGGGTAAAGTTGCATCTTTCACAAGTAAGTTTAGTTTGAGTGAAAGGAGGTGGGATAGACATAATGCCACGTGTAAACCCCCGCCACGTGGCGTCTTATCACTCCCAGTTTCAAATTCCAGCCAAATCGCTTTTGTCCTCGAAATGACCCCCTCTCTGTTGGCTTCCCTATTATGCCCCCTTCCACCCTTGTCCCCGTACAATGGCTCCTCGGGTCGTGGCACGGCTTCAGTCTGATCACTGTTGTAACAAGGAAAGAAAAAGAAAATCTCCAAAATGAGACATCCGAAAAGGTTCGGCCCGACAAGGATGGGATGGAGATATATACTGACATGATTACCGTCTTCACTTTTGCTCATAACTTTTTTCCGTTCTTCTCTCTACTGTATCTTGTCTTCTTGCGCTACTTAGTCTGAACCACTCCCACTACCACAGACACTGATAGGTCTACAAGGTCCACCGAAAGTACACACCACTGTACGACGCAAAGAGGACATCATCACCGTCAACGCTATGACCACCACACTCGACAACGCAGAACACCAAGACGAGTTCTTTCGTTCCATCCAACTCGTAGATTCATCCGAAATGTCAGAGATGAGAGGTGGGACGAAACCTTTGAAGGTGAGGAAAAGGGCGCAACCTGTCCGCGTGGTTGTCGGTGGTCCCGGTGAGAACAATCATTCCTCTTCATCATTCTCGTCTTGCTTCCTATTCCCCACTCGTCTTGACTTGACTTCTTTCCTCTAGTATCTTCTTCTGTACCTTCCCCCACCCGCTCCCTGATTGTGTATGTTTTCAGTCGTTTAGCGGGAAAGACAACACGCTGACCCACATCCAGCTCGTCGACATCGGTCCACCATCACTCTCCCTCGTTCCCCCCATTCCGCCCGTTCCTCCAAATCTTTCCGACCAGCTTATACACTGTCCTCACCGACCTCACCCCAGACACTCATTCGTCAACTCCACTCCCGCTCTCAGTCAATCAAAACCATCAGCACCCAATCTCAATCTCACCGTACCCCTTCCCTCTCTTCCACACATTCTCGAGCCCATCAATCCATTTCCCGTCTTTTCATGTCCCTCGTGGAGAATTCTGATTCACCCATCTCACCACTGGTCATGTCACCTCCTATCCCTTTCACCAAGTCAAAGACTAGACAATCACGTTCTTCCTCTGGACAATCAGAACTTCATTTAGGATTAGGAAAATTCACGTTATACGACGAATCTGCTAAACCACTACCATCCCCACCTTCTTCTCCTCTTCTCTCCCCAAGACATTTGCAAAAGATTTTACCTCCATCACCTTTCACTCCAACCCCCATGACTCCCTCTCGTGCACCTAGGAAAGCAGCAGCATTGTTAGGTACAGGTGCCGCCTATTCTGCTCCTGTACATCGAGGAAAGAAAAGGAAAGAACACTTCCGACCATTACCTTCTTCAACTTTATTAGAGATTGAGAGGTTCTTTGGGGAGACACCAAGACGGCAGAAGAAAGTTCCATCAGGGGTGAAACTCAATGCCAACGTGAAAGCTCAGGCGAGAGCGCATTCAGGGAGAGATAAGACGAGAGATGACATGGGAGCAGGGAGAAGGTTGGGACATGTGGGAGAAGATGGTAGTATGTGGTTGGATGTGGAGGAAGAACAAGAGTTTGCTTGGTTGATGACGGATTTGGTGTATCCAGAGTACGCCTCGAAAGAATTCAAAGTTCACAAATCTCAAAACCATCTCGTCGATAAGGATGGTAAGAGTGTTCATAAGGTTCAAGATGGGGCCAACCTTGAAGTATTATATGAAACAAGTGACGAAGAAGGATGGGGGATGAAAGCTTTCACATCTGTTTTGTCTATCCCTAAAACCCCCAACAAGGGAAATATCCCCACCAATTTGTCTTCCAATATGGTGTCTATCACGGCGAGAAGAACTCCACGTCCTGATAACACCCCACATCCGTGGAACGCACCACTACCTTCCACCCTCTTAGCCTCTACACAACATGCACGAGCTGCTGCTACAAGTCGGATGAATGTTGGTAGACTCTCACCACGTTCCAACTCGCCAGAAAGCGATACGAACAGTGGGGTCATCAGTGCCGGTGAAAGCGTAGGTGGGAGTGGGAGTGGGAGTGGGAGTGGGAGTGAAAGGAGAAAAGATAAACCTCGACCACCTCCTCTCAATTTAAAACCTTCAAAACGTAATCCTAAACTTCCACATATCTCCCGAACACCTATCTCCTCTGACAAGACACATCATAATCGCACCCCCGACGTTCATCTCCGCGACGATGATCAACACCATCATCTTGCCCAGATCAACACTCATCATCTTCGTGACGTAGACAAGAGCGGTATCGGGCGTAAAGACAACATAGCCATTCCAGATTCAGCAACCTTACCAAATGGTATCACCTCTTTTCCCAAACTATCATCCCATAGGAGTGTATCTGAAAAAGATATCCCAGGAACTCCATTCGTACATCCTCGAAAAGCCCCCAAACCGAAAGACGCAATACCTCCCGTACCTCTGATCCGGCTTTTCTCTGGGAAAGATGTGGTTGCACCCAAATCCCGAAATCCCATCAGGGTAGCGGCAGAGAGAAGGGATACTGATTCCAAGGCTGGCAAAAGGTCACGGGCGGAGGGAAAGAATTTGAATCCAGAATATGGAATCAAGACTCAGGGAGAAATGAGAGGGTTAGATTTCGGTTTTGACATAAAAAGACAAAAAGATCTTGAGGTATCTGATAAGTTAGGATTGGGATCACGAAGGACTGATGCTGGACGAGTCAAAGCGACTTCGATCGGGATTGGGATGCAAGGGATGAGAAATGATAGATATGTCGTTAGGAAGGGAACGGAAGAAAGAGGTAAAGAAAATGGGATATCCTTTTTCGATCCTGTCACTCCTACCACCAAAAAAGGATGGTTTAGAAAAGTTCAAGATGCCGTCCGAACGAAATGATCAAAGTCAATTCTTTTCTTTCAATAAGTCATCTGCAGGTCTATCAACTTCCGACCTTTCCGCTCCATCCATCTCATCTCGTCACTGTGATTTCACGATTGGAACTCCCTCATCTCGCTCGATTCCACTCATATTGGTTCACCATTCCAAGTTTGCATCGTTCCCATCTTCAATCTTGCCTTCCTCGTCGATACCTTCCGTCCTCCCACCTCGAAGGTCTGAGTCCACACGATGAAAATTTCTCAAATGACAACAATGGTGACAGTACCGAAAATAATCCGGTGTCTACGACCAAGGAGTGTTTTGTTTGGACTGAATATTGACGACCATTTTTATGACTCAAATCATGATTTCCAACTTGCTTCTATCCAACGACCCGACAAATAATGTATCAAGAGTAATGCAAAACAGCAGGTTCTGTCTTATGCATAGAATGTCATCAGCGTTGATTACATACAACAATTAATGATCATTATAAATACAACATCACTAATTCTTGTCCCTGTTTTTCGGCTAAGATAGATATCAAAAATATCACCTTGACTAAGATATATTGTCGTGATATCACCCTGATTAAGCTAGATATGAGAATAACACCTCGACTAAAGATGAATATCGCGTTAAACACCTGAACCATGATGGATATCACAATGAGCACTTAGCACCTTCCCTAATATTAATTTCCAAATAGCCCCGGATCGGATTGATTGACCTGAATATGCTGACTGTCCATGATGAACAATCACAACTCCACATGAATATGCCCGACTTGAAGTCAACCAATTCCCTCAAGATCAACTCCCATTCTCCAACCTTTGTTGAATACTTTGTTCATCCAACTTGATCACTCTCCTCATTGGTTTTTTCTTCTTACTTGAAGTTCCTACTGATGATCTCCCTATGTCATTCCTCACTACCTTTCCCTCCTCAATAGCCTTCCCACTAACTCCAATTAATCCCAAATGAGATTGTCCGTCATGTTTGTCATCCTTGACACCTTCACCCCCCTCCGAGTTCGATGTACTGGTTTCACCATTCTTCCTTATTTCTTCAACTCTCAGCGAGGTAATGGGAGATGAGGTTTTCCCATAAATGTTATTTCCATTTCCATCCCTTCCCAACCTTTCTCGTCTAGGAGTAGAAGTAGGTGTTTTATATTCCATTATTTTTGAAGGTTTCCCACGAAGAGCTAATAAACTCGACATGTTCCTCTGTTCTAACCAACTGAAAGGAGTATCATCTAAAATTACTTCTTTACCTTCTTGTAAGAAACAAACACCTAATTCTATCCTCCAATCCATTCCACTACCACCACCACCCACCTTGGATAAACCAGGTAATAATGGTAGTGATACACCTGAGGAAGTAGAAGTAAATGAATGTGAAAAAGGATTAGGTGAACACCATATCTCTTTGATCATTGGTAATACTGCCAACCTTCCAATTTCAAGAAAATCACAAAGTGAATTATTCCTAAAGTCCACACGTTCAAGTGCTAATATTCTTTCTAATCCTGCTAAACAATCTATCCTATTACCAGAAAGGTTGAGAGAAGTTATGGCCCCTAGTGTTGATGGAGCTGATCGGACGGAAGTGATGAGGTTGTTAGATAAGTTGAGGGATGTGAGTGAAGAGAGGGCGGAAAGGGATGGAGGAAGGGTGTTGAGGAGATTATGAGATAGATCGAGATGAGTTAGTTTGGTGAGTGGTACGAAAGGGAAAGAAAGGAGACATGTAGAAGAGAGAGATAAATGTCGGAGGTTTGGGAAACGAGCCTGGGAGGAGGGTTGGGAGGGAAGGTCGTTCTGCGACCAAGGGGTGGAAGTCTCGTTGGAAGGCGCATGCTGTTGAGAGATGGAAAGAAGATTTGTTTGAGAAGTCGAAGAGGATGGGGTTGTCGTTTTTGAAGAGGAGACGGGAGGAGGTATTTGTAACAACTCTTCCACCCATTCATCTCCATCTTGCACATCGCGTACGGTCAGACTACGCAGGTGCGGATTGAGAGGAATCAACAAAGCTCTAGGGTCGTAACCTTCTAATTCAAGTCTGACGATCAGCTGTTGACTTCTAAAGCCCACTGGTCAGCTGAACAGAAGATGTAGGTGGACATTGGAAAAATGGGCGGTGAAACAAAAGAAGGGAGATTCATGAGAGATTGAAGATGAAATGTGGAGTGGTAGAATCGTATACGCAAGGTTAAGCTTCTCCTCCGGCTAGTCCGATTGGGAAAGGAAAGAAAAAGGAGAAGGACCATACGTACAATTGTAAATTCCTCATTACATCCAGAGGTACCCTAACGTCTATTCCTCCCAATTGTGTATACCCCCCAGCTTCTATCAACTCGGTTATCGGTGGTTCGGAGGTGTATGGGGGATGGATCAGTAATCCAGGTAAGACGGTGAAAGCGGAGTATATGTCAAGTAAGATATCATCTGTATGTTAGTAAACACCATTCACACTCATGTGAGGGTACTGATATCGAGTCCATAACCTGGATGATCCCCAGACACGCGAGATGTCGGAAGTATATCACGACATGACCGGTAGTGATATTGAGTAAACTACACTCAAAAGTCGAGTATTTAGACCATCTCGAAAAGGAGTGAGATAATATGTATGTGGAAGTGATGATGATAAACAACTTTGAGTGGAGAACAGAGAAAAGGACTAACCCTCGTTTATCTCTTTACGTCCCCACCATCCCCTCTCCCCTCCAGAACTACCAACACCACTACCTAGACTCATACTTCTCATACTCCCTACCCAACTTCTAACACTATTCACATCACCTTCTACCCTATCCCCATTCCCTGATTCAGAACCAGAACCTCTAGCTGATACTCCCACATTAGGAGGCAGAGGTACATCCGTTTGACCAACATGAGGTAAAGATTGAGAAAGAGATTGCCATCTTAATAAAAGATATAATAACCTATCTGGTGGTAAACGTAGTAAAAGTGGTTTAACAGATGTGACTTTTGAACTTGGATTTGTTTTGAGATCATTTTTTGAAGTTGAATATTTCAAACTCGGACTTCCTTCATATCTTACAGTATCATTAAGAACCGTTCTTGTATTTGTAGGCTTATTATTGGGAGAGTCAGGTGGTATATCGAATATTTGAGAACGTCTTGATTTAGAATTAGAATTTGGTGAACCAGAAATACCTGTACTGAAACTGGACGAACCACCTCCAAAACCTAACGTCAAAGGTACTTTTAACCCTCTACTTAACGGAGCGGAAGAAGGATCTAATCCAAGGGTTAATAAAGTGTATGATTGTTGTATCACACTTTGTGTAGTTTTTTGCCATATGGAAGGTTGAGAAGGAGAAGGTGCAAGTCGGGTGAAATTTGAATGAAGATAACGATGTAGTTTTATCAAGTATTCGTTTCCTGATATAGGGATGGGTTTGGGTGGGTCTGAGGAGCGTAAGAGATTCATCTTGGTTGAGTTTGTTGTGAGAGGGTGGAAGGAAGGTTGGAAGAGTGGTTGCAGAGAAGAAGCGTGTTTAGGGGAGGAGGATGGACATTACGTCATCTCCCTTTGAACTCGTCTACTTACCTTCCCACAACATGTACGATTGTACAGTGTTTCGTGTCGGACAGGGTGGATGGACAGAGGTAGAACAGTGGCCAGTGGAGAGGGGATATACGACATAGAAGAGTGTGTACTTGGAGTTGCTTAGAGGGAGGGTTCACATTCATACAAGATGCAGAGAGATATGCTACAGATTCATTGTTGTCGCCAATCCGGTGTAGGTGGATGACCACCCATCCAACCTTGTCCACCTCCACCGTGTCCACCTTGTCTACCTTGTCCACCTGGGGTCAAATGTTGCGGTCCAAACCCCATCCCGATACCTCCACCATTCGGAGGTCCCATCGAAAACCCACCAAACGGCATCATAGGATTCATCCCCATTCCCATCATATTCATACCCATCGGCATCATACCCATCTGCATCTGCATCTGCATCTGCATTTGCATTTGCATCTGAGCCATTTGATCCATAGGATTCGGGATACCAATACCCATTCCTTGATTCATCACAGTTGAGAAACCTTGATTTGTTGAAGGGATAAACCCACCTGATCCTCCCATTGTCATTCCGAACCCTTCATTTGCCCAAAGAGGTTGTGAATTCCCAAATGGTCTTACTCCGCCCTGTCTGACGTTCATATGTCCTCCAGTAGTTGATGACCCGAAATTACCACCAGTAGAAGATGGACCGGAGTATCCGCCAGTAGGAGAAGGCCCCGCGTAACCACCTGGCTGGGACAGTCCGGAGTAGTTACTGTTAAATGGACTAAAGCCAGGACCAAAATTACCACCGTCCCCTCCTCTCTTAGCCCTAAATCCGCCAGGCCTGACGTTCATCTCACCTCCTCCCTGTCCTCTCGGCCGACGTTGGGGGGACTTGGGTCGTAGAGCTTCGATCTCAGGATGGAAAGGTAGTTGAGATCGGGATTCGTCTTGGTACACAAGGTGGGAGTAAGTAGTGGGGTCGAACGGTTTTGGACTACGTGGCACCAGGTTGGCTGGACGTGAATCCTCTGGGACAGTAGTATGTGAGGTGGATTGAGTGATGATTGAGTGAGATTCAGGTTGTGCTGTAGCTCCAGGAGATTCGAGCGACGTTGAACTAAAAAGGTTTTGTGTGAGAGATTGGGACAGAGGGGAAGGAACGGAAGATGTCGAAGTGGTCGCTGCCGGGACATTGGCTTTCCCCGAAGAGGGAAAAGATACTGATTGGGGCTCGACGGTTGAAGGGACTGAGAGGTGATGATCAGGCTCAGTGGGGATACCGGGAGAGTTCATAGATCCGACAGTTTCAGATGGAGTTTCAAGAGTGGGGTCCATGTTACTGAAGTGGGAATCACCAATGGGTACACCACCAGTATCTTCGGGGCTGAAAGTGGGTATAGAGGTAGCTTGTCGTTCTTGTTCCAGATGAGGGCTGAGTATTGAGGACGGCGGTAAATCATTATTCTGTGGAGCAGATACAGTAGATAAGTCCATTTCGGAAGACGACTTTGGGGAAAGAAATCCCGTCACCCATCCTCTTCTCGGTGTCACCCCAAAAAGGTCTAATCGTCTCGTACCTAGACAGAAGTTTTCGATAAGTGTGTGAAGGTATGGAGGGTGGGTGGAGATATGGTCTGACTGATCAGCTGAAGAAGAGGAGAATATGTTGGATGAAGGAGAAGAAAGATGTGGTAGAAACAAAAAGAGAAGACAGATAAGACAAATCCAACTCACCACCATCCTCATCCCCTTCCCAAACCATAACATCCGTATCTACATTACAATGTACAAACCTTGTATCGGTACTTCTTCTCACTGTTCCTCTTATACCCATGAGACAATGGACTTTTTGACAAGCGAAAAGACCTTTTCCATATGAAGTCTTTCCCATCCCTAGCATTCTTCCTGACTTATCTGCCACTTCTTTCTTGTCGTCGCCTTCCAGCTTTCTTCCTTCCGTCTCAAAAGTTGACTGACTCGCCGGTTCAGAAGTGAGACGATGGGGAGAAACGCTACCGTAATGAGATACACTAGCATCATGAGAATCACGACCGTCAAGAGTTGTACCACCAAGAGGTAAATTCTTATTCGTCTTGACCCAAACTATATCCTCCGCACGTCTAAATCCCCACTTGACAAAACATTCTCTACCTCTTTCCAACCCCTCTTCATCTCCCTGTCCAACCCAAAGGAACACGAACCCCGGATCAGCGGATATATGTCTGATTGGTAGATTGGCAGTTTCTTCCCATGTGGAAAGAGGATGAATAAGGATGACGTCGAATCGGTTTGGATGAAGGGCTGTAAGGATTCCGGATGGTGTTGGAGGGATATTGAGGGTTAAAGGTGGATGAGATGTTTGAGAGAGAAGAGATGATTTGAGTTCCATTAATCTACGTAAGGCTGGATATCTGTTTATCAGCGTTGTGCTTTATTCAGGGGGGTTCTCAAGATAGACTTGTACTCTACAGGTGTGGGGGTCATAACTTCTTCAGTGTAGAATCGGACGATCCAACTTCGAAATATGTTGTGAAACAGGTGTCCCAAAGTCAATTCTGACACAATGTCGAGGGAGGCCACATGAGACCATAAGAACATCCAACAAAAAGAAGAACATGATAAAGAGCATAGAGTCAAATAAGGACAAGAACTCACTCTGAACAAACCTCCTCTTCTTCACAGCCAAGTATTCTGTTACTTCCCCATTCCCCCGAAACACCATACCATTCACTCAAATCATTCCTTACAGTTTCTTCACCAGGAATGTAGTTTACAACATTTTCTTTCGTCCTTATTCCTCCTTGACCCGACTCTATACTCGACAATACTCCTCCTTGACTCATTCCAAGACTCACCCCTCCTCCTCCCGCCGCCTGGTTAGAAGCATGGCGAACAGCACCATCACCTGTCTCTCGTCCGACCAAGTCGATTGCGTGAGGATCAGAACTGTTTTCGGGAAGTATGGGAAGTTGGTATCCTCTCACAGTGGGTTGAGGGGGAAAGGAAGAGATTGAAGAGATGAGAGATCTACGATGATGTTGACGGGTCAAAATGGTTTGGAGGAAAGCGTTGTGTGAAGATAGTATTTCAGTCATTTCGATTTCGTTATTCGTACTTTGCCCGTAAGATATAGCCTTGGTTTCAATCTACGTCATCAAGAGGCCATCTCGTGTGATATCTTCTATGAATGACCGAAGTTGGATGACTTGTGATACTCTTGCTACGTCGTGATGGAAGATAGCATAGGGTTGTGAAGGGAAAGAGATAAGAAGGATAGAAAGTGGAGGTGATTCAGAACCGGACGGATGACTGATACATATGTACTTCCTATCCACCCCGAAGGTAATCCTCAACATCACATCTATATGCTTCATCTACCATCTTTCACTAGACCAGCTCTTAACTCTACTTTCAGTCGACTTGTCCGACCCACACTCACTTTCCGGCTTTTGAGACATTCAGCTACTTTCGTGACGATCCCAGAGAAGACACCCCATACACTTGGAATAAGACAACCATCTTGGATCTTCCAAACCCCCTTCAATCAACGTCGCTCGAGTCATCAACTTGCACCACAGACTATATCAATGCGAGCGATTCTTATAAAAGATGGTAGTGGTCCAGCGGAGAATCTTTACTTGGGTGAAGAAGTCACTCCTTCGCCTGGGAAAGGGGAAGTACAGGTGAAAGTGAGTTTCCGTCTTTACCCCAGCTATGTTATGGACTAATTATCAGATCAAGGTGATTCTTATTTTCTATCCCTCCGATCAGTCGTACCCCTTACCATACTATCATCTTACCCTCATTCTTCTGCGGTGATACCTTGACTGATCGGAACAACATATGGAACCCGGCCACACTGTATATCGGTAATTCAAGTTCAGGACCCAACACACCGTATCATGACGGTGGACGTGTAATTGTGGTAGAAGGACGAACGACTGACCACAGACATTCGGTCTGAATCGCATGGATATCTTACAAAGAGAAGGGAAATATCCTTTACCTCCTAAAGCTAGTAAGACCATCCTAGGCGTAGAGTTCGCAGGTGTTATTTCGGAAGTTGGGGAAGGATGTGGGAGGAAAGTTGGAGAAGAAGTATTTGGTTTAGCATATGGTGTGAGTGAGATCATCTTATACTCTTCAGATTTCAGTCCATTTTTCACCTGACATGTTACAAGTTTGCCTGTTCATCTAGATCTGACGTGTGAAGTCACTCATTCCGCATCTTTTGCCCCACCTCTACTTGATACGCGATGGGCGAGTCACAGCTCCCCTGATTGTGTTCTATCCGTTCAACGGGTCTTTGAAGTCAAAAGTGTGAAAGAATCCTCCAGACGATCAGAACCGTCCAAAAAACTGTGAGGGGCCCAAAGCTGTTATTGATAACAGGGCGCTTATGCGGAATATATCGTTTGTCCAGAAGTCATGTTAATCACCAAACCAAAAGAATTATCTTGGGTGGAAGCTGCCGCTTTACCCGAATGTTGGATGACAGGTTAGTCAATCCTCTTTCACCAATATCTCCCCACTCAACTTTTTTTCCCACTACCAATCATATGATGGTTCTGCAGGGAGTCATACGATCATACTACCAATCTTTCCGATAGCTCACGGGTACGAGTCGTATAAGCGCCTGGAGAAGATGATCGTGGAAATGATTGGTGAATAATGCTGACCGTCAGCCTTCCAAGCGCTCTTCGTGGAAGGATCTTTCAAGAAAGGACAGACAGCTCTGATCCACGCTGTGAGTCATGACTTAGGCTCTTTTCGATGTTTTCATTGGTGAGATGGACAGGATGCTGATGGCAGGGCGCTTCAGGCGTAGGAGTAGCCGCTATACAGCTTGCCAGTGAGTCTCGTTCTCTCTCACCAACACCATGCCTCTCCCTAACCCAATTCTTACTCAAATGCTAACTTCACCGCTGCATCTTGTTCATGAGGAATGATTTTTTATGAGCTTGGGTTATTAGTACTGACCTCAGTCCATGTCGGCGGCGCAGAAAAGGTTTTCTCCACATGTGGGACGGACGAAAAAGTTGATTTCTTACATAGGTTGCACCCGGACAAAGTGGTGGCTATCAACTATCGCAAGCAGAGTGAGTGGTGGTCTTGGTGCTTTCCACTATCTCATCCTATGCGCCACTCTCTCGTCTTTGTGTACTCTGTCTCGACGAGAGCTTCGCTTTCTGCCACCTTGCCCTTGTACCCGCCATCCTGATTCCACTTCGGATACTTAGATATACTAAATGTAGATTCGTACTGTCCAAGTAGTCGAACAGAGGAATAGATAGCGATGAAATCCGGGGTCTCTTCATTATCTTCAGTGTTGAATATGAAAGATGAATATCTGACGCTTCATGCAGACTTCGAAGAAGAAATCAAGAAACATACCGACGGAGTAGACCACATTATTGATTTCGTCGGTCGTAATTACTTTACTTCCAACATTTCTCTCCTCCGTCGAGACGGTACCCTCATCTTTCTCGCTCTCCTCTCCGGACCCACTTTGGCAGAAGGTACCAACATCTCTCCTATACTGTACAAACGTCTCACCCTTCGGGGGACCACTTTGAGAAGTAGGGATGAGAATTATCAGGGGAATTTATTGGGTAGGTTTAGGGATGAAGCTTTACCTTTGATTGTCAAAGGTGAAATGAAGGTGGAAGTTCATGAGGTGTTCGATTGGAAGGATGTGAGGAAAGCTCATGAAGAGATGGAAGCGAATAAGAATAGTGGCAAAGTGGGTTGTGTCTCTTGTCCCCATTCAAAGCTTGCTCCCCTTCCTGACGTGCACCACTTCATGAGTCAAGGGTGTACCAGGTATTTCCTTCCTACACGATAGACTGTTCCCCCCCGGATCACCTCATGTATGAGACGGTTGGGTGGAAGGATATACAGAGTACATTCAGCTGACGGCCAGATTGTATTTGAGATCACTAAATAAGCTGTAGAATGCATGGTTGTACACGCCATGTCAAGGCTATGACGTCGTTTTCGAATAGAGATGACTGGATTCCCCACGATCGGGTGGCGACTAATTTTTGTTTCGGCGCACGGATCCCTTTGCTCCCCCACCATTGCACTATCCCCACCACATTCCCTTCTTTTGCCTCTCTTCTCTCTCTACTCTCTTCTCAATCCATCATTCCCTTCTTCATCTATTGGTATCTCTCTGCTCACCTCGAAACGTTCATTGAGACTGAGCCTTGCCCCACACCCGCTGACACTCACATCCACCATGACACAGCCAATCATCCCCTTGGATGAGGTATTGAGGCAGCTGAACGCAGAGGTCGCCAAACCCAGATACAACTATGATGATATGAATGACGTGGAAGAACACTATACCCAGGTACCCTCATCTGATACTTTCACTCCTGGTACGTCTCTTCCTTTTCTTTTCTTCTGCGATTACCTTTCTACTTCTTCTCTCCTCTATCCGCCTAATCGACTACCTCCATTCCTTTTTTCTTCCTTTTTTGACTGCCCACTCCTTCTTACTACGTCACCTTCTATGAGTCTCTCACACGTCGGACTGTTGACTCACCCGACACCTTTCGTGTCCAGATTACAAACTGATCTTTCAGCAGCATTTGACACCCCCACCCCGCATCGATTCCATTCTGCTCTCATACCCTCACCCAATCCCTTCCAGACTTCATCATCCTATGTTCCACTAGTTGGTGTTCCTCCTGCTCGCTCCTATACATCGGAACTAGTCTCAACGGACACGCGAGTCTCCAGCTCGACACAACGGCCGCAAAGGTCAGCTCAGCAGCAGCTCACCAATATGCCTGAGCTTTCATCACAGTGGCCTCAGGTTTTCCCGAACGATCTTGCTCACCCGATGCAATGGCGAGAAGACGATGGTTTTGGAGCGGACCCGGTCACTGAAGATAACGATCAGTATGATGGGGATGAGATGTGGAAGGACGAAGATGCTTTGGCTGCTGTAGATGCTGCTAGCAAGCCCACTCAACGAGGTAAGTGCTTCTTGACAACGGATTGATCCGTTCCTATTCCTACCACACCATGAGTCCGCCACAGTCACTCGTCCGGAGTGTGAAGTTGTTCGCTTTTTCGTTCGCCAGCTGCACAGATGTGCTTTACGTGATTTGTTTCGAACACCGAAAAATGGCCCCTGTCAGTAGCTGACCGTCAGAACTTTCCAGCAGTCCCAATGCAGCTGACGACGATGAGCCTGTTGCAACTATCGAAGTTCTGAATCGTCGCAAAGCCCAAGACAAAGACCTCAAAGAGAGACGACGTGAATATGTGACTCGAACCGGCACAGAGAAGCCCGTCACTGATGTTCGTGAGTATTCCTCTCCACCATCGCACAGCTCTTACTGATCTACAGCCGCACCGCATTGCAAGCTGTTCGAGTTTGCCACTTTCAACACAATGCAGACAAAGGTCTTCGATTCTGTATGTCAGACACAAACTTCTGACCCTTATGTTCTCTGACGACAAGGTGTATAATGGTGACGATAACCTAGTCATTGCTGGTCAGTCGACCTCGAAACCACTTGGATCAACATCTGACACTCAGCGCCTACCAGTTCCGGGAAGACCACAGTGTTCGATCTCGCCTTCCTCCGCATGATGAGTCAAGAAACATTTGGGATGACACCCATGGCAGTATATCTGGCCCCTACGAAAGCACTTTGCTCTGAAAGGATGAGTGATTGGAGTAGGCGGTTTCAGTCTGTCCAATTGGGGTGGCTCTGTGAGTATCATGGCATGACATATCCGTATCTCACATCAAGCGGAATTGAGTGACTAACCAAAGCAGGTAATGAGGTCACTGGAGACACCGGGTCATACAACGAGATAACCACCGCTTTGAGGACGGCAAACCTTATAGTTACAACTGTATGTCACCTTCGTGTCTGGAATCCTGATAAGCTGATGCTGTAGCCCGAAAAGTGGGACTCACTAACCCGACGCCGCTCCCAGAGTCATCACCTTCTCCGTCGTCTGGCCTTGGTGATGATAGACGAGGTTGGTACAACGATCTCCGCTTTCATTCCGTTGATGATCAGGTGCACTTCTTGCACGAGACCCGGGGAGCGACACTAGAAGTACTTGTCTCACGAATCAAAACCAGAGCAGACAACGTTCGATTTATCGCTCTAAGTGCCACAGTGAGTTGCTCTTTGATAATGTCAGCTGAACCCCACAGGTGCCCAACGTTGATGATGTGGCTAGGTGGATTGGAGCTGCAACGAACACTACTATCACCACACCATACCTCACTGATCGTGATGGTGATGATAGAGATGAGGCCCCTGACTCTGCCACCGGAGTTGAGAAACTCTCTATGGCCAAAGTATTCAAAGTGAGTCCCTACAAGACATTCACATGTCATTGCTGACTTATCCAGTTCGGAGAGGAGACCCGTCCAGTGCCTCTGACACGCCATTTTTATGGCTACGAGGGAGGTAACGAATGGGCTCTGAGCCCTCAACTTGACAAATCTCTTTTCCCCATACTACTCAAGCACTGTGATGCCAAACCCGCTTTGGTCTTCTGCCCCACTCGTCGATGTAAGCTTATTCATATAACAATATTCATCCGTGCTGAGGGTCCAGCGTGTTTGACAACCGCTCAATATGTCCATAAGATCTACACAGAGGCACGCGTCAAATATCAGCCTCTTCCCTGGAGACCTCCTGGGTGAGTCTTCCACCTAAAGTGATCATCATTCCAACAGTACAGATCTAAGCTGGTTTTGAAAGACACACAAGTCGCCGCACTCACTGATTGTGGTATTGCAGTCCACCACGCGGGGCTTGATTATACCGACAGGCGGGACATCGAGAATGCTTTCAAGGAGCAAAAACTGCATCTCATCGTTTGCACCTCGGTTAGTCACATCCTGGACTTTCTACATCCTGCTGATGTACAGACTTTGGCCGTTGGAGTCAATCTACCTGCTCACACCGTGGTTATCAAAGGTACTCAGACATGGCAGGGAGGAGCGACGGGTTTTAAGGAGTACAGTGATATCGAGATCCAGGTGAGTGTCATGTGACCCCCAGATCTGCGCTGATTGAATAAGCAAATGATGGGCCGGGCCGGTCGTCCGCAGTTTGACAAGTCCGGGGTTGTAGTGGTAGGCTCATCGTCACCTAGGTTGTCACGCTAATGGAGAGGTCATGTGCGAACAGTCCAAACTCAGTAAAGTGAATTCCTCTTGAGCCTTATGACCCCATTGTTGACATGCAGTACCGAGAGAAGCTCAACTCAAACACCGTCCTGGAGAGTTGTCTGTGAGAGGACTATCATGCTCATGGCATCGTGCTGAATTCTACAGACACCAAAACTTGACAGAGCGTATGTCTCTATTTCCCTCTCCGCTCACACATCTGACGATCAGATATAAACAGTGAAATAGGCCTCGGTACCATCACCGACCTGAAGACTGCACAAGACTGGTTGAAGAGGTGCGCGATTGGGACTCGTCCCTACTGACGAAGTAGTTCCTTTCTGTTCATACGTATTCAACAGAATCCAAGGCATTATGCGATACCGGGTTTGAAAGATAAGGACAGTCGAACATCCTGGGAAGAATGGCTAGATCATTATGTTGAAGTAGGTTCAGCACCCTGCATGAACTGTAACTGAAGAACCAGAGCGCTTTGAAGGCTCTGGAGGAATATGATTTTGTGACCCACGAAGATGGCGACGATGATGCCGACTACCATCGCCCGGGGCTGTCTCTCACTGCGTGAGTCCTTGAATTACTGTCTTTGTCGCTGACGTCAGAATCGGCAGGATCCTGAGCGAGAATTTCATAGGTGATTACATTGTGGCCCTTGTGATATAGCTTAAAGTAGCATTCGAAACCATGGTCCTCATCATTGGCATGAAGCCTCGTGCAACTCTGAGGGAATTATTAGAGATTCTGTCCAGCGCCAAAGAGTCAGTCAGCGGATGCATCATGTGCGAGCTGACAGTGCAGGTATGAGGATCTTCGCATTCGGCCAGGAGAAGGTCAGGCTCTTAACAAGCTCCGAACAAATGTCGAGCTTCGTTTCACGCTTGACGAGCCGGTGAAGTCATATGCGTAAATCTTGAACGCTGTCTTTGGGAACTTGGCTGACGACTCACAGGGACAAAGTGTTCCTATACTTTCAAGTCTGCTTCTCCAATATCGACTTAGAAAACGAGTCCGGTAGTGGGAACGCATCGCCTCACAAGAATCTCATGGCCATCTTCCAACATGCAACCCGTATCACAAGAGGTGCGTCCAAGTCGGCCATATTGCTCAACTATTGCTGACGATCAAAGCGATCGTGTCTGTCGCCAAAGAGAAGCACTATGGTGGAGCCTGTCGTTCAGCTCTGCAGTTATTACACGCTGTTGCTGGGAAAGCATGGGAGAATGAAGCTTCCATGTTCCGACAGATTGAGAGCATTGGTAAGTCAATATTTACGAGACGATACTTATGACAGGTCCAAAATCAATCAAAGTGCTGAGGAGTAAAGGTATCAATAGTGAGTTTCAAATGAGGCTTGAAGACCAGCACTCACTGTCAGATTTTGATGCTCTCATTGCGGTCAACGTATCCGAATTGGCCCACTTCCTCAATAGAGATTTTCAATTTGCCAACGCGGTGAGATCGATCTTTTGCCTGAAGATACGTACTGACATAATAAGGTGCATGTCGATGCCGAGTGCATGCCTCGCTATACGGCCGAGATTTCGTTCGTTTGACCGACAACTCCAAGGGTCACGTTGACATGTAGAACCGCCGAGGTCAGTACCGAAGGGAAGTACCCAATTGTCACGTTTCGGGTCAAGATCCTTCAAACTTCGAAAACTCCCAGCAACAATGCCGCTCGAGGTAATGGGAGACGACGTTACCGGCCCCCACCGAGACACAACCTTTCCATACTGTTTCTACGTTCGGATGACATGTGGATAGACCTCCGAAAGGCTCTGTGAGTGTTACCCAATGGTACACCCTTCCCAGTCTTTGATCCTAATCTTTCCTTGCAAGACGCCTTATCGATGAGCGCTGACCCTAAGAACGTCCAAGCTTAACGATCAACATAGGATTTTCACTATACAAGCTACGCTTGAACGTCCGGATCATAAAATCATCGCCTATATCGGAGGTACGTTCCCACTCTACTTATAAATACCACGCTGACTCCCTAGTGGACGAAGTGGCAGGTTGTGCCACCCGAGTGGAATACGACCCGAAGCTTGACGCGGATCTTTTCCCAGAAATCGAGACGGAAGAGGAGAGTGAAGATGAGGTAAGTGCTCCCTGTTGGAAATGTCTCTTATGCTGACGATCAGGACTCTGACAATAATCATCAAAGCATCGGAGGCAGCGGTGAACGAAAGGCGACACAGGCTGTGAGCCAGATGCCGTGTCACCATCGTTGTCGGAATCGCAAGGTCTGTGCACATGCATGTTGCAAGCAAGGCGTGTCTCAGCTGCAAACGGATACAAAACGAGGAGCCCGACGAGGTCCACCACCCGACACCGAGCGATCTCCACACCTATCTACACAGGAAATGCATGCTGCTCCTTTGACCAACAAATCAGCTAGTCCACTTGTACCCCCGACCGATACACACGACTCGACCGTGTACACGAATACGACCGCGTCTGGGCTTTCAAAGACAAAAACGAAACAGAAACAATCCCAGGGGAATGCGACGATTGCTACTCAACAGAACGGCACGAAGAGACGAAAAGCTTCGACAGCTGGTCAAGAACCGACTGAAGCGCCGCAGGGGTCCTCAAAGAAGCCCCAGAGACATGTCGTCAGTGCCGATGCTGCTCATCGGTTCATTCTGAACCCCACATCATCACCTTTCTCAGAAACAGAGGAAGAAATGATTTCAGAGGTCGAACTCGCCGACCTTTCCACTAAGAAGACCAGTCGCCAGAATGGATGTGTTCAACCCGGTCCGGTCAAGCGGCGTCGTCTCGTAACGGTCAATAGTGACACGCGTGGTAGAGTGACCCCTCAGTCTATCCCCCATCCGCAGGTTACGAAGGAGCGACAGGACTTGTCGACCTCCGCGCAAGCATATGGGGCAATCAATGCTCAGATGACCGACTCGGCTACATTGCAGAAAACCCAACTGACATCGGCATCGCCACCTATATCACCATCGTTGTCACCCATACTCAACATGTCTTTGTTCGAACCTCTCCCGCCGCCCATTCCCCTCTTTCCTCGAGTCTCGTCCGCTGCTCCACCGAGCGTCCCTCAAGAACCTATCAGATGGTGGGAAGCAGATGACGAAGATGATCTCGATCATCTCGGATCTTTCGCCGTAACTTCGGAGAAACGAAATGACAAAGGATCATATCCCTCTGTCACATCTCAACCTCCCAGTCACCCCGGCGAGCGATACGATCGACATGCCAGCGGATACCATCTGAACTATCGCAATACCCCCCTTTCGACTTCGATGGGAGCCGCGATCGATGTCAAAGGAACTTGTGAGAATCCGGTCGGAAGCTTTGGTGATAATCAGGGGCAAGGACATGTCTATCCGGTCTTTGAAGATTGTTCGCCCTCCCCTTGTATTGCTCCTCGATCGGACACATGGTCGAAGGATGCCCCAGGCGGCATGGGATGGGGGGAAGCTGATGAATTAGCCTCCGAGCAGGTGCAGGTGAACGGGAAAGGGGGTGAAGAGAGGGATGAAGTGGAAGAAGCGTTTGAACGGTTCATGAGTTGGTAGTAGTTCGAAATTGAGAGAGCCAGGGGTCGAGGGGGTTGAAGGGGAACGCTCCATTGATGTGAAGATGGTAGTATGAACAAGTTTCAATCTTTCGTTTATTCACACGTCGTTCTTCGGAGGTAAATCTGATCGTGTGAATAATGTATGAGTAAGATGAAGGGGTTAAGGGGCAAGAGGGGCGAGGGGTCAAAACATGCATGATATCGTATGTCTAATCCACGGGTTTTGGAGCAACGCGGTTTCATGTAGCATGTCATGGTTCTGGAAAGGGTGTATGGGTGTGTTGGTGACTTGTGTTGTTGGACGAAGACCGTCAAGGGTGATGGAATGGAGGTTAGTGACAGGTAAGAATACGACATCTGAAGGTCAATCATAGTACATCTCGCACATTTCCCAAGCGACGAAAACATCCATCCACCTTGTGGGGTAGGTAGTTAGGTTGAGAAAATAGTAAGGATGGGTGGATTACTAGGGCGTCGAAAGATCACATATGTCATACCTCTTCAATCATCCTTGTGTCCTGCTGTCATCTGACCGTGCGATTTTACTGTCCATGTGTCGTCTGAGAGCTAAAGGTTATCAAAGTATCCTTGCTCTGTTTTCGCCCTTCCCGCCGAGATCCACAAGTCGAACGAGGGTTCTTGGATAGTGTGAGAGTGGTTGTAGTGAAAGGGGGGAAAGGATGTCAAGTTGTTTTCTCCTTTGTTCGAAATCTTCATTCGTCCATACTTCATACTCCATACTCTCACACTCCACACTTCACACTTCACAACACGTTCCATTGTCCAACGTGACCAAAAGGGAGTTCGGAGCCGCGGAGCCGTCAAACCGTCGAGCCGTCAAGGGGGGAAGTGGTGAAGGAGGGTATCCATAGGAGTACATTTCGTTTTCATTTCCTTCAATGACAAAGGATCTTTTCTTTGAAAATCTTAAACATTAGTCCCAAAACAATTCACCTATACCAATCTTCTGCCCCTTTCGTCCTTACCCGTTTCTTTGACCTTTTGACCTTTTGCCCCGTGTCTCACTTACCCACGTATCACGTCTTACGTATCATGCATGTACCGCTTTCGGTCTCACGGGGAAGAACGTGTGAAACTTTGAGTGCGTGGGTGAGAAAATATATTTCAATGATTGAAGGGAAGGGGGTAGGATAGAGGAAAGGTAGGAGACGTGGGAAAGTTTATTCTGTTCTCATCGTTTGTTGAGAGTACGGGGGAAGGGGGGGGTTTTGAACATGTATAAAGAAGGATGTGGGGAGGGGGGAAAGCAGGTGTGAGAAGGAAGTTTTTTTTTTCTTCTTTCATATATATGAGTTTGTTGACTCTTTAACTCAGCTGTCAACTTCAATATCAATATCATATCTTACCATATATCTTTCTTCGATCCAAGATATTCATCTTGTTCTTTCCGTTCATCGTTCATTTAAAAAAGATAAAGATATATCTTAGTGATATAAAAAAGGTTCTTTGAGTGATATTACTTGGTTCGGTGTATTGGTCATCTTGTCGAATTCGTCATCATAAAACTTGAAGTTGTCGTCGTCGTCAAGTAGGTACCCAGACGATCCTTCCAAGAGATACATAACGAAAAGTATCTTTTCTTCGTATTCGTCAGACTATACAACCTAAAATCATCAACAATTATCTTTCTCAACTACCTCTCATCATCATAACCACCTTTCGTCATCGTACTCATCAACCGACACTCCATACACTTCAAACCATAACAAACCCACACCATCTCAAGTCAAATCCAAAGCTCACACCATCCAATCAAATCCAACGGGTCAATCCAGGCTGGATAAAGACCACAAGACGAACAAGACCCATCGTCGACCAAGCCCAAGAAAGTGAGAAACACTAGAGAAAAAAAACAATAAAAAAACAAACCCACAATGTCATTCCCAACACCAGATTCCCCAACTCCACCCATGCGTCTAACCCATTTAGCTCTCCCGAGAATATACACATCCCCTCCTCCTGTAAAACCAACTCAAGAAGAACTTTACGATATCAATTCTAAACCTGAAAGAGGTGTATCTCCCGATAGGTTGAGTATCAGTTCTTTATCCGTTTCTGTCGAATCGGACAAGGAAAGTTTGAGGAAAAGAACTCCTTTGAGTCCTTCACCGTTAAGATCTTTACCTCCGCTGGAAAGAAACTTTTGGCATCCGTATTCTAGGTTGGTCAATTGTTTTCCCCTTCTCATTATCCCCCACGTCTTCGTTCCGAATCAAGTAGAGGTTGGAATGTGGGAAAAGACTAGGAGACTAGGAAAAGACGATTTCTTGTCGAAATGACCCTAAAGGAGTGGGAAGCATCTTTCTCTTATTCGTTACTTGAAGCCGATCAACTCTTGTCCCATACCATCTATAGACGTATTTGATAAAGTAGTGTCACTAGTCCTTCTACATAAATACAAGTCACCCTCCTTCTCATACGTAGACATGACTCTCTTTTTCACACATAAAACCCACATGATACGTGAAAGAAGGAAAAGACTAGATAAAAATCTAAACTCACGGACAGATCCCCTTTCCCACAAAGAATCCCATTATCCTCTTCCCCATCCAGTTCACCAGATCGTTCTTTACCTTCTCATCCACTCCCCCATACTCAAATTCGTCAAATAAAAGAACGTCGTCCAAATCCATTAGAAGTCCGATCTGTATCTTCACCAGCTCGCGGACATCCTCTAGATGAAAGAAGACGAGAACATAACGGACAAGAATATTTGATTTCCAATAGAGATGTCCGACCTGATTTCGAAAGAACTCGAATGAAAGAAGATGGGAATATGAGAGACATTCGAGATGATCTTCATCTAGAAAGAATGAGAGGAATTAAAGGTGAAGAAAAAGAATTGAGAGAAAGACATTTATCATTACCTAGAATGGATATAAATCAAAATTCAACACAATCACATCCACAACCTTATCATCAAACTGGTTTTATCAACCCTCCTTTTAGACATCATGATATGAGGGAAGATGATAGAGGTATTTCTGGTGTTAATGGTAGGAATCAATTGGGAAGGAACGGATTAGGTGTGACTATGGGGAATGGAAATGTTGGTGTGAATGGGACAGGAACAGGTTTAGGAGGTTCAGGTCAAATGGAAAGAGGTGGAAAGGTTTTGAAAAGTCGTATGAGTCATATTCTTTCTGAACAGAGGAGAAGGGAGAGTATCAGTGAGTATTTTCAGTAATCCCTTCACTTTGTTTGAAAATTACTTCCTCGTCATCATGAGTCTATCACGGTGATGGTCGAGTTCGTTCCGTTGGTGAATGAAACGAAAACAAAATCGAGTGGTGGTGGTGGTGGTGGGGACAATGTGATGAGTCATACGGCCGAGAACCTTAGTCATCTTGGGCGAAGGCAGAAGTCAGGTAGATGGTGAAAGGGGACGATCATACGTCAGTAGTACGCCGAGCTGACACAAAGACTCCGGATTTGACCGTCTTCGAGCTTTATTACCAGTAGCAGATGACGGTATGACCAAAGCACAGATATTGCAACAAGGTCAGTACATCTTTTCCTATTTCACCAACCTGATTCTCTCGGATTCAGCTCGTCTTAAGGGATTACACTGAGAAGACTCACCTAAAACCATGAGTGTGGTTGTACAAGTACAAGAGCTAATGTACAGCTTCCGATTATATCCTTAAATTGGAATCACGTGTACAAGATCTATCTTCGAGACAGTACGGTCGGGTGTAGTTGATTGGCAGAAATTACCACTTATCTTTCATAGCGATAAGGTTGATGTGTTGTTCTGATAGTGGTGAAACGATTGGTCTGATGGTCGGAGGATGCAGAAGTAACAAAAAGAAAAAAACATGAAAAGATGTATTTCAGAAACGTGGATTGTAGTGTGCGACTCTAGTTGTATCAGTGGACTTATACCATGTGATGATACCCGATAGATGTGATATCTTTCTCGTCCCGCCTTACTACTTTGTTGATTGTTGAAGATTGGAAGTACGGGTACTAGTACTGATCTTTGCTACTTTGTCTAAAGGTACACAACGAGAAAGATAAGAACTCAAAGCCAGTCACTGCGAGAAGGATGAATGACAAAGATGGAACGATGATGATCATTGTTCATTCGAACAAGGACATATGAGAAGCGGGATATAGAAAGTATATACGCCAATGTGAATTGTCGAACGGAAAAGACGATAAACCAATGATGCAGAGTATATCAAGAAAAGGTCGAATACTAAGGAGGAAGGAATAAACGAAAGGTTAATAACCCACTTTGAGAAATAAAACGGTTTTTGATGATTCAACCCCAACCCCAAAATCTCACCCGTGGCATAATTCAAAGAATTATATTCAACCAAATCAATTTTATTCCATCTCCCTCTACCCGTTTCTCTCAATGACAACTCCATGGAGAATTCGTATTTCGGTTGTTGGTTTCCAGGCTCGAGTAAAGAAGTGATCATTATTCTAGGTCGGTTTTTCGTCATCTTGATATTCGTTTCTACCGTGGAATTCTTTTGTACTCTTTCTTTGGATGAAGATCCTCTTATAGCCGATTGCGGGAGATGGTGTGGATGGGATGGATGGGATGGATGGGATGGATGGGATGGATGGGATGGATGAGAAGGGTTGTGATTTGTTTTAGTGTCAGTGAAGGGGAGTTTCGGAGGAAGGTGGGTTTGGTCAGATCGGATTAATTGCCATTGACCGATATGAAGACCTTTTGCACGGAGGGAAGGACGAAGGATCGGAACCACGTCTGATGGGCTGAGGAGTTAGCTAAACCTTCTTCGACAAAATGAATTTGAGGAGTTGAGAAATGTCCTTGATGCTTTCTGTATTTTATAGGCTGCTCATGACGTTCGGTGCCAGATTTGGTGCTTTCTATGGTGGTTATGATGATTGAGATGACAACTTTTGGAAGAAAAGTAGGAACACTCACTGATCCGTAGTGAGAAAAGACAGAACAGTTCCATCGGGATAAAACCTTAAGAAACGATGATATGTGACTAAATGTCTTAGCCTTAGTCAGAGAGAATATTGGATAACTGACTCATATGTGTGATCTACAATCAGCATCTGGGACATTCAGAGTGGCACGAGAGACTCACAGCTACCCATTGATCCCCAGCACCCGGTCGTCTGGTCATGAGCAACGTGTCAGAATATAGTTGACGACAACACTTAGTACACGCTCCCGGTCGGGTGTGGACGTACCGTCTTCACAGCCTGCCGGAGATGTGAGGCTGGGGAGAGGATTGTAGTTTGAGAGTGAAAGTGGGTATGTCCCCATAAAATACGAAAAGTTGGGAGTGTGAGGACTATAAGTTACAAGGCACACCTTAGATGAAGGAAGGATCAGGAAAACTCACACATAATGACATACACTTATATAACAACCGTCCAACCTGACCCTTTCCTCTTCAATCAACACTGTCCTCCATTCTCCCAAATGACGTTTACCAAGTTTCTGAATCCATTCGTTAACCATCTCAACCCGAACTTTCTCCTTTCCTCCTTCCCCACTCTCTCTCGTACAATCAAATCGGTTCAAAATACAATCAGACTTGTATGTCGGAGTGATAGTTAGATCAGAACCAAGCGTATGAATAGGTGTATTCCCCTCCGACATCCCACGACATCCATAAACTCCCTCTGCCAACCGTCTCCATACATTTGCATAAGCAGTCAACCATCTAGCTCGCCAACAAGTTGATCCGAATCTTTCTAGGGTAGTCACGTCCATATGGAGGAATATCGGTTCGAACATTTCTGCCGGAAGACGTGATATGGGTATAGGAAGGTTTTCCTCATCTGGTGAGAAAGGTATATCGGGGAGAGATTGATCGGTAGTGGATTTGGTTTGAAGGATGGTTGTGAGGGGGGAGGGTGGTATAGCGTGATTCTCTTCGGTCATTCGGGGTTCTTGAGGTAATCGAACTTGATTACCTATTTGATGTGTATCCGTGCTATATGCAAGAAGAGCCGAGTCGGCAATCCCCAATCGGGAGTTCGGGTTATCGGTATGTGATTGGACATGATTAGACTGAGGGTGGCGAGGATCGATGGCTTTGGGTAGTTTGTGTGCTGAGGAACCTTCTGCGACTGAGGTAGAGGTACAGGAAGAGGGATAGATAGAATGAGAAAGGGAGGGAGCTTCGTAGTCTGGTCCAAATTGAATATGTCTTTGAAAAGTATATGGTGTTTCGGCCGGAGCTGACGAAGAGACTTTATCCGTTGAAGAGAGTGTGAGTGGGGAAGATTGTATCTGGGATATTTGACGAGCGTATGAACGATCTACAGAGTCTGTGAAGGATCAGTACCAGATCCAACTGACTGATATAGAAGACCCATTTATCAGGTACAGATAAGAGAGCACAAAAAAGAGAAGTGTGTAGAGATCAGACAAGCAAAGGTATTTGGATGAACACAGAGCCAGGAAGACTAGGAGGGAAGGAGACAAACCCACCATCCATCTTGAAAGCCTTCCTATACAAAACCAAAGCATCATTCAATCGTCCTGATTGCTCATACTCCACAGCTTGAGCGTAGATCCTTACTGCTTGACTTTCCTCCGCTCCTTGCACATTCCCCCCTCCCGATTTTGGGGTGTTCGCAGCTCGTTTAGATCCCTCTGCTCGGTTGTTAGGACCGTTATTCAGGTGTACATGATCGAGGAGTGACGAAAGGTCTTTCTCATCGCTGACATGAGGAGTTGTCTTCATTGTGTTCTCTAATGGATGATCTTGTGATTCTTTCTCCCTCTTCTCGGCTGATCCACTACCCCTCGATCCATCTCCGACTTGCGAGGTGGACGACACTCTAAAGGGAGATCGGGATGGTCGACCCTTCGTATCCCCAGTGGTCTTTGATGGTTCAGGTAGTCGTCTTCTAACTTCATCTTTCCATTCCGCTCTGAACCTCTCGAGTTCGTCGATGGTATCAAAGTCGACTTGTTGGTGTGTCATGGTAGTTAATGTAAAGTAATTAGTGTCATCGGTCATGGCTCAGAAGGGGAAAGGTTCCGTCGGAAATTACCGGTAGCCTTTATTCGAGCCACACTTTAGCCCGCCCTCCCCCACTTTCCCCACTGTACGACTGCGCTTCTCACTCACCACCCTCACTCACTTACACTCTGTATTTCGATTCACATCAGGGGTATCACTCACTCTCATATCAAACAATCATCCCTTGAAGTGAGAAGAGAGGGAAATGTCAGCGACTACTAAGAAGATACACTTGGTAAGACATGCTCAGGCGGAGCACAAGTGAGTATGCCTCTTGACCCTTCTCTCACTTGCCTCCGTCTGTGACCATAACTCTACGCTACGTGGAAATTCTTGTTCAACATGAAAGACGGGGAGGAAGGATGATATTGAATATGGCTGATTCTCAGTGTCGGATCGGACTGGACGAGTAAGTCGCCTATTCGCGTTCTTACAACCCTCACTCCACTACCGATCCACGGCACGTGTATGACGATAACATGATCATTCCCTACCGTCCTCGGACCTCTGGAAAGGCTCCAACCCTTCAATCCTCCGCTATGAAGAAGGTGGCTGTTAATCCACAGTCCGTGACGCACCCCTCACCGACCTCGGAAGGGAACAAAGTATAGCATTGTTAAAACGAACTAGGGATGGTATCCAACAGACCGCCCAACTACTTGTCTCCTCTCCGGTATGTCAATCTTACCATTCAGCTTTCTCTTGCTTAGGTACTCTCGATTTCGTGGCTGAACGCTGACTCGAAGATGAGACGAACGTTGGAAACCACCTTGAAAGGATTCGCAACTTTGAAGGAGAGGTTGGAGAAGGAAGGTAAAAATGTTGTATTGCTCGATATTCTCCAAGAGGTGGAAGCGTGGGTATTTTCTCTAATTTTTCATTGTTTTCCTTTCTCCTGGTCTTGCTACTCCCTACTCCCGTTCTCACTTTCATCAGAAGTTGACAGTCTTATATGGGTCTAGGTGGTAATTGATCGCACCCATCACTGAGGGAGGACGGAGGAGGATGAAATAGATAGGAGGAGAGTCACTCACATTGGTAGCAACCCATGCGACACACCTCTACCCGTATCCGAACTGAAAACTACACTTAATGGTATCTTCGAAGATTTTGACTTCTCCTCAATCTCCCCCGAGTTCACCACCAAGGGAGGTATATTTCACCCTGACAATGTGGAGGAAAGAGCGAGGAGGGTAAGACTTTGGTTGAGAGATAGAGAGGAGGAGGAGATTGTAGGTGAGTACTGCATCAACTTTCGACTGAACTGTCAGTTATCACCCACCCCTCCATCCCCGATACAATATCTCGTTCGTCGAACGAAACTGGTCAAGAAATTCTGACATGAGGATGCAAACTCATAGATAGTGGTAGCACATGGCGATTTGTTACGATACGTAAATGGACAGTATCCCCCCAAGACAGGTGTAAGCTGTTCCTCCCCCTCCTCTCACTGCAATCCTACGCTTGTCCATCACATGTGCCCTTCCATCTATTTTCTAAAGGAGAGTGTTTTGGCTCCCCCTCTCCCATGACTCAACATAGGCAAATTGGTGCAGCATCCACCACGACGATAGGACCCTTCCATACCGGCAGTCGGACGCGTACCTCGACTGACTCACAGATGCACCCATGGGACAACACCGAAGTCCGTCTTTACACTTTTGTCTCTTCCTCTGATCAAAACGCAACACTTATTGAGATCTCACCAGAGGTCGAAGGTGGACCTACCTCGTCAGGTCCGACGAGTAGTGAGATGTAAATTGTGTCATGCACCACATGTTTCTCATATCTTGTCTCTAACTTCTATTCCCTTCAAGCTTCCAAGTATCTTTGCTGATCCTCACATGATCTTCAGCTTGAGCTATCGCTGTTGAGCAACCTCCATACAATCCCCGGGATGGTAAGGGGTCAAGCTCATATGTTCATCCCTACCGCAATATGATAAGATAAGGAAAAGTGACAGAACCGCTACATTCCACGTTTTCGTTTCCCCCCTTTCCTTGCTTCCTCACTCCTTCCATTCACCTCTTTTCTTCCTCTTCTTACCTCTTTACCTCTTTCTCTCTTTACCTCTTCCTCTCTTTACCTCTGTATCGCTTTTTCTCTTCACGTTTCTACCCACATTCATCCTTCACTCGGAGGAACAAAGCACTACTCAACCAACACCCACCATGTCCTATACCAAACTCACTTCCCCAGGTTTGGGTTTAGGTTACAACTATTCTTTATATTCCGTTCCTGTCGCTTGGATCTTAGCGTCAGTCTTTCAATCTTCTACCCCTATTCACCCTTCTTATTACACCCCATATAACAACATCTCATCATCTTATTACACCTGATATTACAACATCCCATTAGTATCCGTTTCAATCACATGACGACCTCTACGAGAAAAGCGATAGTCTCAACTTCTCTATCTATATCTCACTTCATAGAGGCTGGGATCTGTTTGATCTTGTGAGGTCCACTTGGGAGTGATAGTTGATATACAGGATGTCACCTTTATGGTATGCTATCTATAAATCTAACACTCTTTCCCCCGGGTCATATAATAACGCTGTGAGTTCCTACTTTCCTACCTCCCTTCACTTACACTCTTACACTCTTCCTCTCACGTCTCTTCTTTCCGATGATTCTCCACTTTTATACTTCTCAATAAACCATCCTCCCTCCACACCGGCACTCGTCTCCTCTGTCTCTCAATACCTCAAAATTGTTCACCTTCGTACGCTCCCTCTTCTTCCACCTGTTCTTTGATTCTACCACTCGCCGTTCCATAGGAAAGACATCGACAGGAAATGAACATATCGTATGAATGGCTAATTTTCAGATGCCGAAAGATTCTTGGACTACATTGAAAGATAAAGTTCCTTCCAAGGTTAGTCCTTGTCTGGTATAGGTCGTGATGAAGTGAAATGAGGTTGATAATAGGAATGTGGAAAGATTGTCAGGGCTGTAGCTGCTAATGAGAATTCTCATATGTGAGTTTTGGTTTCCTGGTTTGGTATCTTTCGTACTTCACTATCCTCTGACTTATGATCTAAATTCTTATTACTTTGTTCCTCTTGTGTAATCTCCACACTCAGCTGGCTTATCATCAATTCTGACCCCTCTCGTAGCTTCCAGACTCAGGAGTATCGTTCTCTTCATGGTTCAGATGGCTCAGTTCAGGAAGTCAACGAAAGAGGATGGATGTTTGTGGGGTTTTCCGGAAACTAGCTCTGTTGGGGGTGCTCGAAGGTTTCCTTGGATGGATATTTGAAAGCAGTTTACTGAGATATAGTAACCTACCTTTCTTCGCTTCTGCCTTAGTGAGTCACCCCTGGTCCTTATATCACAACTACCACTCCATCTCCACCCTGCATGACACCGCCAATGACACTGCTATGACACTGCCATGACGCCCCAAGACCCTCACAAAGTGATGTATAATTACCAGAAGGTATATGACGACACGATGACGCTGATCGTCAGGTAATTGGGAATATCGTCCATTTGGACAGAACGACCCTTCATCTAGGTGCTGCTACCTATCTAGTCAGTAGGGTAGCATACACTTTATCTTATATCCTAGGAGAGAACAGTGAATCTTTTCTCATCTCTTGTACCCTATTACTTTTCTAAATTATCGTTAAACCGTCATATCACAACTTCGCACTCTGAACTTCATTCCCATGCAAACCTTCATGACATCTCTCCGACCCGTCGGTGAAAATATAAATGAGCTTTCCCTTCGTCATTCGCTCGCAAGTAGGGATGCCAATACTTTCGAGTGGGGTTCTGACCAACAGGACGTTCTTCTCTCCTCCGCTCTGGATTTTACTGGACGGGGGTGATTTCATGTTTGACATTATTTGTTAAATCTGCCAATCGTCTATCACGTATTCCATGGGATACGAGTCTTTAGGACTATCCCTTCTTCCTTTCTCTTTTCTCCTTTCCTTCTCTTCTTATGGCACGATTCAGTTCAGAGATCGATAATAGTACTAGTAACACTTCCATACGGGATGAGCAAAATATGTAGAAGAACAACAAAAGTTTGATAGATTGATGAGACGATGAACATGCATTATTAAACGATTATACGATGGTTGATCATAAGTACTCTACAGATGAAGACGGGACCAGAAGTGGTATGGTCAAATCGTTAAACTCGACGAAATGACTTTATGACTTGTGAGATTGTTGTTGATACAGGGTGATGAGACAAGGTAGATAGGTGTCAGAGTTGTCGTGACGAGGAAAGGGATGATGAATGAGAAGGGAGAGAATAGAGAGAGAGAGTGACAGAGAGAGGCTGTGACAGAGAGAGGGTGTCACAAAGAAGAGGTGATAAAGAAGGGCATGTCACGGAGAGAGGGAATATGACATAGAAGTGACAGAATAAATAAAGGGATTATCTCATAGGAGGAGGTACAGCTGGAAATTCATCTTTTTCAATTCGGTTAGGAATAGGTTGATGTCTTCTTTCAGGTAAAGGTAATTGAGGGAATGATTCAGATATCGAAGAATAAAGTTGATTTCTAAAGCTCTGACAATAAGCCACAAACCTTACATACCCTTGGTGGTATTTAACACAAGAAAAGACGAAGAGGTGAGAGAAGATCATTTGGATCTTCCCGAGAAGAGAGATACTAAAATACTAGAGACTAAGTAAGAGGTCGGACGAACATCAGTGTGAACAGAGAAGAAAGACGGGAATTGTTTGGTATATGAACGTAAATATGTAAATTCGTATGGATAGTGAATAAATAAAATAGACGATGATGATGAAGAAGAAGATGGCACTCACTTCTAATCCTAATACACGTCCTAGAGCATATTGATTCTCACCTGTAGCTCTCGAAAGTGTGTTTTTAGTATATGAATGTGGATTTCTATTTCTATCTATGTTGCTGCGATGTCAACTTGGTCCATAATTCTCTAGTACCAGCTTCTAGTCTATTTGACTTGATACATATTTCTCTTTACCTCGCTTACAATGTATCCACTCAACATGATAGACTCGAGAACAGAAGATGGACATTTTGGATTGCGACGAAGGGTACGGATGGAAGGATAGAAGGAACGATGAGGGGGGCTGGAGTAGGAAGAGTACATTTTATCGAGTTGATTTGATAAGGGATTACCGGGAAAGGGGGGGAAGGAGGTGGAGGAAAAGGGGAGAGTTGCTGATTTTATTCAGTTCGTAGAGGATCAGACAAGTCCGAGGGAGTAGGGATATCGCGTTGACTCACTCTACAATTTGATTAGGAACGGAATCTGTCATTTGACTAGATAATTGATTTAGTTGTAATAAAGATTTGTTGATTTCACCTCTGTTCGATAATCAGCTCATGGTCATGAAAATGATTCACTTCTACACTAGAAATTCTCCCATCTTGCCATTGGATGAGAATGGGTGATCCAGCACCTGGATTCAATCATTCTCATCGTATCCCATTTCATCGAAACTGAGCAGTTTGTCCAGGTCCATGTACGGGGAGAAAAGTGAAATGGTAGAGATGTAAACGACGATCATGTAGTACGATTTATACATAAAGATAGTTGACCCTTCCCCTCACACTTGTCTCATCCAAATGAGGATGGTGAATGAATGATTTGGGGAGATGAGGATGAAGGGAAGAGATAAGAATGAACAAAACAATTGACACTCACAATAATCTAGGAACAGCACCTTCCATACCTTCTCCAACTTCCCCAGCACAGATTTCCATTTCGAAAAGATCTTGACTCAATTTCAATAAATGATCCTCTACTAAACTTCTCAACTCCTTTTGGTCAGATATAACCGATGGAGCCGATATTATCGCATGACCATTTCCCTCCATATGACTTTGATCGTGTTGATACGATTGACCATTAGAGATGTATGGATTTGACTGACCATTATGATAAAGATGAGATTGTCCGTTTTGAGTAGGATGAAGTTGGTTTGTTATTGGGTTTGATTGTGAGTGAGATGGGGTTGGACGTGTGGGTAATTGATCGGGTGTGAGAGCTGGGGAAGGGAGGGACATTTTGAGTTCTGGTGTGATTACCAGGTAGCTGGTTTGTTGTGACTGCTAAGACAGCTATTCGGTGCAGTTTTCTAAGTCGCTAGATTGCTGGCTGTAGATGATGATATGTAGATAGATGCTTAGGTGACTGAATGAACGGATGGATGGGAAAGAAGAAAGGCAACGTCGAAAGTAGATGCGAAACATGTTTCTGTCTTCTTTCCGTATCTTGACAATGACGACCTTAATTGACCATAGCATCATATCATGACACTTCTTTTGACGACATGATCAACATTTAGATAGGGTATGAGTATACGAGACGAAAAACATACACCAAGCACTATCACCTGATCCATATCTATATCCCTTTTCGACAGCGAAGGAGCCGATCCCAATATGTCCTTCGCCACCTCTCTTTCTCACTTGGCAATCTTCTCCCCGACCTTGAAACCTCGACATGTTCCTTCTTCAAGGATCAACTCTGAAGGTGAAGGTGCTTCAGGGGACAGTTCGTTGGGGAATATGCCAGAACAAGTTGAAGAAGAAATGGACGAAGATACCGTCCAAGCTGCCCAAATCGTATTTTACACTTCTAGAGAAGGAGATGTATCGAGGGATAAGATGTTGAGACAGGTCGGGTTGGTTAGAGGTTTAATGAGTTTTGAACAGTACGTCAATTGTTTTTTCTTCTGTCTCTTTCACATTCCAAGGATCTTCAATATTACCATCTTCCACTTCTACTCTAATTCTGATATCTCTCAGTTGTCAAGCTGAGCACGGAAAAGGATCCAAGAAGAGATCTTGGAGTGGTGTGATCTTTTGAGCAAAGAATCAGGAAATCGGAAGGGGAAACGGCAATAGAAGCTCAGAGAGAATAAATGAATTAGGACCAGCTGATATGATAGAATGTTAACTAAATCTCTTTCTCAACCTGATGAACCACAAAAATGGTCAATAAAATCATCTCATTCACGACTGGTAGTGATTTCACCAGAACCGGAATGGTACATTTATGCTGTGAGTGGTAGTCTTGAGAAGTTTCACTTCCACCCACCCTAAGCTATCCTCTTCATGTTCCCCCCATGTCATTAACATCTTGCTCCCCCATATATCCCTCTCTGCCCGTTGATTCGGCTAGCATCACGACATCTTCCCTATTTGGCCCAGATATCATCTGCTACCTTGCGTCATCTTATCCATATCATCTGTCTCGAAACAGACGTCAATGTCGTCTTAGAGCAAGTTATGTCGGTCTAGCTGGTCCAACAATTATGCAGAAACACATCTGTTGACTGTTTAGAACATCTCCCTTCCTCACTCTGTTCCCGAATCCAGTGGAACTTCCAAACAACGTGCCCCTCCTTCTCCCCCTACCCAAATATTACCCGATTCCATCCTGTTCAAACTCCTAGAGAGGGGATATGAGGATCATTTTGTAAGCCTTACTTCCCTTCCGATTCATGGACCTAACTAACGTGGAAGCTTCTACATGGCCCACTTTCTTCTTCAGATCAACGGAAATTGGAAGGATTCTGGACACGGTTCACTCATACTTTCAACGACGCACTTTCTTCCCCTGATCCTTTCCTCCTCTCACTCGGAGGTTTCCCACCTTCTCACTTCCCCTCGGAGGTGAATGACCAGATCGATAATCTGTTTTCCGGGCTAAGTGTTTCTGAGGGATCTAAACGAAATCCTCGTTGTATGGGATTGATAAGTCCCACTGGTCCAATCCATACCACTACCTCACTAGAAGGTTCACTGCTACGATACCTTGTTCATCTCCTCAAAATCTCCATGCCTCCTGCTGTTGACGAAGTCTCTGGAAAGTCTTCAAATTATGATGCTCTAGGAATCGGAGGGAAGAAGTCAGATACGAGGAAGACCTCTTGGGCAGCTTTGTCACAGGTAGCAACGAGCTGGATACCTATACCAGGAATGAGGAATTCTACTCCTACCTCAACAACCCCCATCACACCTCGGCAATCGTCGATGGATTATCAAACTGCATATCCGAATCATCCTGCTACTCCATCATCAGCAACATCTCACCCCGTTAATCTCTCTCGACCTGACCACATACACAAGGACAGTAATCCACACTCTCAAGCTGACGACAAACGTGAAGAGAAGGTGAAAGGGCAAGATAAGGGTAAAGGGAAAGAAACGGATAAATCTCGTTGGCCAAGTCTCGGTCTTGGACTGGGTGGGTTGGGAGAAGCAATGGGTAATATGGGTCATGTTTTCGGAATGGGTACGAATAAAGTTTCTGGGACTTATAAAGTAAGGATGGATATTCCACCGAGGAAACCATCCCGATCCCAGCTGTCAAACGATTATTCGGGAGGTAGTCCGTTAAACCATCCAGGAGCCATGAATACCAAGAACGAAAACAGTCCACTGAAGGTTGACATTACCTCGGAAAGAGTCGAAAACCATGAGCATCCTAAACAAGACGACGTGAGCAATGGAGAGTCTTTAGAGATGGAAGGGGAAGAGGAGGTAACAAAAGGGGCAAACAAAGGGGAAACGCATGTGAATTCCGACACTGCACAGTCGACCAATGTAGGGGAAGAACCTTCTGGTGATAAGAAAGTGGAAAGGATAGATCATGCGGGGGATGAGAAAAAGTCTGTAAGGAAAGAGCTAGAAGGAGAAGCTAATGTGATGGTGGAACAAACTCCTTCGACGATTCGGGAATTGAAGATAGCGGTACAGACAGAAGGGTTGGAAACAAAGTGGGAATCAAGAGAAATCTGGTTATCCCCTTTAGGTTCTCTTTCTTCAGTTAGAGGGAGTGATTTGCAGCAAACTTTGATATGGACGATTGTAAGTCCGTCTTCTCTTCCTTTGCTTCGCTTTTCGTAATGCCCTTCAGTGGAATTGGATATAATATCTGGTGACACTTCCACCTCTCCACCCCTTTTCTCACAAATTTATCAAGCTGGAATTGATTATTTATGGTGGTATGAGGCTACTGTGATTATGTCATACTTCAATCGTTTTCCGTTCACTCGTCTTGCCATTTTTGGTGGGATACAGAATGACTGGAAATCTTTATCACAATGGGAAAGATCAGGGCAAGAACATCCTTGAAAGGTGTTGATACGTAAAAGTTGATCTAATGGACAGAAAGATAATTTCCTGCTATTCCTCATTTACCCCCTTACTACCAACACCCAATCACTCACCTCTCCCCCTCTCTCACCCACTAGGTCCAATCCCATCCCTTCCGCAACATCCAAATTATCCCTCAACCCAATTCCCAGTCTTACTCTACCAAGTACTGATCAGATCTCCACCATCTTCTCCACCCTCCAAAACGCACATTCCGCCTCGTACAGCAGATCAACCAAATATACCCTTTCTCCATCTATATCAACCGTCAACCTCAATTCTCCCCATTCCCCAAAACCCTCTCCCTCTCCCTCTTTCAAGACTTCCAAAACCCCCACAGCTCCTAGGGAGTCTAATTCTGAACAGAAACTCAAAGAAAACAAATATCCCAACAATAAAACGGAAAACAAAGGGACCATCACTCAAATCCCTCCACCTCATCTTGGAACTGTCCAAGGAATGACAGGAATTACAGATGTAGAATCTTACACATTTCATTCAAATCAAACCACCATATCCTCTCAAAACTCCGATGCTAGAAAGGTAGAAACTAGTAGAGTCTTGTGTGATTTACGTGATTTATCAGGATATAAAGAATTGTACGCTAAGACCAATGTGAGTGATAGTAAGTTGTTCGTAGTTCGTCGATTGGTGCGTAGAGGGGTAGAAATGGGAAATCAAGCTCTTGGGGAGGATGAAGAGGGTATTGGGGATGATGGGATCGTTCAATCTAAGAATGTTACGACACCTACCGAAAATACCATGACTGCAAAAGTCAAGGAATTTGCAAAAGCTGAGATATCCACGGAGGATGCACAAGTTACGATACCTGAGGAATCTTTTACGTCCCCGGAGAATACGAAAACTTTGGAGGAGACAGAACGAAGGCGGGAGAGACCTGTGGGGGATACGAAATCTATTGAAGGTACAAAACAGCCTGTGGAGCGTACTGCGGAGGAGAAAGCGGAGGAGAAAGCGGAGGAGAAAGCGGAGGAGAAAGCGGAGGAGGAAGCGGAGGAGGAAGAAGTAGAAAGGAGGAACAGAGAAGTGACTGAAAATGGACAGAGGCAAATTGAGGAAGCTACATCTGTCACACCATGTCAAGAGATCCGAGAAGATGGTCAAGCTTTACATGAGAGAGAAGATGAAGCAGAGTTGTTCGTCGTTTTGGGAGGTAAAGAAGTTAGTTTACCAAATGCAGAAAGTAAGTCTGTTTTCCCCACTCACCTTCCCCCCACCCCACTACTAGTTCAATTCGAAAGTTTTTTTTTTTTTTTTAAAGTAGAACTACGTATCAGCGTTTGTTCTGCACTATCACATCTGTCTTGGTCTTGACTGGAGCGACATAACTTGATTGAAGGAATATATAACCGAATCATCGTTTTCATATGATGAGTTTGAGACTAGCCATCCAAAGGAGATTAGAGGATTGTTGATTGTTGATTGTTGAATGTTGAAGTATTGGAAGTGAGAGACCGGATTGTCAGATGTTGGGTATGACATACTCGCTCTGATTTAGTGGGTGAAGAGAGAGACCGAGCTAATGTCAGACAACGTACGGAGTATCCTACGTCAATGGCCCGAATGGGGATAACATGCATGGTGTCTTTAATTTAACAACAAGGAACCAATTAACATGTTCATCCTGTGGGTCGAAACGATGTCTATACATACAGAAACATAAAAGAAACACTAAATGTTATGCCATAACAACGTCCGAAGATCATGCCATATTTCAGAATCGTGGTAGAGGTATTCTAATCGTGAGCTGAATAGATTCATCCATCTGCGTGGGACCGTGAACGGTAGACAAACATCCCCCAAGATTAAGATCCTGAGGAGGAGAACCACGATACGTGAGACACCCAAAGAGAAAGAAGAAAGGGAGAGAAAAAGACTCACTCATACTACTCCACATACCAGGTTGTATCCTCTCTGCTCTATGTCTGAACATATACATCACCCCCGCCCAGCTCAACGCAGCTACGACCCCGAATGGTAGTTGCGCAGGAGGTATAGGAGGTGGGTTAGCCGCGGGGCTTGTCAGATTTGGTAAAGGATGAGAGAGAGGTGCAACAGGGTTAAGAGGTGCGGGAGGATGAGTGGAATAAAGTCGAGGAAGGAGTGAGAAGAGGGTACGGGACATTACGTAGAGAACTATTTGTTCGTTTATCTGTAAGTCAGTGTGTGGTGATCATCGACTTCTTTGCTTGACTAAACTAATTGTATATGACATTTGTATGTGTCATCGAGGTGATGAGGTTATGGGAAAGAAATGTGGACGTGATTGGGAAGATGTGGGACTTTTCCCAAAAACCAAGAGAGGGGGGGAAGAGGGGGGGGTTCAAGGAAAGGCATGTTGTGTAAAAAAGGAAATTGACCGCGAAAATGGCACTCGTAAAGTGAGAAAAGCTACAAAAGCCAATACCTGTTTTAAGAATACTAACAAGAATACTAGGGAAGTTGGATCATAGGGGCATCAAAGAGAAGGAAGAATAAAAAAAAACTCACAGCTGTACGTTCGCCAAAAACCCACCAACCGCCAAGTCCACCAGCAATGAAAGTATCTAAATCCCTCTCTTTACCACCGTTCAATCGTCGTTGAATTAACAAGAATGTTTTATACAACGTTACGAATTTCGCTAGGTTTATAGCGTGTGTTCGGGTGGCTGTAAAGACGGATCGGATTTTCTGAGGCCATCTGGGAATCAACTGACAAGCTCTTTCTTCATTCAGGGGAATATAAGACCTTTCTTCAGCTAATGGTATATGAGACCTTCCCTCAATGAAAATGCTATCCTCCATTCTTTGTTAAAATACTGTAATTGTCCGTCGTACGAGATATGTGTGGATATGTTCTTTTTGACGATGAATTGGCATGAACAGAAGGATATGAATGGTGAGAGATTTTAGGGATTGAGGTGTGTACTAGAATGAAAAGGGAGTTGAAAGGGCAGAAGGGTCGATCTTGAAGGTTTCCGAGGAAGAGTGCGGAAAGAGTGATTGAAGAGATAACATACGATTTCTTAGAGAACAAAAGTGTCATCACTAAAGCATGAGGGAATCCTATACATCAGCATATCATTCATGTCCAGATGATCAGAATTCAGTCAGAGGGGTAAGATTCGAGTTCGATATTCCAACCAAAGACTTGTACTTCAAGCTCCAGCGAATGACCTGCAGTCCACAGTTTAAGAGAAAGACCTGAGAATCACAAACTAAGAAGCAAGATCTGATATCGCAAGCTAATAAGTAAGATCTGTAATCACGATCTCAAAGATAAGATACGCCAAATGGAGCGATAGAAATGAAAGAAGGACTCACGAATTTTGATACCATATACTAAACCGTTTCTTGCTCCTTTTAGGATAGCTAAGAAATCATGATTTTTCGGACTTTACATTAGCTTAGATCATACACTCAATAAGATCCCTTAGGGGTCCATGTAATTCCCTTGATACTTATAAACCTGACTAATCTGGACATCGTTGAAGTATCATGGAGGATAGGAGGGTAAGTCAATAAAGGTGAATTGAGAGTAAGAATAGAGATGACTAGACGGGTGAGAGTCAATTGTAGTAGAGAAGAGGAAAGGGGTGAAGATGGTTTGAGAGGATGGGAATAGGAAGTCAGAGAACAGAGGGGAGATGTCGGAATGAAGGAAGGGGAACATACTCGAGAAGAAAAGAAGATAATGACATGATGATCTTCTATACTCTTCCTCAACTTGTCCAGTCTACTCAGAACTCTGGCTGTTCACTCTTTGAGGTGAAAGGTTTAGGATCTGATATAGCAGTGAGGATCCAGCTGGAGTATTGATATTGTGTGTGGGGTAGAGGTGGGTATAGTAATGTAAAATCAAGATGGATGGAGTACCTGTATGGAGAGAAAGAAAACAGTCGAATCTCGGTAAACTCGTTTCATTTACCCGGTTCGTCTCCAAAAGTACTCGTAGCGTCATACGAATATCAACACCTTTTACCTTATCTTTAGTGATGCATGATGCAGTGGTAGGATAGACAAAGGGCAGAGTATGCATACATTTGAAGAGCATAACAGAGATGGAGTATGACATGATATATGTCACATCTCACGACTTCATTGTACGCCGGACGGTTCAGAGAAAAGAACCACACGTAAGAAATCAACTCATCAAAATCTCATTCACCCTTTTCAACGCCGCCCTTGGAGGATTACCGTCAGGCCATAAAGATACCAAATGGTATAACATGTCAGCGATGTATGATTTGTCCACCAAAACCTCGTCTTTCTTCATCTCCCCTGTCACTTCCTCATTCTTTGGGATCATACCCACTTCCCTTCCCCTGTCTTCTTCACCAATTGGTCCATCTCTGAGATCACTTTGAGATATTGTTTCTTGTCCGTGCTCTGATGTTGGCTCCATCACACCTGCTGGACTGATCTCGTTCACTGGATACCCAACATGTCCTTCGAGTGAGCTTGGGATCCCACTTTGTGGCTGACTTGGAGAGAATTGAGATAGATGGGGAATGGAACACAAAGCCAACAAAGCCAGGGGGATTATCCGTCGTCTGTCTTCCACAGTAGGCATTACGTCGTCCATCGTATAACCACCCATCTCGTCCATCCTATTCGCTGAAGTCGAACACGGTGTCTTCGGCTGATCCTCTGCGTGGGTTGAGGTATTTGATACCGCCTCACAAGAAGTCCTGGCTCGGTCCCAATGTTCTACTCGGCCAGGACGAAGAATCACTGGTTGACCATCCTCAATAAGAGAGGAGATAAAATTCCTGGCTTTGATCAAAGATTGAGAGAACGCTTTCCCGGAAGAACGAGGAGAAGGAAGAAGCAGAACGAATCTTCTACCCCTCTTACCTCTGTGATCGTCGAGATGAGGTACATTCCCGGAAAAGTCGGTATTTGTTAGAGGCTGGGCGGACGATGATGGAGTTCGTGTTGTCAGGGAGAATGTGGAAATTGGATAGAGGGTAAAGGGTAATGGTAAGATATACGTCTCATCGTACTCTTTCGGATGTTTGACAGGCTCTACAACATATATCGTAATGGCTTCTCTGTGGTGATATTGCCAAGAGAAAGACGACACGGCCGGACCAATGTCGAGAGCGAGAAGCGAGTTGGAGGTTGGGATTCCCACTAATGGGTCCGAAATTGTGAGACGGTCAAATGGAATCTCCGGTCCGGAGTGAGTGATCGACGGTGCGGCTTGGTGTGATTCGTTCTTCACGAGTTCAAAGACGAGTTTCTCCAAATCGTCTTGGTCCGCCGAGAGAAGAACTTGTTTGTGTTTATAAAAGATGGCCGGGGTCAAGCCCTGTCCTCAGCTTTCAGTCCTTCGAAGAAGATACACCCATTCCTGTTTCCTGCGAACAATCCGCGAACATGATAACCCCTGGGTCAAAACGCAAGTCTAGTCGATACCTCTTTTTCATCTCGGAAAGACTGACGAAGTGGACACCGAGAAGTCTATGAAACAAGGGGCTCGATTCGCAAACCATGAGCCAAATGAAGTGAGGAGAAAAGCAATGAAAGACTTACTTTAGCCCAGAGCTCATCATCATCCCCAGCACCTTGAACATATTCAAACCCTTTCGTCCTCTTGCCGACTTTCGTAGAAGCCGGTATATCATCTTCCCCTCCTACCCATCTTGACGCCGAAAGACAAATGATCGATGTCCACTCTGGGTCATCTGGTATTTGTGGAGGTGAAGAAGTAGCTGGATGAAGGAAAAAAGGTCGAAGAGGACGTTTAAGTTGAGGAATGATCAAAGAAGAGTCCTGTGTATCAGCCTTTCAGTTGAATCAGTTTGATCAAGACTCACAAGCAATTTTTCTGCCCATTCAGGGATAAGAACTTCGATTTGAGATTTTTCACTGGATGAGACGATATTCGGAGGGGTGTACAAGGAAGTATTCCACGTTGACCATTTCTCTGCCTGTAAATCCATTACTGAGGGATCAGGCGAGGTTTCCGCTTTGACCATGAGATCGACGTCGTTTTCAGTTGAGGTGCCATAGTTGGAACTGAGATTACGTGCTGAACAGGATCTTTCATGTACACTTCGAAGATGTCGGAGTTTGACAACTAGATTTATGACCGCACACCTGATGTGAGCTGAGAAAGAAATGATAGACGATCGGCTCACCAGATAGGGACAGTTTTAGATAATGCGTCGGGCATACGTTTCCCTCTCCTGGTGGAGTCTACGAGGATGATTCTGATGTCAGCTTTCAGTCAGGGGAGGGGAGATTGCTCGGCAGCACTCAGCAGTTGGAACGACATTCCGATGCAGAGAATGGGTAATGATGCGGTTACAATCCCGAGAGTACAGTATAAAATTCAGGAAGAACAAATAGCGGCATCATGATAAGGGGAATGAGCGTACTCGGCAGGGTGGGCTATGTACCACTCGGATGAGGGGAAAGAAGACACAAGATGGATAGATGAAGAAGATGATGAAAGAAGACACGCACCCACCACGTCGCTCAGCATATTCCGCCAAAGAAAGGTTGGATCGACGTAAATTAAATTGCCAGTTCTTCTCAATCAGCTCATTGTGGCAGAAGTACATGCTAGCTGACGTTGTTATGCCCGTCTGTAGATTTAAAATACGCGTGAATGTTCTGTACGTCAGAGAAATGTCTTCCTTTTACGGCGTAGCTTGGTCCTGGTAGATTAATCATCTCTAGTCGGTACGAACTGTCCATTTACGGGTGGAAATCACATCATAGAGTTGACGGCCCGGATCATGTTCCGCATGGGAAGGAAGAGAAGACTGAGGAGTCAGTCGATTGGCGGAGTTGGGACAGGAAATTTTGAGACAATCAGAGTAGATATATGTACACGCAAAGACAGAGACTCACAGAAGAAGAAGAAGGGTCGCAATACCAATTCCCACATCTCTGATTGGCTATAAATCAGCTCGCTTCAGCCTATTTGCCTCAGAGCTGAAGGCATTCTCCGCCCTTTGTTCACTCAAGAAACGGAAAGTGGACGAGATCGAAACAAATTCACTTGAAACACAAGGGTGGGAAGGTTCACCACTGATATGAGACTCAATGAAGAAACAGCCGACAAGTCCATGAGGCTAGGAACTTGGGTTGAGTAAGAGATGGATGAGGAAAGGAAGACACTCACGGATTATCTCAAATCTCCCACCATACCATCCCTCCCTTACCCGATTGACAAACTCACAATCCGTAGCTATGGAATGTATTCTGTGATAAAGATCATATTTGGCAGTTTGTTTCTTCACATCTTTCGCTGACATTTCCGTGGATCTGTAGTACTGTACCTGCCGGGATATCGTGAAGTTCTTGAAAGGATGTCACTGACTCTGGCCTAGGTGTGATTTCTTAGTCAAGTAGAACTTGTTCCAGATTGATTGAGTGTATGATCCAGTCTTCTCACTATTGTTTGATACGAAAGAGAAATGGAGGGAAAGGTCAAGCATATCAAGCAGTTTGGGGGGGAAGCCGGGGAAGATTGTGGGGCTCCGATGTACGGACCAGACAATGTGTGGCAGTTGTGAACGATGTGGCACTTTTCCCATATGTAACGCACGCATATTCCTGGTAGCATAAAGTATGAATACGATCTGACATATATTCCCGGTGGGTGTTCTACCGGTATGAACGAGATTGACCAACAGTATCATAAGCCATAAAACTTTCCCCCTGTCTCATTCCTGAAACCATCAAACAAGCCATGTGAGGTAGTTTCATCCCGAAAAATCCTTTCATCACTTATCCCTTCCACCTCCTTTGGTGTTATGGGGGATCATCAGACCACATGTGTTTCTCAAGCATGTGAACGAGTTACGTTCTTTCCTATCACTTGATATCTTTCCATCAAGGGTCATATAGCCTGGTGCTGCTCTTATACTCCCTTATAAATCCTTCGAGACCTCCTGAGTGTTCACTCCGCCAATCAAACACACCAACGCCTCTGTTGAACCTGGAAAAGCGAAAAGCGAGCGGTGAAGAATTAGGAAGACCTGAGTTTGAGAGAGAAATCTATTTTGAAAATAAAGAGAGAAGGAGAAAAACATGAAGTTTTCTTTCTCTCTAGGATTACTATGGGGTATTTTAGCCGTAAGGGTTATGGCGGATGATACTTCTCAGTATCCTGATTGGGTCAGTAACGATTATTCATGTGGTACGTTTGTTTTCCTCTTTCTTCTCTGTTACCCTCAAGGGAAAGAAGAGAGGGTTATTGTCTCAATTGGGGATGATGAACACATACAATGCTCTAGTTATTGGGTTGAGAGGAAGAGATAAGATCGTAGTTGGGCTCTCATCATACCCTGCCACTTATATGAACTTGGCGAGACTTCGGTTGAACGAGGGGAACGCTTTTCTACCCAAAGGAAGAATGGGTAGATGACGGAGGAGGCAATTAGGATGGATAGTAGCTAATCACAGTCGTTGGTTGTCTTCAAAGTTTCAACTCTTCCATGACTACTATACCAAAGTATGTCATCTTTCTTCTCTCATGGTTGATGATGGCTAAGCAGCAGTCCGGATTTGGAAACCCAAGCTTATTCTTGTGTCGCCAACACATGTGATTCGGACACTGCGACGGCGAACAGATACCAAGCTTCTTATATCATCAACGTAAGTTTTTCCTTCTCTCCTCTGGCTATGGGATTCTCATTTTTTCTAACAACTTCCCATCGTACTATATCAGGTTCCCCAGTATTCTTTGTCTGTCCTTCGATCTCTGTTCTACTGTTTGTTCACCGGCATGTTGTCCCAACTGTTCGTCATACATTCTCACCCATAAAGAGTGTGCCGCAAACCACCCAATCCCGGGTGAACATATGGTAGTCGTTTCATGACGAAGTTGTCAGAACTGTATGTGAAGATGAGAATTCGCTCACTGGCAGTTATTCTACCATACCGGAAGTATCTATGAAAGTTCCACCCCTCCTACCTCTCAAATTCAGGAAAACGTAGTACCGACCGATTCCTCTTCTTCCGACCCACCAAACCCTACCGATACGGGTACTGGAGGTGTAGCTCTCCAAACTGATATTCAAACTGATGCCAACTCTAATCCATCCTCTACTGATTCTCCCGGTGCCTCCTCCACTGATTCTCCATCCAACCTGTCCTCGGCGGTGGAAGCGGTGAATGGGGTACAAACCACTCAATCGGCCGTTTCCGTCAATCCCCTAGCTACTGCCAGTTATGGAAGTGGAAAGAGTTCTAGTATTAAGGCGAGTGCTAGTGCCAGTGTCAGTGGAAAGAATGGGACTGTGGCTTTGGCGAGTTACGGGGAGAGGGGGATGGATATGAGGGGTGGGTTTGGATTGGGAGTGGAGGTGATTGTGGGGTTGGCATGTTTGTTAGTTTACACCACTCTATGAGCGATCCAATTTTCAACTATCTTGCGATTAGAGTGAGGGTGTTATACTACTTGGTAAGATTAGAAAGAAGGTATAACGTAGGATCTATGAACGGAGGAAGGGAACATATCAAGGACGGGAAGATGTATACTATCTGATTGTGACATCTCTACTTGGGTAACCCTCGTGGTGCAGGTCCTATACAACTAGATCTACCCCGCAGCACTCCCTCAACGGTAGCATGTAGCTGCTAGCTGCTATCACTCCTGTGTCACTATCTAATATGTATGTATCACCCGTTCATCGATCCCCTCATGGGTCCAAGGCAGAAGGGTTACACCATGACATCATATTTCCTCGTTTCACTTCCCCCACTTCCCCCCCACTTTCATCGTCATCACCCCTCAATCACGTTCGTTCGTTTCTCTTCTTCTCTTCTCCACCTCGTTGGCTCGTTCCATCTTCCCACGCTTCGTACTTTATCTCATCCGCCTGCAGGGCCCCTAAAGTACCATCCCAGCTCTCACACCTAATCTTCTCCCCCAATCACAAAGAGAGATCGTAACCCCCAGATTGCGCAGGCCGCCTCCATCGACGTCATGAACATCAACGCGTCATTTCCACACTGCTATGACGCTTCGCTCCTTTCTCCCCACTCTGACGGATATACTTAACCCCCATCCATATATCCTCCAAAATCTCTTCATCTCAAAGAATCTGATAAGACTTCCGATACACCAACAACAATCAATAACGAACTTGAACAATCATGGGTGTGAGTCGTTCATATGTGAACCGCAGGATGTCGCTCATGGTCAGTTGATGGATACTATCAAGAACAAAGCTGAGGGAGCCATGAACAAAGGAGAACACGTGAGCTGATTTGTCAATCGTCGTCTTTTCATCGACCCATCAACACCTCTACACTCATCCATGCATTTTCCATAATATCCTTTTTCCACGTCAAACATGATTTTCCCTTCTGCAATGTCGTTGACATCCGTTTTGTCCCTGTTTCATCTAGCTTCCACCCATTCAGTGTTAATGCACATGACAACTATGAAACAGAAGACACTCGCTGATATTATCAGTCTCAGCGCGACCAGACTCAAAACCAAGGAGGAAATCAAGGAGATCAGTACGGCTCAGGACAAGATCAGTACGGATCCGGTCAAGGTCAAGGTCAAGATGCTTTCTCTACTGGACAAGGTGGAGGGTACGGTTCTGGTGGACAAGGACAAGCCGGAGGTTTCGACAAGGACCAATATGGGTCTGGAGCAACTGGTGGAGACCAGTACGGGTCTGGGGGAGTGGGTGGAGGAGACTATGGTTCTGGACAGCCAGGTCAGTACGGTTCTGCCGGACAAGGAGGTCTGGGAGGTGGTATTGGTGGTGGACAAGGTGCTTATTCTGGCAATGCCGGTCCTGGAAACTACGGACCTGGTGCGGGCGGTGAGGGGAACTATGGATCGGGCGGGGCTGGTGGGCTTGCTGGGGCAGGTGGACTGGGTGGGCTGTCAGGGGGGAACTCGGCTGGACAATTCGAGTCTGGAGAGGGACGTCATGGACATGGGCATCATCATGAAGGTCAGGGAGGTGGTGTGGGAGGTTTCGATGGGCAAGGACAGGGATATGCGTGAGTGAAATCTCTCTGTTCCTCATATGATCTATGTGGAACTGGACTCATATTGACCCTTCCAATATTCTGGGACAGGATGAGCAAAGGATAAGTCGGGAAGTGTCCGCCGAGATGTGTCACGTCTAGGTGCTCATCCGAATGATATGACGCTGACCTCCAGCGATGGCAACATGGGTGCTCAGGGGACTAACAACACCTATGGTCAAACTGGTGGTGAGTCATTTCTCACTTTCCCACTCGTGTCTCGAATGGTCAAGAGTCATAACTAATCCCAGGGGGTTTGAACCAAGGTCAAAATTTCTGAACGTCGGTCTCGAACCAATGAGGGAGTGAGAGATTTGAAAGGAATGAAGTCAGAAGTTAAGATGTCAGAACGATGAAGAAATTCAGATGCATCGCTGTAATGATCATCATCTGACCTACCTTAAACAATTCAACAACCGTACTCGTAACGATCGTTCTGTCCAATCCATGTAACGATGCTCAGTCGCTTACTCACTACAGTACGTGTTCATCTCCAAATCCAGCATCAAGTCGGATCCTTTATGACCTCATCGACCCCCCACCTGATCATGTCTACAAGCAGTATATCAACGTACCGACCATCGGCCAACGGATGTTTCGTCGTCAAGCTTTTCAAAACTCGGTCTTCCTTTCCCCCCACCATCCCCACAGCCTCGACCCATCAAATCTCATCATTCCCCACGTCGCACAGCATGAAACCATGAACGTACGCCTTCTTTCGCCGTATAGCCGAATGTCCATCCATCCCTTTTGACAATGACCGATAATCATATATAAACCTCTGACCGTCGGCTGTTTCGCCACCGATCCCCTCTCACTTTCCATCACTTATTTTCTTACACGCGACCCGTACTAGACTCACGAGATCACCGAGATTATCATCAACATGGGTGTGAGTGTTATGATACAGCCTACTCAGATGACAAAAAACGGGGATGTTGACTGATGTATATAGATCGTAGAGAACGTTGAGAACCTGATACACAAAGCTGAAGATGCCATAATAAAGCATCATGATGTAAGTTCCTCTGTCTCATGGACCACTATCGCCCTTTTCATCAAATACATTATTCGTCAACGACATTCCTCAATTTTCTCGACCTATCAAACACCTTATTCCTCTTCAATGCCTTAATCACGTTCCTCAATTTCTCAAGCACCACGTGCCAGAAATATCCATGTTGTCCATACCTACAAGCTCCTACTTTGGGAAGTGGTCAAGTAAGAGCTCGATGAAGAAAGTTTAGGAAGGATAACTGACCTCAGCAAAAACACTCTCATCTTCATCGTCCCTCCAACGAACCTGGTTCCGAAGGAGGAGAAATCGATGCCAATCGTGGTAATCCTTTCTCCGTAGGAGGAGAAGGTGGAGTTAGAGGTGGAAGTGATGGATTCAACTTTCCACCAGAAAGTGGAAATGGTCAATTACATCTAGGACCTGGACCTGTTAAACTTCCACCAAACCAAGGTGAAAATCCCCTTCCCATGGGACCCGGACCCGTTAAACTTCCTCCACACGAAGGTAGTGCTCCTATGGGACCAGGACCCGTTAAACCTCCTCCGACCGAAGGTGAAAACCCCCTTCCTATGGGACCAGGACCTGTCAGACTTCCTCCAACCGAAGGTTCTCTTCCTATGGGACCAGGACCTGTCAGACTTCCTCCAAACCAAGGTGAAACCCCAATTCCTCTCGGTCCAGGACCAGTAATCATTCCAAACGAACCTACTCGTCCTAACAACACTCCCGGATCGGAAGGTGGTGAAACTGGAGGTAGCAAGAATATGTGATGTTTGTAAGTTTTTCTTCGCTCAAGTTCCGGATTCGAGGTCATCAGGTTGATATTAGATGAATCGAAAGATTCTACGATCGGTCCGAGTCGATAATGCGTGTGGGAACCTCTTTGAGATTGGAGACAATAAGCAGATGAGGGGGGTTAGTATTGTAGTGACTACGATAACTGAGAATGTATTCGTTACAACCAATTATATATCGCGATAATTCCGTGCGTTGGAGATTTCATCGTCTAATCACGAAGGTCATTAGTATCATTCAAGTCAATACCACCTCGCCCTTTTGTTTATCAAGCTCGCCCGTCATTGCGTTCAGCCCATTATCACTTTTCCATGCAGTACGAGTACTCTACTCAACTTACTCTTAACGTCCTACTTCTCACCATCCCGTTACCCCCCCTTTTCAGAAGCGACTTCTTCCCACACTCCCACAATTACACCCTCGCAAATTCCCAATCATCCCTTATTAGGAGAAATTCTCCTGACAATAAGAGAGTAGTGTCATCCTTGATACCAAAGGACCTGGTCAACTTCAAACGTCATTTGATCCTTTACATCCGTCAAAATCATATCATCACCGGAATCAGTCCGTGTTGGCCGTTTGGCCGTGCCCGTGTCTCCATGGTGACGTGTTGACTATAGACCAAGATCAATAAGCTCATACCCGCTCTCCTCATCCCCTTTCAGCTATCGTCTATCGTACATTCTTCATGATGTCAAAAAAACAACAAGCGTAGAAAATGTCAAGATACTGTACAGAGTGAACATTCCACATGATTCTCCTAGGACAAGACGAAAGGCCGGCAAATCATTCGACGATTGGGTTAGATGCTTAAAGTGGAATCCCCGGCTAAATGATTGGATAAGTTCAAAGAATGTAAGAAAACTACCGTTGACATAGCCTTCACGCCACACCGTGTGACCGAATGACCGTTGGATGATGATGATGATGATGACTTCATCCGATGAAGACGAGTGGAGGTTGGTAGGGTATAAAAACCCAAGATGAGAAATTGAGACACCACAAGAACGATCATTTCTCACATTTGATACTTCATCTTTTCGTGAGTCATTTCATTTGAAATTTATCATTTGAGTTGAGTTGGATTATTGATTTTATCAGTCTTCTTTCTACAGTTACAACTGTTCAAATCATTCGTATTCAGTCAAGCAACATGAGCGACGTGAGTAACTTCCGTATATTCACCTTCCATTTTCATCTTCCCTCTTGTCCATGTTTAAGCTTTTAACTCTTTTCTCAATCCAACTTTGACCTGTGATCTTCATTTTGACCTTTTCATCCCATTTGGACTTGTGCTTGCGATTGGAATTCATCTCCTGAATTCTTCCCATCTTGCCACCCAAACTATCAAGCCTAATCGAAAATCCATTATCACCCACCCCTCCGCCCCAAGCTGACTCATAGGAACAAATTCCTTTCGAAGGCGGACGCTTCCCCGGTGGACAAGGTGGCGAAGACCGTCCCATTCATCTTGGACCAGGTCCCGTCCAAACCTCTGGTCAAGGTACGTTGCCTCATCCCCCCCCCCTCTTTCGCGCCCAAGTGGCTTAAACCCAACCTCTCACGCGGTTGAATGAACAAATCGATCAGCGAATTGTGCTGATGGTAGGTGATCAAGGTGATGATCAAGATGGTATATTGAATGACAACGGGGCCAATGGTGGGAGGAGGGAACCTGGTGAAGGAGGTGTTTTTGGGGATGGGACCGGTGTATTAGGTCACGGTGGACAAGGTGGGGTCCAATCTGGAGGTGGCGGTGGTGTATTAGGTCACGGTGGACAAGGTGGGATCCAATCTGGAGGTGGCGGTGGTGTATTAGGTCACGGTGGACAAGGTGGGATCCAACCTGGAGGTGGCGGTGGTGTATTGGGTCACGGTGGACAAGAAGTTATTCAACCTGGTGGACCTGAGATTCCAGTCAAGGGAGGACCTTTCGGTGGTTTCCCCGGTCCTCAAGGTGGAGAAATTCCTCCAGGACAAGGTGAGGGACATCATCATCACCATCATCACCACGAACACGATTAAGAGTGAGTTTCTTCGATCGCGAGACTTGCTCTTGTTTCCCCATCACGTTTCATGTGTTCTTGGGGAGAGAGGAAAAGGCGTGGTCGTTCGATTCATTTGACGTTCATGTATGCCCGGTAACCCCCTCACCCCTTAATCCCCTAAACTTTCCTCCATCTGCCCTTGTTTTACTTATGGTGTATTAGGGAACACGGATCAGCTGTATATTGATTGGTCGCTTGACGTACTGTAGGTTTGATGATTATGATTTAGGGAAAGAGAGAGATTGGAGAAAGACGGAAGAGATGTTGATGATCAGGGACAACTGCTGAGTCCGTTTGACCGACTCGTGTCATCGTGATCAAGTCTCCCGTGAGTGATTTGAATCCTAGCACTACGTGTTCTGACATGGTTAGAAGTCAAGTATCATCGACAAGCACAAGTAGAAATTGAAGTGTAAGAAGAGAGAAAGAACGTATGTAGGAATAGCCTCTCGATGACAATGAATGTTTCAGTGAAATAAGACGTTGCCGTGTCGATTGCCGCTGAATATCCTTTCAGACTTCCTCAAGTCGGTTAAGGGCTAAGTTGAGAGGGAGTCTGGACCGTTTTCTGGATATGAGCGAGCACACTGTCTGATCACATAAGAGGTGGTCACTGAATCTGTGAGTGGTCAGCAAAGTGCAAGAAAAAGTTCGAAGGATCTTGAGACTCGGATGAAGATCGGTTATCATGATTGGAGATAAGATTTTGCATAACGACAACGATTGTACATTTGATCTATTCTTCTTGTGCTCTTTGTGCTCTTTTGGCCAATCTAGCAATCAGCTCATCTTATCTTGGCATTCTCGGTACTGTCATCCGATAACTAATAACTCATCATAACCATATCTACCCTCTTCCTACGTCCTTGGATCCCCCTGAAAGATTCGTTTTCGAATTACAATAGAAGATCATCCGCAGGTAAATCTCTATGGATACCCTCAAGACAGCTTAACATACGTGACGTAATCAGCTAGAAAATGATGGAAGCAGGAACAAGGTGACACGATCAGGTTAGAAGAGAGGATAGAAAAAGTGATAAAGAGTAACAATACTATAGCAACAGGGGGAGAAGAAGCGAGTAACTATAAAGTGGAGATTTCACTCACGCAGCAGCCAAATCCAATTGCCCCGTAGCCGCTTTAGGGGGTTGAAACCCTCCTCCTCTGACACCCCCAGGAGCAGGTGTAATCTTTGTCGCACTCGGCACTGGCGGTTTACCCGGTTTGACAGGGATAGCAGGTTTAGGTTTTATAGCTGGTGCCGGAGCGGGAGGTTTGCCGATACCCGACACGGGTCTGGAGCTGTTTGCAGATGAGGTAGAAAAGCTCGACGGACCTCCGTTCTGCGTGGAAGCTTTGTGTATGACTGGGATGGCCGGAGCCAGAGGGGCGGAAGGGGGGGGTCGACGAGCTACAGGTGGGGGAGGAGGTGGAGGAGCGGATTCTATGAGTTTTAAACTGTTCGTCAGTTTTTTGTGTTCTAAGACAAAGCAGAATTGGAAACCGGACCAATTGTACAAGACCTTAAGAAACAGCTCAATGGTTACGGTGAGCTGCCCCGTGAGGGAGATAGCCAAAGACTACGAAGTGACAAGAGATGAATGTTGGGTATAGGGGGCTTGAAAGTCCTTGGGAAGAAGCAAGAACAGGATAGAGACCCACTAATTCGAAGGAGCCCATCCTTCAGATCCACCCTTAACGACCATCCACCAACCATTATCATCTTTCTCCTTCACTTCCACTTCTTCCCCTTTGGTCAAATTCATCTCACCCTCCTGTCCTGCAAAGTTGTACAAAACCTTATACATTTCCTTCTGTGGCCCTGTAACCTGTGATGGTGGGGGTGGAGGAGGAGGCGGTGGTGGACCTCTTGTCACTGCTGCCGCAGTAGTCTTTGATCCTCCAGGTTTCGTAAGACCTTTGACAGGTCCATTACTGGTCGCGCCGAGTACGGGTGGAGGAGCAGGTTTAGTCGCACCTGGTAATACTCTCGCAGCCGGTTTGTTCATAGCTCGATTGACCACGTTTGACACGGCAGGTTTGGAAACTTTGACTCTCGGTTTTCTAGGAGGTAAAGGATTACTCAGACTATTGGGATTTTCACCAGAGCCAACTAAGATTGTATGGGATTTATAAACCCCATCTCTGGTTATAGTCTCGTCTTTCTGTGCTTTGATCAAAGCACGTTTTTCACGTTTCTTGGCGTAGTCGATATTTGGACCAATGTTAACTGGGGTGCTGCCGCCAGTCAGAGTAAGTATGACAGATGTCATTTCGGTCTTGAATGAACATGTCATGACTGGATCGCCCTCTTCACAGGGAGGGATGTTGAGGACGATAAAATCGTCTCGCAGATTGGTCATGGCGACGGAACGAATGGTCACAAGGGGGATTTTGCGTTCCAGAGTGGTAGAGACTCGACCATCTTTGGCTATGTTGACGATGAGGTAAACTGCTTTGTCGGTCTGATATCAGTTGCAGGTCGAACATAGTGATGCACCCAAGTCAAACAGATGACAACAAGCACCTGAACACAGGATGATGTCGCGGAATATGAGCATGTCCATGATGAAAATGGGTCAAAAGACGAAAAAGGGTGGGAGGATGATCAGAGACACAGTAAGGGTCAATGCTGGTCGACTCACGATAACAAGGAATCTTGGTGAGAGCTTCGACGATCTTCCCAATTTTGAGACTAACAATTCTGCTCTCGAGCTAAAATACACCGTCTCGGCAGCTTTGTGTCAGCGGCCTCTCTTTTCCAGACGAGACCGAAACATTCGCGGATAGGGAAAGATGGAGTAATCGTCAAGGGCATGTACAACAGAAGAGTCACATCGGGCGAATGGGACCATCGAGAGGAGCAAGGCGTGGAGGCGAAGTAGAGGCACTGATATAACAGGAAGTAAATGAGATCAGGGAGAAGAAAGGATAAGTCCACTCACGAGACAACCCCGCTGCATTCCTCAACAACTCTCCCTGTGCACTTCTCCCCCCTACGTCTAGATAATCTCCCATAAATTTCCGCATCCCCAATAAAGAAAACCGTCTCCGTTCTTTTCTCCCTGCCAGAATTTCATGTCCGTAATCTCGTTTACGTGCATATACCAAGGATTCCTTTTGATTTCTCCAAAACCTTTGGATTTTTATGGCCGCTTCTTCTTTTCGACGTACGTAAGCGCGCCAAGCTCGTTGGATACGACGAGCCATGTTGTGCCAATATTTATCACGTTCTCCTTCGAGGAAGAATAGCTGGGTATCAGACCGACTCTCCTTTGAAACGATCGTACCATAAGGTGATTACGCGGTCGGGTAGCAGAGAATGATAAGTGTATTTAGGGACGCCAAAGTGTTCCTGGGGAGGGGAAAGAAGCAAGGGGAAATGACTGACAGTTTCAGGAGTTTTGATAAAAGCTTTCGTTACCCCCATCTGCCATTCATCTTTTGCTATACCCGCGTCTTTCAGGATTTGTTCGCAACCCGATCGATCATCTCCTTGCCAGATATAATCTCCAGCGTACGATGTGGCTGGTGATAAAAGATAAAACCTGCATGTCAGTCAATACTGATTCTTTGTTGATGACATTTTTCATTTTTGATGACCTTGTATGACGACCGGCATAAGGTCAACGAGGCGGAGAAATAACCGGTGGAGAGTAGAGGACTGAAGCAAGCAAACGTCGACGCACCTCTGAATCATCTTCCCAAACTCTGCACGATAAGCAAATCCCGCTCTTCGAACCCGAATATTCTCCTGCAATCCGAGATACTTGATCTGATGCAAAATCGCCTTGTCGTCATATTCCGACGGCGAACGATTTTGATTCGGTTTGATAGTTCTGATATAATGCGGTTGACACTTCATCAAATTCGTCACTAAATCATTGGCGCTTTGTCGAATCTTGTCTCCCGCCGTTGGCGGCCGTTTCTTGCTGTCATGATCCACCTTCTCGGGAAAGAGTGTATGGAGAAATCTATCTTTACTACCTTCAATCAAATCCAAAATATCTTTCACCAAAGTATCCTTATTTTTGTCCGTCATACCGGGTACATTGTACAATACATCTCCGGCATAATGCTTGATGAGGAATTTATTCCCTCTGGATTCAAAGTTGGGGTTGGCGGATAAGAGATTGGATCTTTGCATGAAAGAATTGTCTGCTGCACTGGGGTCCGCATGTGCTGTAGCTGTAGCGTCGTTTAAGGTTGCAAATATACCTGCAGGACGTCGACCTTCAATGAGGTCGCACACTACGGCGTTGTCAAAGAATTTTATAGGAGTCCATTTGATCTGTTCTCGGACATATTCTTCTTGTTCAGCTTTGAGTGTGAGCTCGATGAATATTTGTTGAAGCTTTTCGTTGACGTAATTGATACATAATTGTTCGAAAGAGTTATCTTGGAAGATCTCGAAGCCACTATTTTGTCAGCGTGATCTGTCCAAGTGTCATGGAAAACTTACTATATATCCAATACACCAATCACATAGTCGGTTGTGCCTTGCGGCTTCATCGACACGTTGACTCGGCTGACGATCCACTCGAAAAGATTATTGTACAATGCTTTTGCCAGAGCATCTCGACCAGAGGTAGCCTGGGCGATGTTTTGAGGAACTTCATAAACGGACCCTGATTTTCTTCAGCTCATATTCAGCTGCTGCTCAGCTGGGGCGTACCTCTTCGTCCACCTCTTTGAGTCTCCACAGTACGTTTCAGGAGGACTTTCTGCACTTGCGCAGCATCACATTCCATCAGATATGCGACAAAATCAGTGACCCCGGTATCCGAGATTGCGGCATTCCCATCCTTGTCCTCCACGAACTCGACATTTCCCAGCCACAAGATAGTCGCAAGAACTTTGAAAATCGAATTTTGTTCTTCCGAACTGAGACCAATCACCTGCATCGCACGCTATGCTGTGAGCTGCGTTGCCCTATTCGTAATTCGTCTCTCAGAACCTACCAATGTCTCTTGGAAGTCTGCCACATCATCTATGCTCCGCACATCTAGACATCCACTTCGGCTGATATACGCATAGGCTTCCGGGCCTTGTAGCCCGAATGCATCTGAATCTCGTCAATTTTGTTAACAGAGTAACATGTTGCTCTGAAACTTACCTCTTTGTTGTGGGGTAGCACCTTTGGTGAATTGGTAGAATATGTGAAAATCCCGCTCATCCCTGATTTGCCCTACTACACGACCCTTGATCGTCAGCTACACGCAACGACAAGGGGGTAGCTGACCTTTTCCAGCAGGTAATTTGTGATTTGAGCTCCAACAGGCATCCCAAGTCCGTTGAACATGATCTCCAAATATTTTCCCTATCACATCAGTTGGAGCTCACGATCACTGCATTACGAAGAAGACCCACGTGCCTACTAGAGTTATCATTTCTCAATGTTTTTGCACATCCAAAACTCTCCAGCAGTGGATTGGTGGCCAGCACCATCTCCTTGATTCCTTCTATCCCTCCTTGTCCACTGTCACCTCCACTGACGGCTGCGATGTATTGCATTATTCTTTTGGCGGCTTCCGTTTTGCCTGCTCCCGACTCGCCAGAGATGATCACACATTGATTCTCCTTTTCGGTGGTCATTCGATAGTAGGCGGATTCGGCGACTGCAAAGACGTGTGGCGGCACCTCGAGACGATTCTTATTTCTATATGATTGAAGAGTTTCATCGGTATATATACCGAGATCTGTTGTTAGCATCTCTTAACTTGGACCCTCGCCAGAGTGGTGACCTGATGGCCCACTGCCGGATCATCAGGGGGTGAGTGTAGTGTAGAAAGATGGTTTACAATCGTGGCTCACCTCTAAAGGGATTGACAGATATCAGCACATGGGCAATGTATGTCTACTGATTAGTCCAGATTCATTCAGCAAACATTTCACTCACGTAAATTTCTTGATTTTGAAACCGTTGCTTCAGGTTATCGTTAATGGCTTCATTAGTGATGGTGCTGAGGAGGGTCATATCAGGTACTCCTGCCTGTCTCTTCTTCTTGAAGCCTTCCGACCAGTCGGCCTATCACTTGAGCTTGGCCCAGAGGGTGAGAAGGAGGAGCTCACCTTTTGTACCTTTGCAGTTCTGGTGGAAGCAGTAGCATCTCCACCCCCATGACCCAAGAGCCCACCCAACTTTCTACCTGCCTTCTTTGAGGGAGCCTAAGGGAGTCAGCTTTGACGACGAGTTGTTAAAAGTGCGCTTCTGCGGAAGGAATCTGAGAAAATGATGACTCACCATGATTGATTCCTCCCCCTTTGTTACAGCGGACTATCAGAATGAGCTCTGAGCTAGACTATAGATGAGATGAGAAGAGGTAGATATAGGAGAGAGGGAGAGGGAGTGAGCATAGAGTGAGATGGTGATGACGCGAGGATGGATCGAGGCATACATACATAGCAAGGGGGTTTCCGACGGAAGCAAAAACGCCGCAAACGCCGACCCATGACCCACCTCAACCACCGTCGTCACCACGACTAGGCCTATGTACTTCTATCCTACTACTGCACATCACTTTCTTTATACTTGTGCTCACTCACCCTATCTGCACAATGGTAAACGCTACTACGACTTTCAACACTGCTGCAGCTCGTAGACAGGAATCAAAGGACTTTGGAATACACGACGTGAGTCCCCTTTCCCCCCTGGCGGTTAGGACCAGAGCTCACACCCCAGGTATGGGCAGACAACCTCGAAATGGAGTTTGCCGCTATGAGACATGCTATAGACCAGTATCCTTATGTGTCCATGGTGAGTTTCAAGGTACTTATATGGATATTATCATCCTCCCTCTCCGTTTAACCCGATCGTGCAAACCCGGGGCACCTCGCAAAGGCGGCTCATTGTTCATTTCACCCCAGGTTGCCCAGCGACAAAGGGGTCATCCTTGAGTGCTCCATCCTCTCATGAACTACGCCCGATACCATCTCTACTTCTGAAAGGGAAAATGTGCTACGGAACATCCAAAGCAGTCAGCCCTGTAGATCTACCCGCTGACCCCGCAGGACACCGAATTTCCAGGCATCGTAGTCCGACCAATAGGAAATTTCAAGACTGGGACAGACTATCACTTTCAGACGATGAGATGTAACGTGGATGTTCTCAAAGTCATACAGCTGGGTATAACGTTGAGTGACGAAAATGGGAATTCACCGGAGGTTCCAACGTGGCAGTTCAACTTTGCTTTCAACCTGGAGTGAGTCAGTCTCCTTTGCGGTTTCACCTCGTTGCATACGAGTCTCCTTAAGCTGGCCAGCCGATCGGTACTATGCTCGCTGACACACCAGAGAAGACATGTACGCCCCGGACTCTATCGAACTCTTGAAAAACTCGGGGATTGACTTCAAACGAAATGAAGAGGAGGGCATAGATGTGGAACATTTCAGCGAGTTGTTGGTCACTTCTGGACTCGTCTTGTTCGATAACGTCAAATGGGTATCTTTTCACTCGTAAGTCATTTTGGACTTGTGCCGCGTTCTCCTACTCTTTCCCCGGACGATTCCCTCGATACCAGGGTGAGCAACAAGCTGAACAGTCGAGAGGGACAGGGGGATCTCGACTGACCTTGCAGTGGGTACGACTTCGGCTATCTTCTCAAACTCCTCACCAACGAACCTTTACCATCCACCGAGACCGAATTCTTCCGCCTCCTGTTCATCTGGTTCCCCTGCATATACGACATCAAACATGTCGTTCGATCTGTCAAAACTCTCCGTGGAGGTTTACAAGAGATAGCGGAGAGTCTGGGTGTACAACGGATAGGACCTCAACATCAAGCAGGGAGTGATAGTCTTCTTACGGCGGCGGTATTTTTCAGAATACGAGCTACATACTTCAACAATGAATTGGACGATGAGTACTACAGGTGGGTATCTGCTTGTACACTGTTCATCGACGCTCTCTGTCCTATCAGATGTCTAATCATCTGCCGACCTGTTCTCTTCCCTTGTCATTGGTCCAGCCATCACCACCACTCCAATCCTGTTTCGTCTTCTGCGAAAATGTATTGACTGATCGCAGAAATTATCTATATGGCTTCTCCTCTGGCCGACATGGCCGGTCATCCCCCCCCTCCACCACAGCGGGGATAATACAAGAACGACCATACTAGTCACCCGACACATCCGTCCTCGGCATATACCTTCACGACATCTCGAGAGCCGCAACACCTACTCCCTTCTTCCCGATGAAACACCGCTCTACTCCCACGCATGTACACACACTCTGCATCTTGTCATATATACATGCACAGCATGACCTCAAATGTCACACATCTTAGAAACGTTCGAGCCTGGACGATTCCCTGCTCCATCGGCGATCCTTTCGTCAATGCCTAACGGCCCCAGGATATCAACTTGATCGAAACTGCTACATGAGGAAATTCGGGCGTGCGAAAACGACGAGCTTCCTCCACTTCACGACCATGCTGTGTATAAAATGAGAAGGCATCATGGGAAAAGCTTACATAAGATGCTGATTCTCACAAAGGATCTCGATCTATTGGAAGTCAAGTATGGACAGATTCTCACGCTTAGACTACAGTATCTGGGGATCAAATATGACCACCCACTCGCTACGATTTTTCCTCTTTTCAAACAAGACGTCCATAGTCTATCCTACGATGACTTCAACTGACAACTCTCCTACGACAGACCAGTATGTTTCCCCGTGGCATGCGTCTCTGACGGCGATCGAGGTGCTCTGTAGTGCGTGGCTCGACTATCGCGTCGAACAGCGTTCGAACGAATCGGGAGAAGTCCTGCGGTTTCCCACCCTCTTGATGTACACGACCAGAGCAGATGGGCTCATGTTTGCGCCCAAGAAACCTGAAGATTTTCCATCCAAACAAGGCCGCCTGCCTACTGACGCTGCGACATCGCTGGCGGGGGTGTGGGGCTACCTCCTTCCAAGCGAACAAGACACGCTCAAGGATGTGGTACTCCAGTTTTCAAGGGATATTTCACAACAGTATGCCTCCACAGAAGGGACAATTGATAAGAATTGGACTGTGAACCATCGTAAGCGTTTGAATGAGAAGATTACTCAGCTTTGGAAGAATGGACTCTCCGACTCCACGGCACCTGCATCTATACAAGCCGTGGAGGAAACCGTGCCGACCAGGGATGATACTGACACGGCCAATGGAGCTGGGTCTATCATCCTTTGGACTAGTAAATGACATGTATATCCTCTGTTGATGGTACATCATTGGCCTACCATCCTTATTGACAGAACCGATAAGAGAAGATGACTGACCAACTCACACGCCTTCTGATTTGTAGAAACCTCCAGCATACACCAGAAAACTCCTATCATGTATGCTCAGGATGTCCAGCTCTTCCATTTTTTGTTCCCTTTCCCATGCCCTAATCACACTCTCTCCACCAACTGCCTCATACCTAAACCCTTTATCCACACTTGGTTTTGGCATGGTTGAGCAGGAGGTAATGGTCATTCCCATGCAAGGGAAGGGGAAAGATTCCAACAAATTTTATTGACCACTCTTACCACCCATGATGGAGTCTATCTACGAGTGTGATCGAAGAGCGGACGACACGAAGCCATATTCATGCTGAGGGGAAACCTGTTGAACATGTATATCAAGAGATACAGGCACTCTTCGTCAGTTTTACATCGCCCAAATCCGATCGATGGCTTGACTCGGCCGGAAGGGGAATATTGGAGAGGTTGATAAACTATTTTGGAGGATATGGTAATCACAAGGGATCCGCGTGGGTTTCTCGTCTTCCCGTACCGCCTCAACGAAGGCGGATTCCGTCTTCGAAATGAACATTACACTATGACACTCCCTCCCCTTCCTCCTTCCCCTTATACCCAATCTATCCTGCATCATTTCAGAGTCATTGACACATTCGAGACGGAAACGTCAGGCATTAACACTCAAGATACAATCATCAGCTACCATCATGCCCTTGACCAAACACAACGCTTGTTGACCGCAATATCGGCGTTGAATTTTCGATCCCTACGAGGAATCTTTCTCCAATCTATCACTTTCCACGATCGGACAATCACACTTCCAACAGTTGTCTTACCGCATGACGATCTCTTATCTTACACCTCAGCGAAGATATCATTTGAGAGGGCATGTCAACGCCTACCTCAAGAACAACTGTATCAAATCAGTGAAAGGGTCAGAAGGTGGTATCAGGAGCTGAGTATGGTGCATGATTGTGATCTACGGAGGTTGCAGTCTGAGAAGATATATGATGGACATCAGTCTGATAAAGAACGGACTCAAATTGCCAGCTTCCTCGACGAACAGTATCGGACCAACGCGGATGAGGTATTACAGAGGATGGAAGACGATTTCTCTCGATTGAAGAAGCCCAAATTGAATGATCTGAGTACATCAGACTCACATAGAAATCAGGATTGGGGGTTAATCAGGATTATGTGATAGCTCGATACGCGCAAATGTGCGTCCCTTCCCTTTAACCTCCTATAACATATCGAACCAGCACGGACGTAAGCGCAGTCTATCTTATGGTCCTCGATACTCATTCTTGCCCAGAGTTGGAAAACCGGGTCAGGTTCACTCTGTCCGATGATCGCCTTGGGATCCTCCAACATGGCAGGGAAGGGAGCCCTGCAGTATCTATCGACCTTCGTAAGGTTCGACAGTCTTCAGAAATAGGAACTGATCTGAATATAGTGACCGATAAAGACAACATTCACCTCCCGAGAACGAATGTTCATGCCATTATGTAACGTACCTACTACTTTTACCAGGAGACTTCCGCGACTCACGCCGATCCCGTTAACTCCACCCATTGGGCTTTCGACCAATACGATCACAATTCACGGTCCCCCACTTTCTTCCTTCCTATCCAGGGACTGAAATCATCGACAAGACTCTGATACAAACCAGACCTACTTCCCTCCCCGTCTACATCCTCATCCTCCGATGACGGACGTATCTGTTTATGGCTTCTTCTTCCTCTCTTCCACCTTCCGTTGATGTTGTTACATCCCTCCTGCCTCCTTCAGATACGAAGAAGAGATATGCGCCGTCCATGTTTTCTAGAGCTCGCACATGCCGCGGAGCATGAATTTCACTCGACAGATACAAGCGGATATCAAACCCAGGTGAGAATGTGGGATCTACCTCCCAGGGCGTGAGGGAAATACGAGGCGGTGAAGGAAGGACAATGGTTTGTAAGGTCTCGGTCTGGTCTATCGATCGAACTTTTTAGTGTGTGGGAGAAGATTCCAAGCGGTGCAGAAAGAACAAGGGATTGGAGATAAGGTCTTGCCCGATCGTAAATGGAAGAGAGGAAGATACGTGAGTTTCGGACATTCTTTTCTTCCCAAGAAATATCTCCCATGGATATAAACCGATCAAGTCGCCCGCTGACACTAATCGTACAGTTGTTATCGGTGATGGAGCCCATACCAAGCTGCCATTCGGATCGGGGATATCGTGTTCTCGACCTGTATCCCACAACCGCTACAATGTCGATCGAGTTAGATCCACCGACACTGGCCCGAGATGCTATCAAGACCATTCTGATCGCGACTGCTTATGCTATGTACAACTCAATTCAGAACGAGACCAATACGACCAGTGAATTGTCCATCCACGATTCTGATGCGAGCAAGGTGTTGCAGGTCATACCAGGTCCACTGAGGGACAGTGTGGCTTTGATATGGAACAAAGCAATCGTATCGAATGCCAACGTGACTCTAGGGGAAGCAGTCCGCTCCCTCACCACTGACCAAGTGATGGAAATCAAGAGCTTCATGGCTGATAATTCAATCATCTTGATTCAGATGCAGGACCGATACAAGCAACACCTCGATGATGGAAAGTATCTTAATGAGATACAAATCTGGCAAGCGCAACTTCTTTTTCAAAGTAAACCTAAGACTACCTCAACATCAGCGGCCGAAGCGGCCGAAGAATATATTTTTGGGTCGTCAGATGAAGATCCGGAATCGTCCTCTCCAAAAGGATTAGGAGGAGGAGGGGGAACTTTCGGTTAGAAGGACAAGGAGGGCTTGGGCGGGGTGAATCATGTTGTCTTCTTCACCCGCATCCATAGCATGAAAAAGAATGGCATGGAAGATACATAGATCCCCCTCGTATCACCCGGCCGGAACTTCTTGTATAGATTGAGTGAGTGAGTACTACGGTGGGTGAGGAATGAATGCTGTTCAGATAGTGGATCCTTCATTTGTGTTCTGTTATGGAAAAGACAATTGGAGATGGTGAAGAGGATTCCCGTCAAAGCGAGCCGTCCTGTTCACGACTGACCGGACTGATGTCCGTGAGCAGTTCGCCCATAACGGGACAGTCTAAAGACTTAATGAGATAGAATCTGTGGTCATACAGTACATGGATAGGAGGGGAACAAGATACAATGAGGTGCTTGGTTGGATGAAATAAAGACATTTGAGACTCCTCATTGTTTTTGAAAAGTTTCATCTCTAACTACATATCACCCGTGCTCTTCACAAGGGTTGTTGTTGTCCAATTGATCGTTTCCGGGACGATACATCTGCCTCACTCTTGTTGAAACATGTAAATCTCGTCACGCCAATCACCTCAGTGAGAATCTCTCGCATTTCCGAAAGATGCCACTGATAAGCTTTATCATTTTTAGTGTTTGTATGATGCTGATGTTTTTGAATCAAAGTAGTTGAATAAGTATGTGTCAGTTTCTGAACGAGATCCTTCTGCTCTTGTGTAAGACAAGTAAACAAAATTGATAGTTCCTGTTGAGCATCCTGGAATGATTTCATCATGTCAAAAGTTGATATCAGTAAATAATCATAAGATATTGGACATTGTGATGAGTCACCTTTAGAATTATCAGCAGACCTTAGGACTACATGACCTTCAGAATTCAAGGAATAAGCCGGAGCATCTGTTCCGCGTCGAGTTTCGTAAGTCAACCGAGAGAGCTCAATGATGATAGACTGGATTGCACTTAAGGTTTGTTGCCAAGGATCATTCACATCAACATTGGACGTGTCAAATGTCTCTTTGGTCGTGGTGATCCTTCTTGAGGGCATGACCAGTGGTTTGGAGGTTCAGTATTTGAAGGACTATGAGTCTGTGGTTTGTCAATGAAAGTATTCAGTGACAGGAAGAATGTGGAGTAAGTGTCAGCGAGGTGAGAAATAGAGACGAAGGCCTCGTTTGAAGCTCCGAACCTTCCAAGGTCTTACGGGAATTGTCCCTGGTCACCCAACTTTTGCTTCTCCAACAGTTCCGGAATATCAGAAGTTTTGATAGTTTGTTTTGAGTGAGAGAAGGTAAGCAGAGAACAATGATACTATACCAGGATCAGATGCATGATAAACCTCACATGCATGATACAAATCGTATAACTCATCTTCCTTCATTTCCGACCGTATAAATAGCAGAAGGTCCACGAGCATTATAATCCACCTTTGTTATTGCATGTTTCCCAGCTACATCACCAAAAGCTAATCTTGATACCATACATCCTCCCAAGAAAGGCGCTACGTCAAGGGTAGAGCCTTTATAGTTCGAGAAGTAATCCCTGCTCGTTAGTCATACTTAGTGACCAAATCCATCTGGGGGGAGATGGTTCTAAGAAGTGATGAGAGGACGGAGAAGGAGAACATCTCAAAAAGGACGAATGGGAATCGGAGATCGGGAAAATTGATAGACTTACGGGATATGGAGCAATCGGACATGTCCTGGTTGAATATCAGAAGGTAGTTCGGCGCTACTTAGGAGAAAAGGGGCGAGATAAGTGACGAGAGCGGGTGGGAAAGCTATCTGTTAGCGAGTGATCTAAACTCGCGCAGTAGGTCCATGTTTCTTCCCGGTTTCAATAGAGTCAGAAGGGAGCGTTGAAATTATGACAGTTCCCACGCTCCACTTCAAGAGCAGTGAAGGAGCACATTTGATAAGTCAATCAAGACTCGGAAGGAAATGCAAGTCCCACCGGAAAGAAAAGGCAGCACAGATATGACAGGCAGTGAGCAGACTTGAATGTAAGAGGACGAATGGGGTGTCAGAAGGGCGATGGGTAAAAGTATTGGCCACAAACAGAGGGAATATCTACCCTCACTCACATTTGATTCGTGCCATATCACCAACAACCCCAACAGCTTCCCAAACATCTACCCTCTCCTTCATCGACAATCCAGGACTATTAACAGCCCTTCCCATTCCCTCCCATATGGTCTCGCTTCCCATGTCCACGGAATGTAACAGTGGTTCGCAGATTTTATGTCGAACAGAACCTAAAGAGATCTCTTTATCCGGTATTGACGGTATGGTGAGTGAGATGAAATCTAACGCAGCTGCTTGTTCGGCCGCTAATTGTGCTTCGGCGGCTGCTTTGGTAGCTGCAGCTTGGGCCGCTTGAGCGATGGCGGCTTGTTGTTTCTTCGATTTGTGTGAGTGGGAAGGACCGGATGTATCACCCACGAGTCTGATGATCAGTCATTGTGGTTGACATTTTGGAGCAAAATACGCAGAAAAATATACAGGGCAGTATAAAGGTGATGTGAATGTACAGGGACAAGAAACTCACTTTCTAGCCACATCAAATTGTTCTTCTTCCTCTTCCTCCGTAGGTCCAACCACGAACCCTTTCCCTCCCCCTGCGACAGGTATCTCAATATCATCTGTCAGACATTCTTTCCATACCACCTGACATACTTCCTTGACATATTTCTCTTTCCCTTCCGTATTGAATCTTTCCTCCCCTATAACGCTTCGCAGTTCCTGCTCAAGCTTTTCATCCGACATTAACAACCTCAAAAAGGCTATCTCGCAATCTTCCTGACCCACAGGTATCGACGCACAAGCGTCCCACCTGACCACGGAGTCCACGACCACCCATGCGCTCGAGGATTTTCGACCCACGTGGAGGACGAGACCTGTCGTAGCTCCCAATGCGAATAATGTGGCCAGAGGGGAGGGGAGGAGAGAGAATCCTGGAACGTTGAGACGTTCGAATGCCAGTTGGGTGTAGAGTGCCTGGACAGGGAGTGGAAGAACGGGTGGAGAGGCGGGTGGGATTAGAAGTAGTGGGGAAGTGTTTTGTGAGATTTTTATGCCGAGGAGGGAGTAGAGATGTAGTCTGGGATCAGCCACGGAAATATTATCGAGCATCTTAGGCTGGCCAGGTTCAGGGACTGACGAGTGGGGGTTAGGAGGAATACTGAGCACGGCCCAATGATAGATCGAAGGATGCGGCGTGATCCATATCTGAGCCTACGAGAACATTCAAACGCATTGAGACTTGACAACTTGTCAGAAAAACATGAGGAATACATATATTGTCATGCCACACGATGACGATAAGAATGTCAAGAGAAGTCAGATGCGGTGTGTAATCTGAGGGTGTCATGTACCGCATTGATGGTCAGGGAACAGAGGATTAAGGAATGTGTGATACTCACAATAAAACTTCCCGACCCTCCCAATCATCCTTCTTGCCTTGTTCCGAGACGAAGGGCCATCTCAACTCTACCTTCTCTTCCCAACCTGTTACGCTGGTCACGTTTTCCAGCGTGTTGCCTACCAACCAGTTCTGTTTGCCTTCTTCCGTAGTGGATCCAGCAGATTCGATAGCGCTAGGATTATATGGGAACACCATAGCATGCTCTCAGGGTCTTGAATCAGCTGAAGTTCGACCTTGTAGCTGCGGGAATCCCACATGGAGAAAGAGTGACGTGTATACCACGAGTCAATCTCAGAGGTGGAATTAGATCGCAGCCTACTCAAGAGACCGACTTGTTGATGAGAGGAAGTAAAGCAGGAGATTATAGGGTGAACAACGGTTGAGACGAGAATGAATCAAAAAGGGGGATAAAGAGGAGAGACGACGGGAAGGAGCGAGCAACAAAGAAGATTGACTCACCACAGTTGGAGGACTGAACAACTCGCCCACTCCGACAGAGGCTCGTATCACTTCATCATCTATATGTACTATCGTCGCTGTTGAATCTCTTAGGAGGTATGACATTGTTGAGTTGAGTCATGACATGGACGTGTTGAGGTTCGCTGTTGAAAGACAAAGAATAGGCGTGCGTGGCGACCCAACATGAAGCGCGCGCCTATCAATTTTCTCATCTCTTCGTCGAAGTTTCATGGCAAAGTCATGGCTGTACGCGGGCCGTTGGCCGTTGGTAGACACGAGAACGGCTCATTAGCTGCACCAATGGTATGCAGGACATACAGAACGTGGTTTGTTTGATATAATAGTCAAAAGGAAACATGCAAATGTTTAATGATGCCATGGAGCTATCTCTCCCCTGCACAATCTCAGTCCATTCACTCCCCATTTGCCTCCTCGTTAATGACACCCAAACTCATCTGAATCTGATACACTTGATTCTTTGTCAACTGTCATACTTGACTGATGTTGATGAAGGGATACCAGATGGGATGACTGACTGTTCGTCAGGTTCCCACTTTTCGACCACCGACGTCACTATGGTCAGAGACTTTTACTCACCTAATCACTTCCCGGTCTTCTCCAGCCATAATCCCAACTTTTACCTCTACTCTCTACTGGAACTCCCATTTCCCTAGGGAACAACCCCTCTAATCTCGCTGCGGCCCATTTGACCTCCGGATTACCCCTCTTAATTTCCCCCTCAACCTTTTCACTCTGTCCACTTTTCGTCATAGCTCTATCATAAACGTTCTTCTCCACCTCACCCTCTTCGGACATCCTCAAAAGCTCTTCACAAGCTTCGACCATAGCTCGATATTTCAGTTGCAACGATCGGGTCTGAGTTTCACGTTGTAGTCGTTGATGAAGTTTGTACGCCCGTTCGATAGTTTCGTGTACTTCTGGATCACCTATGACATGTTTGAGACGAGGGAGTAGAGAAGGATGGTATGAACCTACGGGAGAAGAAGAGGATGAGGCTTCGGGTGGATAGAGGAGGGAACGGAGAGCATCTTGTTTGGCATCTAATGGTGTGAGATGGGGATTGGGACCGGAGGCATAACGTTGGGTTGTTGAGATTACTTTTGAGGTTTTCTTGGAAGGGATTGATTTGATATATAGGAATGTTTGGCGGGAAGGTCCTGCAAGAGTAAGCGACATCGTTGTCGTTGTTCCAGATGGCAGGGAGATTTGGATTTACAGATGTAGAACGGCCATGGTTCAGGTGAACGGCGTTAGGGAAATGTGGAAGAATGATCAGATGTGGCGGTTACAAGCTGTGCGGAGACCCCATGGGCCGTACGACGTCAGGTTGTGCTTTTCAATTGCCCATCACTTTGTGTCTTTAGTCATCCCATCTTCTATTTTATACTTGTCTACTTTCTTCCAATTTTGTGTTTAGTGTTTAAATCATGTCGTTTTTAGGCCTCAGCACTACCAACAATCTTTCTTTCTATGCGATCCCCGCCGCTTGGGTCCTAGCGTGAGTTCTGTCAACACGATCCTACATTCCGACCCCTCTTGATTGCTCAGCATTTGTTGTCACCACCTCCCTTTTTACTTACATTGTTCTGATGCCCACCCCCGTAGTCTGAGGAGTAGCGGGAATTTAGTGCTAGAAGAAATAGGCTATCACTGAACAAATAGGATCGCACCCCACTTCTACGCCATGGCGCTGTACAACAAAGAACGTGCCCCTGGTACTCCCGCTTGGAGCTTTGCCGTATGTCTCTTCTCTTCTTTCAATCTATCATTAACTTCCTCTGTCCTCCTTCAGTCCCGATGTTATCCTCTTCTTCGCCCATCTCTATTCTCCGACACTTATCTCCCAGTGAACGTAACCTCCCCTTATGATCTGACCTTTCCAAGCAACAGCACTCTCTCTCTCGTCGTCACAGTCACTTCCCCACATTTGAGTCTAGTACGTACTGATTCTAGTCCCCAAAAAGTAACATTGTCAATATCAAATCCGCCAAATTATCTCCTTCTGTCGAAGACGCTTTCCTGAGGGCCGAGTCCGCCAACGATAACAGTTTCGTAGGATTACCTCTATTCGCAGCTGCCATCGTGAGTTCAGTCAAAGATCTTGATGGGGGTCTGATGACTGACACTCAGGTCGCTGGGAATGTCGCTCGTCTACCCGTCGATACTTTGAACGCTGCGGCGGCACTTTACTTGGTTTCGAGGATCGCTTATAGCGTCTTGTATGTCAAAGGGACGAATTGTGAGTATTCGTAGCTGTCGCAGCCCTCCATCCCCGCTCTCAGATCACCTGTGACATATTCTGTGCACATGGTAGACACTGCCGATCTTGATATGTAAGATTATCACACATGCTTTCCCAAGCTCATGAAAGAAGCTGCGAGCAACTGACTCGCTCTGACTCATCGCTGACAAATCAGTGCTGGGCGGATTATCACGTACCACCGCTTGGCTTACAGCTTCGTTTACCTGTCTCACTTTGTTCGTCAAAGCAGGGAACAAGTTGTACGGCTTTTAAGCTTGTCTAATTTTTCACTTTGGATACATAGTGATAGCCATGGCAGTCGGAAAAAGTGTTTAGTGACTGAGTGAAGACCAATGGAAATGATGAAGATCAATTGTGATGATTCATCTTGTCATCTCTATCTTCGTCAGTGACATGAATGCATTGGGTATTCCAACATCACTTCCAATCTGGTTTCTCCTTTCTTGGTACATGATGCATGATACACTGCATTCCGGTGCATAGCTTGCATAGTTTACTCGTACAAGTCGTTACTCCGTCGCCTTCCAAACTCGGTTCGGTGGGAATTCCCGGCTCTCGGCTCCCGGATCCGTGTACATATCCGAATTTCGATCGTCTCGGTCAGTGACCAGGCTCGGTAGTATTTTCTCATTCCCCGGCGATTTACTTTTGGCCATTTAACGCTAGAACAATGTGCCGTGGCGTCGGTGCACTAAATCAAAGTCTTTCTCAAAGGCAGGGGGAGCATGATCCGCAGGAAAGGTCTTAATTACGCCTTTTCAAACGTTTTTGGACTTAATTACACCCATCTCAAAAAAAAGGACTTAATTACACCACCCTCCCTGGACCCCCAATGCATGCTTTGCATGCATTAAAAACACTCTCCTCCACCCCTAACCACCTTACCCCCTAACCCCCTAACGTCGTTATGCATGGTCAATACCCCCCCTAACTTGGTGCCCATAGTCCACCCTAACTGGGGGGCAGTAAAAAGGACCTTTCCTCCAGCCAAAGACGTAGTTAAGACCCAGATCTCGGAAAAGGCGTATTTAAGTCCAAAAACGTTCCGAAAAGCGTAATTAAGACCTTTCCTCGCATGATCCGTCCATGTCCATACCCCTCATCCGGTGGTGACGGATCCCACGCCAGAGCAAGATGAAAGATACATGAGAAGTATGTAAAGCAGCTCCTACTACCGATTTTACTTCTACGATAGTATGAAGACCATATCAGATGAAAATCAATGAATAATCAAATTGTTGAAAAAAGATGATTTGTCACGGACGGATTCCAAACAAGCGATCGAATTTTTTGATTCCGAAAAGTATGCACGTGGTGAACTTTCCTCAAATCCGCACCATCAGTCCATCACGATCATCAATCCCTTTTTTTTCTTTCTCTCCTCTTTTCTTCCTTCTTCCGTTTACGCGTACCCGCGTCTTTACGCCCGTACCTCTGAAGGCTGAAGCACAAATAGATCCCGAAAGTCGTCGTCCACATGACACATGTACTAAAGATACCAGAACGGATCCAGACTTTGGTCACCATGGTCACTTATGGACTTCCGACTTGGTGGAGGTTTCGGATCTTGGAAAAACACGAGAAACCAAAAAGAAAAATCATACTTACCGTTTCTTGGATCCTGGATTTTTTTCTCACAATCTCCGAGATGATTCTCAATCAATAGCTCGGTTCTTCCCGTCCACCTCCGTTTCGCCGTCTCGGACTCGGCGTCAATTGAAGATCGATCATTATCAATTATCATTGGCTTATTCACTTGACGATAACAAGATTATATTCTTATTCTTTCATTGATACTTACTACTACTTTCATTCCCACACTCACTGCATCTTTTTGAAGATTCATAGAGAAAACATATCCAATAATCCTCAAGTCTTCTAGTGTTGCTGTGTACGGCCGCGGATAGCGGATTACGGAAATCCGTATTTTCGGAAATCCGAAGACTACTTCAAAACGTCACCCTTTTACTTCCTTTGATCCTTTGGTAGACAGTGACGCCGTCTCTCAAAAATCTCATTGATTCAGTAAGCAAAGAATTTCCAAAAAGAGTCGTAAGTCTTCTGGTTTTACCCCGCATTCCGCCAATCCTTCAAATCCAACATTCCGATGACATAGGCCTGTCTTCCTACACTATCATCCTTTTCTTTTGCTTACCACTTTTTAACAAAATCATTCAATTTTGAACGAAACTCGTGCTCTTCTTTGATCCTTGATCCTTGATCGTCGAACATTTGAACCCCCTTTTGCTAATCATTCGATCACTAGATCACTAGCTGACTAGATCACTAGGTCAATCATCAACCGACATCTTTACTGTACAGCCCGCAAACCGAGAATCTCCACGGATCCACGAGGGGGCATATTCCACAAATCGCTACGGATCTCTCGTTTATCCTTTTTCTCTTTTCTTTTCTTCATACCAAAGATTCCCGATTTCTGTCTACGCGTACCGACCTTTGAATCACAGCAAATCGCCAGTCGCTAAGGGATAAAGATCGACGATTTGACGAATCCCTTTTCACAGCTTCATTGCTTTCCTTTTCCCTTTCCTTCATTGTCAATCCTATCGCCTTACACCATATTCTCCTCGATCCTCGGTCTCCTTACTTTACCACCCTCCCCTCCTCCCCTTTACAGTATCCTTTGACATTCCCCGCATAACACCCATACGATCCCACTAGTGTGATCCCGCTCGGACCGCGCACGATCGTCAAGTAAAACTACCCAATATCGACCATTCGGTTCCTCGGTTCTCGGTTCTCGGTTGAAAAGCTGAAACGTCGGTTTCAAATATTCTCAATCGACCCTTTCACCCTCGCGTATTCTAAAAAAGATCATTATTACCCATCTGAATCATACAAATCTGATCTCGCTTCTAGTTTACTTTTCTCTTCACTTCAGTACATACAATTCGGCATTTGGACAATCACCCTCGGTGGTCTGATCTGGTTACCTCGTGATCCTCACAAGCTCACATTCCTTCCTCCCTTCGCTACGCGCTACGCGTCACAAGATAGAACGACAATCGCTTAGACTAGAATTTCCCAAATAAAAAACCACACGTCGTTAGCCTTCTTACTTTACCGGTGCTTTCGTCTTTCGGCCGCACATCGGAAAGCGCGGAAGGAAGGACGGACGGACTCTAAAACGGCCTCGGACACCGACCCACGGTTGGGTAGCTTAGCTCCACGGCCTACGGCTTCTGGATTATCAAAGGCATTAGTGAGCATCACAAGGTACACTTAGACTCATCGCCGAGTTCATTCCTCTCACTACTCTCTTTCGAAACTTGACATCTCTCATACGCTTCACTTCCTCCCCCATTCTATAAGTATCCTTGTTCGTTTTACAACATGGGTGAGCTCCTTCTTCTTCTCTTACTTACTTACTCGTACTCTACTCTCTCACACCCTTCAATCTTTCCTTTCACTCTCCTCAGTGGGTCATAGACTCAAGCGTCAAAAGCTTACACATCTTTATAACCCCGCCATTGTCCGAGTTTACACGAAAACGCCCTTGGGACAACTCGCACAGCTTGACACCATCGCCCTTTCTCTTTTACCAATCGCACAGCTTAAAATAACAAAGTGAAATCCATCGCTGACTCTTTCCTCTTTCCCCCTTCCCCACCTATCGCGCACTCAAATCTCTCTCACTATATATATTCTTTCCCACTCCAATTCGAACCCTTCTCACTCCACGTAATCTCATGAACATTGATCGAACAATGCATCCACCTCCACATCCTTATCATCAATATCATCCTCCTCCTCATTCAGCCAACGCGAGGAAGAGATTTCCCTTGGAATCCGCCACGGACGGTCTAAAGGTCCACCGGCGTCACCCCATTCAACCTTACGCCACGTCCCCCGACAGACCGGATTCCATGTCTCCCGATAAGAAAGGCAAAGGTCGACGTGAGTTTGTTATGCACTGTCTACACCCATCTGGGTTGAACTCGTCTGCTCTCCTTTTTCACTCCCCTCTTGCTGTTCTTACTCGCCGTCTCTTAACATTCCACACAGTCGAATCCTTGACGAACCTCGAGATCTCCGCTCACTGAGCAGCTCCTGGACAACCTTTGAGACGTGGCGATGCTTGTTTGATGTGTCGGGCTAAGAAACTGGTGAGTTGTCCCTCGTAGTTCGTCATTTTGTCCCATCTCTCTGCACACGCTCGTTCATGAAAGCGCATACAGAACTGTAGGAAATGGACACTGATACCTCAGAAATGCTCGGCGAACAAACCGGAATGTGATCAATGTGCAAAGCGCAAAGATCGTTGTGTGTACGATGCAGTCCGACCTGCATCGCGAGTGGAAAAACTCGAACGTAAGCTAGGTGCGTTTACCCCATCCCTTCCCCTTCCTGTTTCAAAACATTTCTGAGCGTGCGCTGACTGTCAGCTGAAATTGAAGAAGCCGAATTACGAGCTGTTCTAGCCGCCAGACGACATAGCTCCGAACTTGGGCTTGCTCATCCCAACATACCCCATGACATGAACCTCCCTCCACCTATGCCTATCGATTTCGGTTTATATCAATTCCAACCTGTCCCTGTTCATATCAGTCACGAATCATTTATTCCCCAATCTCATGAAACTTCCAACGAGTCATCTCCACATCAAAATACATTAGCGGATCCTAACAGCTGGAATTGGTCGTCTTCAAACCCATTCGATCCCCTTTCCCAAGATCCCTCTGGTGTTCAACTGGATCAACTACCATGGCCTCTGTTAGGAGCTTCCAACGAAGTTTCTACTTTGTGGACGGGTAACAATCCTGATCTACCGCCTGGCGGTACACCGTCATCCGACACAACAGGAATGGGAATGGACTCTCTTCATTCATTAGGTCTTGACCACAACCTCGAATCCATCAACATGAATCCCGTTCAGGCGGTCCTTCATACCCCCGTTAATCACTCCAGCTACATCCAAAATCAATTTCATCCTCTTTCTGCTCAATCATTTTCCTCTTCAGTACCTCCTGAGGCCGCCAAAGCCATCGATGGAGTTCTTTCCCACGCATCCGCATACTCCGAGTTTATTCTCACCGAACGTGACATCTCTCAGTCAGCCCAAGACTATCTTCTGGACCTCTTCTTCTGTCCTCCGAGACACTTATTCGGTTCTGAAGTATTCACCGAAGCTCAATTCCGAGCGAAATGTCAGTTATCTCCTCCCGAAAGACCACATCCTTGTCTTCTCTTTGCTATGTACACCGTAGCGGCCAGTGGGTCTTACATCCCAGGAGTGAGAGCATTGGCAGACTCATTATACGCCATTGCTACGACAAAATTGGACGAGTCTATCGCTCAGGAAGATAGAGTGTTGGATGCTATCAGAGCCTCGAAACTGTTAGGCAAATGGTTGTTCAACAGAGCAAGAGCGTTGGAAGCACATACAATGACTTGGAAGAGTGTGAGCTTGGTGACTGCTTGTCAACTGGATAAGATTCCGAGTAGTACTTGGACACCGGAGATGTTAGACAAGAGGAACGCGATCGAGTGTCCTTGGCCGATTTTGGGTCCACCGAAGAATCAGTACGAGTTGATGGAGAGAATACATGCTTTGTGAGTGAATCCGCTACGTCCTCTGTTGTGTCAATTACACTTTGTCTTAATCCTTGTATGCTCCTCTCGCCAGCTTCTGCAATGTCATCACGATGACTTTCTGCGTCCGTGTGATCAACTCTACGTCACTTGTTGTTGAGGTCGAACTTGAGCCTCACATGACACATAGATTTTCAGGCCATGCTTACATCCAGTTGGGGAACATGGGGAAACGCCACTGGAGCATCTCTCATGTTACCCTGGGAAACGTTCATCCGTGATGATCTCATTCGCACTCCTCTTCCTCGCGAGCCCAGTGCCTATTCGGATGGAAGTCTAGTGAGGGAACCGGATATCTATCTCAGGGATATATACGAGATGCCTCATGGGTGTAATAAGCGGAGTAATTACATCTGGTAAGTGTTTGAGATCTTCCGGAGACCCACAGCTGACTGGCAGCTTTTACATCCTCACTGCAGCCCACCTCATTCACCGCGCTAAGACCCTTCGCTCTGAGATGCCAGAACACCGACCGACATTCCGCGAACTTAATCTGCGGTCATCTGCCCATCCCCAACCTGTCAGATCATTCTGTGCAAGGAGAGATCACCCGGCGGCATATCAGGAATTGATAGATGCCACGCAACACATGCTCAAGAACATACCTCGGGAGCATCAAATGAGATTGTCACAGACTCCGCCTTGGAGCTCGCCGGATGTACCTCTTGTGGTGAGTACTTTCATCTACAGTTCGATTTTTCTTCATACACCACGTCTGTCTCATCGTTTCATTACCTCTTTTCCTCTATCGTCGATCATGTGATCAGTTCAGCTGTGAATGTGGTAAATAGCATGAGCATGGGCTAACGACAAGCATTCCTTGCTCGTTTCCGTCCGTCTATTTCTTCACGATCCCGAAGGTGACGACTATGACCGTGACGCATGTCTCGATGCGGCGCGCGAACTCGTCACGATGATCAAACATTGGATTCAACAACTGATGAAAGCGGATCAAGCGGTGAACCCCTCTTGCACTCCCGGGAGCATGCCTGAAACGGTCGATGGGTGCGGAGCGACGGATAAATTGAGTTCGAGGAATAAGAATGGTGTTGGGGGTCCATACGTTCTTACACCTTGGTTCTGGACGGCGGAGAGATTAGTGAGGGGCGCGAAAGTTTTGAGAGGGTTGGGGAGATTGGAAGAGGCTCAAACATGTACAGATGACGCGGCCAGTGTGATCAGTGGGTTGAGAAGTTTGGGCGTTTTGTATCCGATGGCGTGAGTTGAGAGTTTGTTTCCTCCACCGTTGTCTCCACCTAGTCCCCGTCAAAAGTCTTGTCCTTTACGCCCGACTCTTTACACATTCTTCTCTTTTCCTCATTTCTGTCTTACTCCTTACTCCTCCGTTCCATTCTTCTGTGAATACATACTTCGTACGAACGAAGCTGACGATCAGGCAAGAGTCGGCCGAATGGATGGACAAAATGTCTTTTGATTGAGTCTTCATGCCATTACCTTCCATCTGTCTGGTCAACATGAGGCATCTCTGCTTATGGCCAAAGTCAAAAGGGGTGTCTACAGCCGTGTCGTCGACCTAAGTTGTCAATTGCCTATAGTTGAAGTGTCGTAGAGGTATTCAGTCTTTCCCGCCTGTTCAGAAGTGTCGGACATGATGTGTAGTGTATAATCACATTTGTAGCTCGGAAAGGTTAAAGTGTCGAAAGGGAAATTGAAGTAAGAAGTAGTCAGTCAGATATTGTTAGATGAGTGTGAAGAGAAATGCAAATGAATCGAATGACATGATGCTGTCTGTCAGGGTGACAAGTCATTATCAAGTATCAAGTGAAAGACATCTAATGTGGTAAAGTAAGTTCAAGTTTATGCACCATGCACCATGCACCACGCACCATGCAGTGACTTGGTACTTTCACGGAAGCAAAAATTCCACTGAAACTTGTCCTTGTCCTTTTCCAATCGCCATTTCCTCTCTCCCACTTTTATCTACCTCGTACTCTCTCCTCTAGATATCTGACGTCGTTTCCTTCTGATCTTTGACAAGTGTATCAGGGTTATTACCAGTACGCAACTATACAGTACAAATAACAACTTTATCATTTCAGTCTCTCGAAATCCCTTCTCTCCCTTCCTTCCTTCACACAATGTCAATCTTATCACGTTCACTCAATTTCCCAATATCTCATCTGTCCATCATTCGACAATCCCGATCTCAATTCCATAGTACTTCTTTTATCCAATCATCAACACCAACACCAACACCAACACCAACTATACCTTTAAACGCTAGAGATGTGATATACGATACTCTTTCTTTTCTTAAATCTCAAGAAGAGATATCACAGAAAGATGGAAGTTCGATAAATTCTCATCATGATTTTTCAAATCAAAGTCGGGTCGGTTCGGAAGATAGAGCTAGAAAGATGTTGAGTGGTTTATCAGGTTCGGTTGGGAATAAAAAGAATGAAAGGAAAAGAGAGTTTGATGATTATCAAGTGAGTTGATTAAACACTTTTTTTTCCTCAAGAATATATCATAATCATAAAACTTCATCAATGTTGTTATATTCATTACACTCTGTGGAACTTTTATGAAGATCGAGTGTTTTTGTTGTTATTTTTATTTCTTGTCCTTCGCTCCTTTCTATCTTGACTACCACCAACTAGTCGCATTACATCAAACAACCACCAAATAGTCATATGACATTACACAGAACAAATCCAGATATCCAAAAGAATTCATCGAGTCAATTATGATCACACATCTAGCTACCACCACCCTAACCATCTCCCCAATTCACATTGTTAATGAAATCATATACTTTAACACATTTGAAAACAATCACCACCAATCATCCCTCTATCAAAATCTTGTCCATCATTTACTATCTGTCTATCTGAAATAAGTCCATCTACCATTGAGATAAATATCAATTGAAATTGTCATAAATAAATATAAAAGAAACGAGATGTTAACGTTTACAGTCACTACCACCTCATCTTTTAACCAAACCACATATTTATCCATCTTATCCAAACCCAACCAAACCTCCTTTGGTCGGTCCACCAAAATCATTAGCTAAATCTCTCGATCCATTCTTTTTATCACATTCCGATCCTTTAGATCATACTTTAAACCCTCATTTCTCTTTATCTTTCATCGATCGATTAGGTAGGATCTTACCTCGTTCCAGGACCGGTTTGACTAGACGTAGTCAGAGAAGAATTGGGAAGATGGTTAGAAGAGCTAGAAGTATGGGATTGGTTTCCAAGTTTGTCAATTTACCTTCTGTCGGTGGGTATGGATATGAAGGTGGGTATATGAGATGATAGTATAGTCGGATTTTTCAAGATGTCATTTCATTATGTTTGAATTTGATTGGGTCGTTGAGGTGGTTCTTGAGAAGACTAGTGGTTCACGAGGAATATTAGTGGTCCATGAAAAATACTAGTGGCTCACGAAGAATAGTGGTGGTCCGTGAAGAATACTAGAGGTCTAGGAAAAACAGTCGTGGTTCACGAAGAATAGTAGTGGTACTGTACATGAAGAATACTGGAAGTGAGGAGCAACAAAGATTCGTAGAAGAAATTGAGATGCATCACACCAACACACTATCATTAGAATATCCCCTTCCTCTTTACTGACGATACTTTCCATTTTGATGTTGACCAGCAAAGTCTTATCATCCCTGCGAAACCTGCATCTCTTCATCCCCTTTATCATCCTCACCCAACACTTTAGTCTCTCCCCAACTCACAGACCTCTTTTTCTTTCCATCCCCCACATCATTATCTTTTCCACTTCCACTTCCCCCACCCAATCCCATACTCCCACTTCCCACACCATCTTCACCATCTTCACCAGGAGTAGTAACAGTGACTACCGGTACTTTTCCCAACCCATTCCCATCAACCTGATTAACATTCCCATCCTCCTCCCCCTCCCCCTCACCTTCTCCTTCTTCCAACTTCCTAATTTCTTCATCTAAATCCATATCCACATGTCCATTACTCATCTCATAACCACCTTCTTCCCTCGTCCATATTATCTGATCAACATCTTTGAATTCACTAGGCATGAACAAGTAAAATACCAATACGCTCAAACATGCTCCACCTGTAAGATCGATCAAATAATGATGTGATAAATACATTGTTGCCCACCATAATATTCCAACATAACCCCAATATATTGCTCGAGGTGTAGGAAAGAAATGAGATAGGAACAAAGCTTCCATAACTGCACAACCGGAATGAAGAGATGGGAAAGCTCCAAATACTAGTGGAGCTGAACCGAAAGCGTTTGTATAACCTGATGAATGGAATACTCGATCGATTCGCATTAAACCACCTGGGGAACCGGGCATGGAATATGAAGCGGGGGTTAAACCGTGAATAATTTCGTACCCTATTTTATCAGCATATCAACTCACAATTTTACCACCTTTACTTCGTAAGAAATCATTCACACTGTAGACCAAGTGAAAATTGTCAACTCAAAACAACATACAGGGGTAGATAACGGAACTCTCTCTCTCTCTCTCTCTCTCTCTCACACACACACACACACACACACACACACAGAGAGAGAGAGAGAGAAGCAAATGACGAGGGATGGAAGAAAGATAGTTGGCAACAGAGAAAGAAAAAAAAACTCACAAGGTGCGGCACAAGGAAAAACCAATTGAGTTAAAACACCTAAAAGATTCATGAAACCAAAAGCTTTTCCCCAAAATTGAATCGAACCTTTAGGTCCCCAAACCCATAAAACAAATCCAACGACAAAAGGTAAAGCGAAATGCATTACACCATAAGGTACCCAAGCCACCACATCTAAAATCGAATTTGTATATCTCGTTTGTAAATCTGATATGTTCGCACCGTAAAAAACACTTTCCAAAGCAGGTAACAATGCAACGTGAATCTTAGGTCGATGACTTGATGGTATGAACCTAGCAGAGAAAAAAGTTAATAACCAACAGAAAATAGGTGTGGCGGGTAATACGAATTGACTCGTTATCGGTATCAAAATTGAAATCGTATAGATTGTTGGTAAGAAAAGTTTGAATAAGATAGGGACGGACATTATCCATAATGAATAACATGATGGTAAAAACATGAATATATATGGTAGAGAATTTGATAAAGTGAATTTATGTGAGCGGAGTTTTCTTAGTGTTTTTCTTGGATCACGCGAAAGGTCAAGTCTTTGGATCGAACTGGTTATTGCTAAGAGGAGGGAAGGTAGAGAGGGGAGAGAAAGAGGTGGGAGGATACGACGGAGTAGAAGAATGATGGGGGATAGGAGGATACGGGGGAGAGAGGTGGTGGAAGGTCTAGAAGTGGTTGATCGGGTCGACATTGTGAGTATGGTAAGGAAGAGAAAGTATGAAGAGTAATAAGGTCAAGTATAGAGGTATATCTTAGGGAGAGAGATGTTGGAGACAGGGAGGGGAGGGGAGATGGAAGGGAGACGAGTGTGGCACTTTTTCACCACGTGGCGGGTGGACTCCATGGCTTTCAATGGAGTACATACGAGCAAAAGTACAACACAAGTACTTTAGTAGAGTACGAGTAAGGTATGACTGACTGGAGTAGATGACGGATACAAGTACTACTTGGGAGAGGACAACACTGGCGACAGACAAATGGTGCATGACACTACTTTATACACATCCTCAATCGAGATCACTTTTGTGACCAAATTGACAACATACTTTTCCACATCATCCACCCAACGCCCTGTCAAGGTTAAAAGCAGCCGAAATCAAAGTGACGTGAGAAAAAGCTTGAGGGGTATTACCTAACCCTTCACCTCCTCTTGATATTTCTTCCGAATATAATTCTGCGTGATTCCCATATCCAAGGAAATCCATAAACATGTGAACGCTGAAATGTCAGATATATCATCGTTGTAGTCGACTACATTATGGCACACATAGCTACATATCTCGGAACACAGCCCCCCGCCACGCTACGTGAGTGTACAGGCGGGAACAAAAAGACTTGCATGGTAGGTGGAAGTGTATAGGTAGTAAGGTGGAATATGTCTATGAGGAACGTTGAGAAAAGAGGGAGAATGAAAAGACAAGAGAGAAATATCTACCCACGCTTTATCCAAATACTTTCTATCATAAACCCCAGCTCTGGTCATAGCTTCAACACACCATAAAGTGCATAACGAAAAAGCTCCTTCTTCTCCTCCCACACCATCATCAGAAGTAGAAGTGTTATAACGATAAACCATGTTGTTAGCTGTCAAACCTCCTTTTTCCGGTTTTTTGAGTATGTTTTCCAGTGTTGATGTGAACCTCGGGTCAGCGGCGGAGATGAAGAAGACGAGTGGCATGATGACTGAGATCAGCTGAGTGGTCATTCGTTGTGGCAGAGAAACAAGCATTCAGGCCATTAGATAGTAACAACACAATCAGGGATCAAAAGTGAGATAGTGGTCTGATGAAGCAATAGAAAGAAATCCACAAAAAGAGACGACTGTTGTTAGAAGAAGTGTTGCAGTCGTCAGGAAAAGAATTGGTGGTCGATAGTACAAGAGTCGAGGGTAGTGATGACGAAGGGGAAAGAGTGATCAAACTTACGAACGGCAGAATCCAAAGTTTCCGTATCTTCATAAGATTGAATAAAAGCTCCCATTTTCTTATTGAAACCTTTCTCTTGGATAGTCTCGTATAGCCTATCACGCGATTCCAACCATTTGGCTCTGTTAGGACAAGGAAGGCATCGTTTGTCTGCCAGACGGATTCCACGGTCGATGGCGACCCTAGGTGTCAGTCCCCTCACCTCTCGTGATACTCGTCGACTGAAGTCTTTGCGAGTGGCGACTTATGCCGATTCGTCTTCAGTATGGGTGATATCAAGCTGGCAGGAGCGTTGCAATTGGCTTAGGGCGGTTTGTATAGCATGGTAGCCCAAAAAGAGGGGATTGCTTGGGGAGAGAGCAATGGAGAAGATGGAGAACGTACCACAACATAACTTTGGAATACAAAAAGTTCTTTTTAGCACCTCTCACTTCCCTGTGACATCAGCTTACTCTTTGTCATCTGCACCATCCCCTCATCTCTCGAAGCAGTACGCTCGTCCTTACTCCAGATACCTTCGCTCAGTCCGGAATATTCTGACGATCCCTATGGGCCATTGAGAAGGGTATATGAGGGGGGATGGAGAGTCAAGACGATGGAGGCGGCAGGAGAGGGACAGTATGGAGGGATGTCAGCGTGATAGAAAAGGACTGACCAAATGGACAGATCAGGTTCATCCACTTGAGTACAAACAAAATCGATAATCTGTCTCACTGCTACCCAGCTATCCCAACTCTGATACGTCAGCTACTCCACCGTCATATCGTACACAAGACAGCTCACAAGTGGTTTACTATATTTCTGAGCTAGATAGATACTATCTAACAATTCACCGTAGATATCCTTGATGTCAGTTTTCCTTCATGCACATACCCTTCAGGAGGCATGAGCATGAAGCTCTCGATTGACGAATAGTCAATTGGATATTTCTTCATGCTCCATGATTACACAACGAGAGATGCCTATGCGACGATGAGTGAGGTAGAATGGAAGAGAAAAACCGCAATGTGAAGAACACGGGAAAGCGATTGCGCATTCTATCATTACAGGTCAATTGTGATAAAGAGTATTGAGGTGTGAAAATGATCATACTTACAAGTTGTAAATGATCCGCAGCGCCATTCCCGATCCTAACGGGTTTACTATCCTTATGACCTGCCAAATGATTCAATTCAATTTCTTCCAAATCCTTTTTTTCCCGTCAGCCTTGTTTTCCGATACTTAATGGAAAAAAAACAAACTTTACCACCATGAATAGTGTATACTCTGAATGATCAGTCTCATCGACGATATTTATACTGTATGGAGAAATAGGGAGATAGGACGTACATCTGTAAAGATCCATCGGAATTACGATCTTTCAATCTTGCAAGAATAAAATCCATATAAGCGTTGGCTTCTTCTGTGAAACCTAATCGGATAAGAGCGTAGAGTGAGAAACTCGTATCGCGAACCCAAGTGAATCGGTAGTCCCTGATTGTGAGCGTTTGTTCACCGGTATGGTCGTAGATGCTAGCAGAGGGTAGTCATCGACTCTTGGTTGAAGCTTTTTCTTAGGGGTGACAGGAGGATAAGAGAATGTAAGAGCAGGAGAAAGGGACAGTGCGTGGGGAGCAGAGTGACGAGCATGAAACGAGAATGTGCTAAGGAAAGATGAATGTTGACGAATGATTCTCCTCGAGAGGTTTTGGCATACGTGATCAAATTGAAAAACCCACCAATTCCTTCCACCACCTATATGTTCAGGTAAAGCAAAAGTCGGAGCAGCTATAATAGCCCCAGTTTCTTCAAATACCAACATTTTTCTATTCGATCAGTTATATCCTTCCCATTGCTCTAACATGATGATAGCCATGGACAGACGGCAGCTCACAAGACCAAAGCTGAACGATGGACGGCTTCACGCCATCTACCTCTGTATTTTGATCGACCTATCCAGTCTTGCCAGTAACATTGAGTATCCCTGATAAGAGCTGCTATGAGGGCCTGTGTGTCAGAGTACACTCATATCAAGCTGGATCGTGTGTGATCCCAATTTGTCTCTTTGTTCCTTTTGACAATGGAGAATTGTTCATTTCCTACCCCTATGTCCCACCCCACATCGTCTTTCCAATGCGCTCGTCATGTACCTAGACAGGTCGTGATCCAATGGAAATGGACTATCACATATCCGACAAGCCAGCGATCAGTGAGGAGGAAGAGTTGTAGGAGGGGGGAGGGGAGGGGAGATAATGAGACAGATGAAAAAACGTTCACCCACAGGAGTCAAATTCGGATTCTCCTTCGGTCTCAAGATACTCGAAGCAGCTAACAAAGTTCCCAATTCCACTCCCAAAGCTTTAGCTCTTTCGGGAGTAGGATTCGCTACATTTTCATGTTCTTCATTTTGATAACTCCAATCGCCCACTTCTCTCAGGATAAAAACGACACTTTGACCTTCTTGAAGTTCAAAATTACATGTCACTGCTTTTCCCAGTAAACCACGATTACCCAGAGGACCGATGTTAAGTTTGAGAGATGGAGCAGAACATTCTTCAGGAGCGTCGTCAGGGTTGAGTTGAAGGTATCGAAGATCCAAAGATAGAGATTGAGAAGTGAATAAAGCTTTGGTGGTATGGTTACATCCGGTAGTAAGGGAATCATCTTCTACGACCTGAGATAGGATCAGTATTTGACACTCAAACCGAACTTCTTCATGTCCCCTGCTGCTCGACGAACGACGATCTCCCCTTCCCTAGACAAGCTCTTCGTCGCTCGATTCCGTTCCCTTATCTTGTCGGAGAAAAGAAACAGTCTCCAAAAGGAAGAAAAAGAGGAAGATGGTATCATATTATGAAGAATAGAGAGAGACAGGGGAGAGAGAAAGAGGTAAAAGTCAAGATATGAAGGAAGATTTAACAACGATACAAACAACCCACCTCGGCTTTATGCGCATCCCTGCAATAATTGAAAGCAGGTGCACATTCCATCCTAAAAGGTACTGTACCCCTTATACATTCCACTTTCCTAACTAACCAAGGTAATACACCTTTCTTTTGACTCCCAGATCTGTTAGCACCTTTAGGTACTAATAAATCCGTCAAAGTTGCAACACCATCTTCATTCAGAAACTTTGTCACTAGTACGTTCGAGTTGGGAGAGTAAGTTTGTTTAGGTTTGAAAGCCCAAGTTGGTGAGATTGAAAAATGACCTCCTTTTTCAGAATCTAAAATACGTGCGAAAATTGATGGAGAATCGAAATAAGGTATACACATAGATTCGATGGATCCATCTAGAGATACTAATGCTGCAGTTCGGAGGTTACCGATGAGTGCGTGATCTTGAATACCTCGAATAGGAAGGTTACAGGAGTCTAGAGTTTCGTTTGGGTCAAGATGTGCTGGTGACATGGTTAAGAGTTTGTTATATTTGAAGTGTTCTTATGTGTCTGGTTGGGATTCTGAAGATTTCTGCTGGGTGTCTCAAATGGACAAAGAGATATCAGAGTAATGTCGATGATGATGTGAATGAGAGGAATGGTCCTCAACTAGTGAGCTATATAAGTTAGAAGATACTGTAACTATGAAGGGAGGGTGGGAAGATAATCAGCAAGATAGATAGATGGGCGATGATGATGAACCGGCCATCCGGGCAGGTTAAAGCCGTCCTTTCAACTTCCGTCGGAAGTGGAAGCTATGACGGAATCAATTTATGCGGGGCCACTTTTGCACTACTCCCTTCAATCACAGCTTTGGTGAATTGTACCCATATCATACTGCATATGTAGAATGTCGCAGCGTTGTTGAGTATATCGCAATAGGAGAAAGCACACACACGGCGTAGATTTCTCATCTTTGGGGACCGCTCGGTAGCTGGTAGCTGGTCCTCAGCCATCGTGGAGGAACAAACCGTCGAGATGAGAGAACATACTTCCGACCATGCGGACCAAGATACACTCACTATGCATCCTCTCAAACGTCATCATCCGGACCATGAACAGTGAGTACCGGCAGTATATCAGTCATGAGCTCACTCAATTGATGAACAGCCTGCTTCAAGGTGAGATCGACCGACTGTCTATTTCCTGTGAAGAACATGAGAGACAGATCAGAGCTTCCAAGGTGGGTTCAGAATTCCAGAGTAGACGTGACGCGTAACTCATAGGAGAGAGAGAGGTGGATCAACTGACTTTTAGTCAACTATCGAACATCGACTGTTCGTTGACTTCTACGGAATGTTCAACGGTCTCACTTCACAAGATAGAGAAGCTATCGTAAGTTTCACTCAGTACATTGCGGGTTTTGAAGTAGGTCTGATTGACTCAATCAGAACCTGATCGATACTCTCCAAGATACAGTCCGTACCATTCCAGCTCAACACTCACAACGTCTAGCTGGGATAGTTTCAGCTCGTAGGAAAGACGTTGAAACAATGCGTCATCGGCTCACACCTTGGAAAGAGTTCCTCAGACCTGGTGATCTCAAAGAAGAGGATAGGAAAGGAGGGATTGAACGTGTGACTGGACCGAGGGATGAAGCTGGGGATGCTTTGAGAAAGATGGAGAGGTGGGCTGAGGAAGTGGTGAGTGACGAGTTCAGTCTTCATAAGGTTGACCGAACTGAGAGTAGGAATCATACTACGAAAAGGAGATTGATAGAGAACGAACCAATATACAACTTTCCACCTGGAGACGAAGGATGATATTCCGCGGTGAGTTTGCTTCTTAGGCAACAACTGTGTATTAGATACCCTTTGCGGAAGAAACATCACTCATACACAGCTATACTTTGTATCATCATAATCATACCTCTACTCGTCATACTCATCCTCCTTGTCCGGCGTGGTGATTGACATGCATCGCCCTTGCATGACTCAAATCGAGCTGTTTCCCGATCCGACCCATCGAAGTCATTTTGCTATCCTCGTCATGTGATGTTTGTGAAGAACCTCCGATCGTTCTCGGCATGGATAAAAGGAATGACATGGTCATTTCATCCCCCTCTTCTCATTGATCATTGAACCTATCTAGATTGAATACGACAAGAGGTATAACATAACAACTCACCCCCTTGGATACCGGATTTACCGTGGTATTGGCCCGTGCGACGTTTGGCCCCATCAAAACTTGCACCCCCCGCCCCCAAACAGGTCCGAGCTTCCATCACTTCCCCCCCCCCCCCAACATGGTCTTCTCTAAATCTCTTCGTTCAACCCATAACATCTCTTCTCATACTCAACCTCCACTCCCAGATTCTTCTCATTCTTCTCGTTTTTCACAGAAATCATCAACCAACCCATCACATTCATTACCGAGGACAGAATCAAAAGTAGGTTTATCCGTGTCAAAGCGTCAACCAAGCTTGGTCCTCAACCTACACTCGCCCAGTCCTCCGAATAACAAACATGTCTCTTACAAATCATCGACAGTATCAGGATCGTATGGTTTGAGCTACGAAGAACTGCAAGATAGAGGTGACCCGTTCAGAGGTCCGAGACCTGGAGCAAGGCAGGTGTTTTTACAGAGCGAAGCGACCGATCTACCCAGGCTGGACTCTGTGAGGGATCTGACGGCGAGAAGGAGTTCATCAAGGATTTCCTCAGCACGAAGGGATATCAAGTGAGTCGGACCTGACTTCCCTGTCCCCCAAGACGTTCCTTTTTTCCCTTGGACACACAAGCTTGTCTTCCCTGGGTAGAAAGTCTCATCTCGAGGTTTAGAAAGAACTACGTACTGACTCTCAGAAACTCCAAAGAGGGTACATCTAAAGAAAACTTACCGGACGACCCACGTAAAGACACTTCCCCCCGTCGAGAGAGAATCGACGAAAAAGCGGAATACGACATCCCTTCTCCTTCTGGTAGTGCGCATTACCTATTCCCTACCATTCCTTCAGTCACATCTTACTCCACCGGACTGAATCTTCACTCTCTCGGTCTAGCTGGGGTAGGGCTGAACGTCCCTTACTCGAGTCAACAGAATTTAGTAGGACTTGCTACTGGATCAGTTCGGTCCAGTAGTATCAAATCGACGACTTCAACGATTCTTTCATCTTCCGCTTCTGCACTTCAACCTTCCAGATATCGTCCCAGTACAGAAACAATACAATCGTCAGGATCTATTCGAGAAGGTCCCCCGAAAAGACCACCAAGATCGCTTAGTCGCGCAGCTCAGTCAACGCCCGACAAGAAGGAGATACTTGACCACGAAGAGAAAGAAAAGAGAATTGTGGGAGCGACCAAAGTGTCAAGTATGCGGACTTTGAAGAGACAACCTAGCGTCTCTGATTTGTTGGTGGGGAGAAAAGTGACGGGTGGAGATGCTATCGAGGGAGGGGGATTGAGGGTACAAATAGAAAATGGCTGGCAGAGCGTTTTGGGGGAGGTACCTAATTGGCGTTTGGACAACACAGGGGATACTAAGGTGAGTCAAGTAGTCCCTTCTACCACTCTCTGTTTTCTCCCTTCCCTGACTTGCTCGTGCATGACAATGTGACTCTTCACGTGACAGATTAGGACATCTACTTGTCATTCTCCATGCCTCTATGAAAAAAGCTGATCATCAGACCTCTCATTCGGAACTCATAAGCCCTAAAACGGTTATTCCCCCGCAACCATTTCCCCAGTCTCAACCCACTCTGAACATCTCCGATTCTCAATCACAACTCTCGTACCTCCGCGACTCCCCACCGCAGAAAACCCAAGCCACTACCTATCACACCCATTCCCAACCCCAAGATACTCGTGATTCTCGTCGATCAATCGGTGCGCGACATCGGAGTTATACACTGACAGGTAATCAAAAACCTTCGCATTCTCAAACTTCCACTCCATCTCAAATATCTCCCCAACCCCAAATATCACCCAGTCTACCCCCAGTTGATTTTGGTGATCCTCTCTCCGTATCCGTTCTCATACCTTCACCTTCCTTCTCTCATTTAGATTATTCAGTAGCTTCTTCTTCACCTGCTTCTCAAGGTCAAGGAAGAACACCGAGGTTTTCACGACACGGTAATGGATTTCAAGCTCGTATGTCTGTTCAAACCAGTGGTGCGAATCAGGAAGATGATTCGCGGAATACACGACAATCTATCTTAGCATATCTCAGACCTAAAAGGGCTTCTGGAGTTTTGGAAGGTGAATCAAGACATAGTTCCAATTCATCATATCGATCAATGAAGTCTCAGTCGTCAAAACATTCAGGTTGTTCCGTCGAGTCGGGGAGAGATCCCAGGGAATCAATGTCAATGGCTAGATTCATTCACTCAACTGCGGCAACCATCGATTTCGAAAAGAAACAAGCCCCAGGAATGTCGATAGGATCAGGGAATGATCGAAACGCTTCAATTCAATCATACAGCACATCCATCGAAGTAGAGAGAAAGAGAGTGGAGCAGGGTTTAGCAGAAGGAATCATTTCTTCTGTATCTATGTCTCGAGACGGTATGACGAATTTCGAATCTGCAAGGAAAATCGCTCTTGAAGATGCTCAACGTCGTTTGATGGGACATCATCAACCCGTTCAAACGATGGTAAAGCCAAGAAAAAGGAGTCAAAGTTTATCTGCTAATCGAACCATAAGAGAAATGTCAAATGTGGAAGCCATACCGGAATTACCAAATTCATTGAGGACTTCTCAAACTGTGATATTAGGACGTTCACCATTTCATTCGAACATATCTGAATCGCATCCTTTCCCTCCTTCTCTTAAAATCAATCATCCTAACAGTCCCGCTAGATCTCCTCGACCAATGACGGTAGCCTCTTCCATCGTCTTGGAATCTCCTAAACCTTTAGACCGAACACATGTTTTGAATGGAGGTATAAATATCGATTTAGGTTCAAGATATGGTACACCTTCACCACTTTCTCCCAATAATAGGTTTTCTGCCACTTCTCACAGATATGGAGATAAGGATACCAACAGAAGACCTTTACATCCTGCATTAGCAATGGAGATGCCTCGACAAAGTTTACCTGCTTCTTCCACAATACATAATGCGACGGAATTACCTACACAAGCCGCCTTTGCAATACAAAACTTATCCCAGATTTCAATCCTCGCTCCATCCACAATCTCAACTCCTTCTGCAGATTGGAACTCGTCAGAAAGATCAGGATCTCCTAGTAGTTTACCAAGTAGTCTAGAAGCAGAAGCGGTGGATCTTACTGTTGTCCCTCCCAAATTGAGATCGAATTGGAAACGACCTTTCTCGAATCATCGAACACAACCTCAACCTTTTCATCCTCATGGTGAGACAGATGCTCGCTCGCTGACCAATCATCGAGTTCACCCTCAACATATAAACCACCATACCGAGAAAGAACCCATTCATAGACAGAATGATGGATCAGAGACGGGTAATGACTTCGGTCTCGATGGTAGAGACGAGATAGGTGATGGAAGAATGAGAAGAAGTTCTTCGATGGATAGAATCAAGAGTCCTAAATCGGTTATCAGACAGTCAAAGACTATGTTACCTGGGGAACTTCGGAAGGCGTATGCGGAAGCTTCAACCTCTGCTCATCGTCCCGAGAATATACAACCACAGTCCTTCTCGACAATGGAATTGTCCGGTCTGCCACCCACTCTGGTGAGAGAGGGACCTGATCCGGTTCATCGATCCAAAGTTCATGATGAGGTTGAATATAAGGAATCTCCGAGAAAATCAAGACCTTCATACATACAGACCAAACCTTCTCCACCTCGTATAGCATCTTCAGGAAGTCGGAAGGACCTGAATACGAAATCACCTATGGTACCTAACTGTAGAGAATCGTTGTTAGGTCAAGGAACAGAAAGAAGAAGAGGTTTCGGAACTTTTTGTTCACCCCCAGAAGCCATCCCGATTTCTCCTATATATCCAACTTCCTCACAAAACTTCTCACCCGACCATACCAGTGTATCCGATTCGCCCAACATCAGTTTCACACGAAACCAAAATCAGAAGCTTTCTCCGAAGAATCGAAACCAGGTTGAGTCTCCAGCACAATCTCAACCTGACATTCTTAGTGCGGAATTCGGGGGAAAGTTGCAAGACAAACAAAGTCCGGTGAATTCAATAGTAACTCCAAAGACTACAGTACGATCACCAACTTTAGTATCCGCTTCTTCCTTGAGAAGAGTGTTTAGTAAATCTACTCTATCCAGATCATTATCTCAGGTATTTCATACGACTGAGAAACATGAGAAGAACAAGGAGAAAGTAGGTCATGATGATAAAAATAAGAAAATGGAAAGTATTTCTAGATCTTTATCTCAAGCTTTTGATTGGACGGATAAGTCTGAGAAGAAAATTGATCATGTTGACAAGAATGGAAAGAAGAAATTGGAGACCATTTCTCGATCTTTATCTCAAGTTTTTGATCGAACGGATAAATCCGAGAAGATAAAAGTTGATAATAATTCCAAAAATGAACAAAAGGTGGAAAGAGGAAATAAGAATAAGATGGTCAGTCTTCCTTTGGAAACATTGAAAGAAGGTGAAGAACGTATTTGGAGAGAAAAGTTGTTGGAAGAAGCAGTAGGACATAGTTATTCAACTCGAATGATTCGACCTATGGACCATTCCATATCTTTCGAAACCTCTCAACATTTAGAGAATTCTCATTTTTCAGAAGAAACGAAAGGATCAAAATCATCACCTCAACCGGAAGATTCTCGTAGGACTAAAGTAGGTACTTATCAAGATGATTCTATCGTTTATCAGGATTCACCGAACGAATCCACTGTGGGAAAGACTCTTCAACATCAACATCAACTTGAGAATGAAGATACTAGGTATTTGGATAATACCAACGAAAGGATTAAACGTGTTGTGGAGAATATAAAACATAGTCCAAAGAAAAGACTTCCTATACCTATTTTCGACCATGATCTGAGTTCACATAGGGCCTCAAATGAGGAAGAAGATGTTCAGTATGAAGTTCAATCTGGAATCAAAGATAGATTGTCACTTCGAGATAGTAGACACGGCAACGAGGAAAATGACCAACCGTTTGTTACAGATAAGAAATCCGGTCTAGTGGGATCGGAAAGTACGCCCAAGTTGAATCATGGACCTGAAAGATTTATCGACCGTCCTCAAGGAGATACCGGGCGTGAACAGTATATCGACCATTCCGAATTTGATATCGGATTAGAAACATATATAAACCCACTTCCACCTATCTCAATGGCAAGTACTGGTAAATCACATTACTTGAAAGCCAAACATGTCAATTTATCTCTCCTCCCGTCTCCACAACTTGCATCACCAAATTCATCACCGTCAATGGTAAATACGAAATCTCCGAAATTATCTAATGGGATATTAAAAGCTTTACCTTCTGTACCGGGTTTAAACGTGTTGTCAACCTTGACCAAAGCATCTTCTCAACACCAAGACCAAAACCAAGATCACAGTTTGGTTCGGTCTCAACAATCACAACCGAATTTGAGTTCAAATGGAAAGGTCCAAAAGTTGAGTGTGTCTTCACAGATTCTATCTTCCAAATCTTCTCTTTCTCAATTAAGAATGAATCGAAAAACGTCACAATTCGATCCGACAAGGAACCGAGAAAACAGATCCGCCTCCAGTGGAGAGAGAGGAATGGATGGGTCGGATAGAGGGAAAGAAAATCACCAAGATGATGGTATCAATAAGGGGGATTCAGAATTGGGAAAGAAAAAGATCTCCAAGAAGAAATCTTCACTTCGATCCAATAAATTTCATCCGGCTCAAGAAGATATCCCACCTCTTCCTGATCTTTCCACCATGACAAAATCAATGTTCAACAGTTCTTCCATCTCTCAATCTGGATATTTGAACTCACTAGACGCAGAGTCGGAATGTATACCCTCTATCCCTTCTGTCCAATCCGTTTCGTCTGTTCCCTCTATTCCTCCTGTGCCGTCAGTATCATCTATCATGCCGAAAACGAAGAATGACAATCACACAAGACCTACCACCGGTCTAGGTTTAGGTTTAGGTTTAGGGATTGATCTTCCTTCTACATTCGGACAAGCAATCGACCGTGAAGAAATAAAAGAGGACAAGACAGTCAATGATGAAGATTTTGAAGGTAACAGAGGAGATGGAAAGGATGAATCTCATTCCACTTATCATCGTTCCATCCTCCCTTTTTTATCTTCTGATCCTTCGGAAGATTCTTCGTTTCGTCTTGGTCGAAAGACCAGGTCGACCATACGGTCTTTAAAGTCGACTTTGGGTGTTGGGGAGAGGGAAAAAAGGGAGGTATCCTCTGGTTCTGGGTCGGTAAGAAACGTATCTCAGTCTGATGGATTGATACGAACGGGCAAAGTTGACACTACGGAAACAAGGGAGAAGAATGATGAATCTCACTCTGGGAGTTTATCTATGGAAGGAAAGAACCTAACATTGATGGAAAGTAGAAACCGATCTAGATCAGGACAATCTTTAGTCGAAAGTAAATCTAATATCGATAAGATGATAGAAGGTAAAGATGGTTTAAGAATGATCGAAGGTAAAACCGGTTTGAAGAGAAAGAATAAGAAAGATCCAATGGTATTTCAAATGTTGAGTCCTATAAGTTCTTCAACACCACGAGAAGTACTTGAAGAATTAGCCGTCAGAGGGGAAGTAGAAGGTCCTACAGAGAAAAGAGATAGGATGAAAAAGTGGATGAACGAAGTTGAAGAGAGAGAAGAATATGTTAGGTTCGAAGAGGATGTTAGGAGGTTTGTTGATGGTGAGAAAGAAAGGATTAGAAGGATTGGAGGGAGGGTTAGGGGGGAGGATTGAGATACGTTTGTACTCTGATTCATCCCGGTTAGCCCTCACTTTGTGTGAACGTTGGTAATAGATTTCGTGGATTCAAGATGAGAGGAGAGACCTAGCAGATCAGAGGAGAGATCTAGCAGATGAGAGGAGAGACGTGGCAGTTGAGAGAAAGATCTGGCAGTTGAGAGATAGATCTAGCAGTCGGGAAGATGAATCTAGCAGTTGAGAAGATGGATCTAGCAGATGAGAGGATAGATCTAGCAGATGAGAGGATAGATCTAGCAGTTGAGAGGATAGATCTAGCAAATGAGATTGTATATGAAAGATATCTGTATCATAAACAAAGAAAAATAGAATTGTAGAAAAATGTGATCAACGTGAAATGACCCATCTCTGCTTTCATCGCATTGCACCACGCATCCATAGATGCTACTCTATCTTTGCCAGGTTTGTTAATGTACTTGTGAGTCTTTTGAGAAAAGCGTGAGACACGTAACTTACATGAATCTTTTGGAACGTAGATATCCAGCTGTCTAGCTGCATGCCTGCATAATCCCAGCAAGCTTGGTTAGTCATTGACACCCGCTACTACTAGTTATACTTGTATAAAGGATGATAGTCAACTGGCCAAAAGGTTGGGGTGGACAAGAAAGGTGGAGGTTGTTCACCCAGGCCAAAACTCTACAATAACCTTGACAACGACCTTTTCTTACTTTTCGTCTCTATATATCTATCTATTCCACTTCATCCTTTACATAAGAACCAACCAAGAGTAAGCTCTTCAAACATCTTCCTACCTCGCATATTGTCTAATCGACTTATCCAACCCATCAAACCCATCATCGCACAAAATTATCCCTTCCGACCCTTCACTCTTTCCAACTTCAGACCTGTCAACAATCAACACCTCAACGGATCCTGGAATCATTGTATATCTCCAAATCTGACCAAACGTTCAAACCCTCAAAGACTCGAAAATCTCAACGACCATCTCCAGTAACTTACTCGTACATCACACCTTCTATCCAGTTTATCCATATGACTAAACTTAATTCAAACCGACCACTCCTTCTTCCCCTCCCTCCGTCCGATCCAACTCTCACAACTTTCTTCGACAAACATGCCTCTTTGTTGAAATTGGAAAGAGATACAGAAGAAGAACAAACCAAGTTGTTAAATTCTAATTGTCCTCCTACTTTATTGGAAAGACGTGGTTTGGCTTTGGGTGGTTTGGGTGTTAAGGGTGTTAATACCGGTTTAGGAGGGAAGACGTGAGTACGAGTAGTGGTGTTTTATGTCTTTTCCTTTCCTTTTCTTTTGCATCTACGCAATTGTTCATCTTTCATGATATAAAATAAACTCTTTTGAGGGTTTCTTATTTCTGCTCGGATTGACCGGATGTGTAGATTAGTATGCTGGGACTAGATTTTGTGTGAGAAGATTTTAGAAGGTGTTGAGGGGTTGTCTGTGGGAAAGTTATCAGTTTGATGGAGATGAGCTGATAGGAAGATTGATGCAGCTTTGTAGACCATCTGCATATCATACGGATCTCAAATTACCTACTCATACTTTCCGGTGAGTCTTCTCCTATCCAATACCTCCGCCGATCCTAATTGATTTCGTAATCCATGTACTATTGAAATTTGAATAAGCGCAGTACGTGTTACCACTCGTGACTGAGGGATCTCAGGCTGTCAGACCTGTTCTCAGGGCTTTTCAGAGGCATTCTGAGACTGTCTGAAAAGGGAATCAACC